AATTAGCAACATGTTTTACCCGGTGAGGACGACCCGTTGATTATTGGCCATACTTTGCTACCATTAGACCAACGCGCCCGTCAAAACGTGTCTTTCCTACTCTACATACACGTAATATTGTTTAGTTAGAAAATTGCTTATCCCACCTGCCAAGGCACCATAGTAAAAGTGAAATGTTCCACTCCAAAAAGCTTTTCGCTTGCATAATTATCTTATTAATGATGAACTACCGTTGAGTCTTAATGCTGCAAATAATTGTGTAGCGCTCTCACATGTAAAAGTGTATACTTAAAGTAGTCGGAAAATATGACGAGCTGTCGTGTTTGTACTTATTTATAATTAGCAGGTAGATAAAACAATGTCTATTTCGCTTTTATTATATTAAGTTTTGTCATAACATTATTACGTATTTTACGACAAAATTTATTGTACCTTTATAAACAATAAAAGTCTCTATATGTTTGAAATACAATTGAGCTATCGTGTCGAGCGTGTGTATATTACCGCCGTTTCGGTGATACTAAAAGTAATGTTCCCAATGTGAAAGATGCACAATAATATTTATATTAAAGTATGACTTATGTCGGCGTGGCAAAGTATTTTGTCAACTAAGTTACTTACCGTTAGTTTCTGAGTAAATTATTACCTATGACAAAAATATTTTAGACACACAGATATCGTTTGTGTAGCGTTAGAAGGATAGAGTCAGTAATGGAAAAAAAATAGGTTTAATTATTAAACGCTGAATACATAATGACATAGGCGGGAATCGAACCTGGGACTTAATTAACCTTGTGTAATAACTCGCAGCACAGAGTTAATATTTAAAAATAACACACATTAGACATTTATTTAATAATATAATATAGCCACTTTCAACGCACTTAGCAGCTGATAGTAGGCTTTCAAAAACTTAAAAATTGTTTCGGTCAAGAAGGACGGCCGTGAAATTATTTCAATGTAGACCTAGTATTTCCCACCCCAACTCCTATTGCGCGTTTCAGTCTCGCAGTAACGCCATCTAGTGTTTATTTGCGCAACTTACGTTACATGGACTATCGTGTCTATACGAAAATGTCAGCGCTTTTGTAGTTATTGTTTAACATTATTTTTGTATGGATAATAAATTTAATAAGTACGTTTTGGTTTAATAAAACAGCTTTTGCCACATAGTATAGATATACATAGTATAGTAGAATTTATGATTTATTACAAGTAAACGCTTTAACGGTCTAAAACGAGAAATATATTACATAAAATTATTAAAAAAAAAACTACAATCCGACGTTTCAAAGCGTTAAAGTGTTTAAGTTAACTTGTACGACTCGCGTAAACTACAGACAGTGTTCATATCACTTATATTAAAATAATGTTCTCTCGTGTTTTCAAACGCATTTGTGTAGGTCTCAGAAAAACACAAAACCTATTGCAATAAAAAATAGTTCGTTTTATATAAACAATATTTATATTAAATTTTAGAGGGCCACTACTTCTTTAATTGAATGAACTGTTGTCCCTCTCACAAATATCTCTTATAAGCGAGAAGACTACATATATATATATCTGTCATAAAATTGAAGACAATTCTGCTTCCATCCAGTGCAGTAACCTTATGAGTTTAAGCATGAATCATCGCTTGGCATTCAGTCTTCCTCGACTCAACATTAACGTGACTGTTGTACAAATTAACAATTTAAATGCTAGACTCGTGCGCACAAATAATATACCAAAAATATAGTGAAAGTACAAGATTAACCTTCTTAGATTCTTTGCTTTTAAATTATTATTAGACTAACTTACGTTTGGTGTTATTTATATTTGAATTTAATAATAGATATTTAAGTTACTATTATAAATTTTAAGTAAAAATACATCAGGTTTATCAACGAAAGGTGTATAATTTTATTTCTTCTTTTTTGATATTAAATATGAAACAAAAATAAAATAAATCACTCTCTATATTCATTTTTTTTGTTAGTATATGACACATTCAAAAATATTGTGCTGTTTCAACAAGACTGATCTTTAATTTTAATTTTACCCTAAAATCGGTCTATTAAATATATACTACTTTCTTATGGTACATTTGCTTTTTTCATTCATAACTTCAAGATCATAAAAGGCAAGTACCAGACGTTTTGGCTCAGGCACAAGATTATTTCGGGCAAGGTCAACGAAAAATAGCATTACGTTAATTCGCGTATTGTGAAATGTACGTATTATTGTTGGCTTCCGGAATTTCGCTTGATTTAATTATAAAGTACTGCTTCGTTGCGGTTGCTTTACTTCGACATTGTAGAGCATTCTTATTTTCGTAGTTAAAAACTTACCGACAAGGTGGTAAAAGGTAATTGATAGTGTATGTATATATTTGTATCAAGAACTAGCTGTGTCAGCGACCATGTCCGCATAGAATAGTTTAGCAAACCTAATAATTTTTGATAATTGGAAGAGGTATCATTCTTGCACAAATACTTTTTGGGTATCTCGAACCGTTGTCGCAGCTAACGCATCGGAAACCCACAGAGATTAATAATTTTCCACGATTCCACATTTCCACTCTTTCCTCGCTCTTGCGCACAATGTTTTATAGCCTAAAGCGTTTCTTGATAAATTCTCTAACACAAAAAAAAAACAATTTAAACTCGTAGTTCCTGAGATTAGCGCGTTCAAACAAACAAACTCTTCAGCTTTATATATTAGTATAGATAGAATATGAAACAAACCTTAACGGTAACGGTCTCCTACTACAGATCTACAAAAAAACAACAATAAAGAGACCGAAAGACCTTTATTCCAAAGTACAGATATATTATAAAAATTACTCTTGGTCCAGCGGTACAAACATAGTGAACATTTTCAAACTCTTCATATCCAAGCAGTCCTAGAGATTATATCGTGATTATCTAGTTAATTTAAATAATAAAAGCTAAGTGCGAGTCGGAAAGTTAAGTCCTAATAATATTGCCCCATTTTTGAATACGGAACCCTAAAAATTGTATTCAAATCGTATAAAGATTTGTATAAGTTTGAAGATTATATTCGTAAAGTAAATAAATTTATTCTTGCTGTATCGGTAACTACGAGAAGTAAACAGGCAATCAATAAAAATATTGTTAAACAAAACACAAATCAACGTTCACTTGACGTTAGGTGAATTACCCCAGCCTGACATCTAAACAAGATGCGATGTCGGCCTATTTTAGCTTTAGATATTCGAAAAACCACAGACTAAAATCGACACCCGACAAAGCTTCACTTGTTTTTCATCTGTGGACGGTGACGCGGACGGAATTTCGATATCCCAACCACTAATATAATATCCAGATTTTCAGACGAAACCGACATTTTTTAGAAAAATTTACGATTGATTAGAAAAATAGACTCCGTGGTTTGCGTACCCAGGATCCGTTGACTATTAGCCATATATTACTACGACAATTTTTGACATAGTTCACGTTTAGAACCGTTAAAAAGTGAGTCATTTAATCAAATATTTCACGTGCGATAAGATATTCGCGTCTAACATTGTTCAGCAAAGCTATTTTAACAGTGTCAGAAAATGTGTCGACATATATAATCAAGTGGGTCACGGACGCGCTATCTACGCTACGGTCACGAAAGAGGATGACCCAAACCAATAATATGAAGGCTCATTTTTTAAGTTGCTTTTAACAGTTTAAAACTCAAAATATTAGTTAATTTTTAATTTAGCTATAGCCCTACTGTTCACAATTGTTTCTCCCTAAGTTAATATATTTGGTGTTTTTAACCGTTGAAAGTGTGTTATTATGTGTACTAATCGCGTAAAATAATACAGACAATACTTAATGAAGGCTATTTTTTTAAATAAACACTTAACAGTTTAAATCTAGTTAACTTATTTTAAATATTCTACATCTACAGCTACAGCGACGTTTCGCATTTATTTCTCATTAAGTTAATATTCCGTGTTTTAAACCGTTAGAGGTGTTTATTTAAATGTGTACTAAACGCGAAAACTACAGACTATTGTCTGAATGAAGTTTTATTGTCTATATATTTTATTTTCTAAATTGCTCAATCTCTCTATATGACTAAACTTCAAAATAAAATGCATTAGCAATAAATTATTCATTAATAGATTGTTAATAAATTGAGTAAGGCTTTCACGGCTATCGTTCAGCGTATAATTGTTTTTCGGGGTAACATCACCTGATGATGCCGTCCGCTCGCAAAGGCGAAACGTCGAGACCCGCATCTCGCTCACGTCGGCTGAACAGCCAGAAAAACAATGACATGTCATAGATTGCTGTTTAGACAATTTTCAACATCTCATAAGCATTTTATTACTTTGTTTTATTATTAAATTGCTTACAAAAGTACACTTGAACTCATACAATTTACTTTGCAATAGATAAAAATATACATTACAGTTTTATATATTTACTGTTTGGCAAAATTATGGCCTAGAAGTAATAAAACGGACGCTCGTAACAGAATTAACCTAAAAAGAAGCTTAATACGCTATAACTTAATTAAGTAAACCTCAGTTTGTTGAAATAATATTCATAGCCAGTAATTTAGAGCCAATTCAACCGAATAATTTTGACATTGATTAACTTTAAGGTACGTTAAATCGCCAGAGTTGAAAATAATTGATTATAACATGACACTGGGAAATAGTTACACCTTCTTGCAATAAAAAAATATCTGTGTAATCTGTCACATGATATATTGTCTGTTTAAACATTTTTTCTTAAATCCATTCAATAAGAGATTGGACATTTTTTTTAAATATCTATATTATTTTGGACATCGTGATTTTTTCTTAATGCCAGTTAAAAAAATAAAATAAAAAATAACAATAATAATTAATATTACCGTTCCGCCAGAATTCATACAAATTGATAAAGTTATCAAATTGAGAAGAAGAAGCCATTAATATACTGTTGACAATTGACAGGTTCTTTGTCAATATCATAAAATAAAATTAGAATTAAAAGTAAATGTTCACTTACCGGTGTTCTGCGGTGTAGGAGGGTGCCGACAGGGCTTGGTATTTTAGTGGGTGTGCCCCCATGCGGGCTGTGGCCTGAAAATTAGTTTAATTATCTGATAGACATTCTCTCGTCCACTTTTATAATACTGTATATAAAAAATAGAATAACCATTTCATTCAAACAAAACACCTTTAACGGTTTAACGGAAAATGCATTCGTTATTTATAATTATAATCCGATTCCAATAAAAGGGATGGTAGCGATAAATATTGCATATTACATTGAAACATTACAAAACGAATAATAAACACGTTTTTGTTAAAATCGAGTTTTGTAATCGTTGTAGGCCGTATTATCTATGCGTCCTTGGTCATTCATCATCAATGCGTATGCGCGTTGCCCATCATTGGGATAATCGCAAAGCCCCCGGAAACATATTTGCGATCGGGCAGGGCACAGAAATCTTAACAACTCGCCTAAAAATAAAATATATCAACGAAACAGATTTAAAAATATGTCTGCATGACCAATATAGGGGAAATGAGATTTCACTTTATCCCAAATAGAAACAGACAATTGTCCATTTAGTACGAGTTTTACGACAATTATTGTACTATCAATTATATAGTAGGTTCTAGTTTACGGTAAGTCTAAAAATTGGAAACGCCAATGCCCATGCGCAATGTTCCGCCGGGCCAACTGATAATCAGCATTGTAATTCTTGTATTAACGGAAACCGGGGCAACGATTTAACTAAACTATTGCGTTTCTATGCGGAAAATTAATTTTTACGACAATAATAAATACTACAATTATTTTATCTGTATACATGTGTGTCTGTGCTGAAAATATATATTTTTAATTGTCTTCTATTTGACATAACACAGTAAAAATTGGCTCAATCGATTTGATTCAAATACATTTTGGAATCCTATTACTAAGAGAGACAATAATCTTTTTTTTTATATATAATGAAATTCCTACTTCCCCCCGTGGGGCGAACACATTTTTATGTCCGTTGCACCGATTGGCAAGTAGTTAATTAGACTTCTGTGCCCTGCCAGACCAAAACAATATATTATTATCAAATCCAGGACCTAGCGTTTAACACAACACGTGTAACTGCAAAGGCGGTTCTACATACGATGTTAAATAAATGTGTTGTGTGTGTGTATGTGACACTGACTGTACAGAATGATTAATATTTCACTAATCGTAAGACAATACCATTTTGCGCATACGTTTTCACGGCCACTAGGATTCCTATTCATTCTAGAGAAAACAATTCTCACGAGTTCTTTACCTGCTTTAGAAAAACTGCTAATATGTCTCTCTATATATCTACATTTTTTCACCCATTAACCTGGATTGTACCATTTGGTCGGTAACCGAGTACAATTATATATCATCTATCTGGCCTTTTACGCTATACTAGTGAAGACTAATATTTATTTTCTTACTTCAAATTATGTGTTTTGACCGTTATGTGAATTGAACAATTGAATTGGTAACAATTTTTTAACAATAAAACATTTGAGACACCACAGATAAACAATAGTAGGTATTTTAGGTCTAACCTTACTGTAAGTTACATAAATCAGATATTAAATCCTTAACTCTTCTGTAACCAGCATCAAGCTTGGCTTACTTTTATGTAAATTGTAATGCAATTTGTAACATTCGGCACATTTCTATAGTAGGTATACATATATATAGATTAAGTTAAAATATTTTTGTTCTGTCTGTGTATATTCACATTCTATATCTCTCAAACTTAATTCTCAATAATTTTATGTAGTACACAGACAAACTATTTCTTTTACTTTATTACAGTATCTAGACATATGTTTTTAGTTTATAGTTGTTACCTTCCTATTACCTATGGCCATGAACAATTAGCAAGAACAAAAAAACTCTAATGTAATATGTTACCACTATTCCAATTGAAGTCATGGTCTGTTATGTAATAAAGAATTAATTGCGATAAAAACATTTGAAAAGGAAATAAATGTTTTGTGGTTTCTAAACAGTTCTGAAATTATGTAACCTGATATGACACTAGGTGATCAAAAGACCTGGCAAGAGGCAGGTCTTTAGATCCACCCCAATTTGAGAACAATTTTGGTTCTTTTGTTGTTAAATTGATTCGGTATTATTGGTGTGTTTGTATATTTAAATAATTTGCAGAACAAAGGAGAGCTTATACTTTTTCCTATAAAACTTGTGTTATTTCTTTACATAATATTTGAACTAGTTGTAGTGTATAGGAAGAAATAATATACATGAAAATGAGAAAGTAATATCAAAAACCTACATAATTATACTTACATTTTGTAGGATGCAGCCTGGGACTAATTGGAGGCCGATCTTCAAGTGAAAATGTTGTATTCAAGTCCCCCCCTTCCTTTCCTATTGTATTTATATTGTACTTTTTGACACTATCAGCCCAATCCTGAATCCATGTTTTATCCCCCTTACATCTATTCAGACTTAAGTATGACAATTTACTAACAATTTCCTCTGGTGTTAAATCTGGATTTTCATCCCTCAAAGCCTTATGGGCATTCTTTAAGGCTGTACTTTCAAATTTTGCATTTTCAAGCAGATTCTTATTACTTGGTAACGAAACAGGAACTGATGTTTCCCTCGATAGCCTATGGATGTAGTCAGTTCTATCTATTTCAGACTTTGTTAAGCTACATCTTCTTTTAGTTGGAATTTCAACCTTTGTAGGATACTTAGAGCTCAAAACACCGGAGGTTGTTACGGATGTGAACATACCAACATCTCCATCGTCAAGTCTTGGGGGTGATTTAGAAAATGTCTTCTCAGTTATTGTTCGTACCCGGTTCTTGATTTTCTCTAAATAACTACGAGTCGATTTAATTTGCTTTGATGTTTGAGCAGCCAGATCATTTTCAGTAGGAGATTCATAGCAACAAGATATTTCCAAAACATTCTTGTCTTTTGATATCTTGCTTGGTGAAATCAGCTTTTTTGTATCAGGCAGTGCATTGCGTAGAGACAAGTCTCTTACTGGTTCCTTTGTGATTACCTGAGAGTTACTAAAATCAAATATGAGTTCTGGATCATTGTCAATACTGTTTCTTTTAAGAGTATTATCTATAGCTTCTTTCAGTAGATCAGACTCAAAGGTTCTATCTATACTCATTCTAGCTTTTTGTTCCTCAGTATAGTTATCACCTTCTATAGTGTATGTTCCAGTTGAAGAATTATTAGACTGTCTATCATCATCATCATCATCTATAAATAATACTTGTGGTTTTGGTGGACATTTTTTAAAGAGATCTGGTGTTTCAGATGTTGCACGAAACCTTTGCGATATAGGACTTCTTGATAATTCTGGAGTTGAAAGACCATTGTCTGGAGTTAAAATGTCCAATTCAGGACTTGAAATATCAACTAACATCACACCATCTGGACTGTTATCGATAATATCAGACATAGGATTCCTAAAAACATTTAAGTTATTGTAGCTGGGGCTTTTCTGGACGTCTCTGTAGGAACTGTTTTTGAGTGGTAAATTTAATGTAGGCCGGGAAGTAAAGTTTTCACTCCTTGACATGATACTATCTACTATTGGACTTTTGGACGTACATTTCGCTTTAAACTCGACAGGCGATTTCACCAGCCTATTAATAGGGCTCAATTTATCACTATGAGCTAAGGGACTGTTTCTTAGTTTCAGTGATGTGGATAGTCCACAGTCTTCTTGGTCCGACGAAAAATATCCCTCAGAATTATAGCCTTGAGCCTTACGTGGTAGCTTTGCGCTCAGTGATGGTCTTTGTGGCACTGGACTAGCTTTAGGCAGGCTAACGGACATAGATTGAACTCTTTCGTGACGTGCTTTCGACTTCTTGGCTAACTCTTCAAGTCTTCGACTGTCAAACTGTTTTGAATTACCAAAGTCAACAGTAAAAGCCATAGGATGGTGTTTCGGAGTGGATGGCTCGGAACACTGACCCGCCTCAACATTTTCGTTCGATGTCACTTCACTTTCTTTAATAACTGCTTCCAACACACTATTCTGTCCTTCAGATAAAGGACTCGGAACGTCTTCAACACTAACACTCATTCTTCAAGGATTTAATAACTGTGACATCATAATATTAAACGTTTCAACACACAGCCTTTGTTACACTTGAATTTATTTCACGATTACAACACGGCACATTATGTTTAGATGTTATATAAAATTAAAAACAAAATTCTTATATGAAAATGGAACCAGTAAAAATTTTAAATAATCTAAAATCTACATTCGTATGCGAATTGCCAAATCGCCCATCGAATAGTCAAACACTGTTGACGAGCTGTCACCGGACGGCAACACTGAGCAAGTAAGTGGAGGCACTTGAAACAAAAACGACGAAAGGAGAGAGGGTTGATTATAGTAACATTGTAATGGATAGTGTTGTGACATAAGGAATTGTTGTATACCGCGGGGGGGTTATCACATGAAAAAAACAATCTCTTTGTTTTAAGATGGACCGAAAACATCTATTTTGACAAAATTGTTTAATTTAAACAAAGGCAGTAAATGCTTGATAATTAAAATAAGTTTTTAATGAAAATTATTCGTCTTATCGTAGTCTTGACATAAAATTTAATTGAGAACAAGTGATAAGTTTTATATATTTATCTCGAACAAAAGTTAATACTAGTCTGTGCTTGTAAAAAATGGTGAATAAGGCTGTGTTTTCAACACCAGAGTTATAACTTACAAACGTCAAACTGACATGAGACAATCATAGAAAGATGGCAGAAGCCGCGTTTTCCGAAGATGGAAAATATTTTTCTTTAATTACAAAGGATGGTAGATTGCACATTTGGGATACAGAGACGAATATTCTCAAACAGGAATATACTCCAGACTTCCATTTGAAAGCACCACCAACATGTTTACAATGGGTGGATGTAAGTTACAACTCGGTAAGTTTAACACGTGGTTTTTTGCGTCAAAACATTGAATTAACATAGATTTTGGTGAAATAAATCCTTTCAATATTTCAACACATGTTTTACAAATATTGCTTATAAACCGAATTTTTCTTACAGAGCCCCAAAAAAGAGTCAAGACGAAAATCATTGTCTGAACAGTCCAGTGTACAATGTATAGCATTAGGAACAATTTTCGGAAAGGTTCTTCTGTATTCAGTAACACAAGCTAAAGTGGAAAGTGTGTTGGAGAATGAGAAACATAGCAGGAAGGTCCAAGCATTAGACTGGAACAGAAAATATGGTCTTTTCAGTTGTTCCGTTGATAGCTATGTTATTGAGTGGGACCTTGGGTCCTCATCTGTTAAACAGACATATAATGTATCTATTAGGAGTAAGTTAAAGCAAGTGAACAAAGTTTCAGCTATTAAAATTGTGCCACATAATCAGGTACGTACATAACAATGCTTTAGTTAATATAATTGAGAATGTTGCATTTTTTGTCTTGAATTTAAACAGAGGATAAAAGTGCCACTGCAATTATTATCCACTCATAGTGAAATTTTATTTGGTCCTAAGTTTTTAATAAACGTATTTAAAGTTTTTATCTCATTGCAGAATCCATCTGTGAAATACATAGTAGTAGCGTCTGTTAAAACAAATATATGGAAATTTGAAAATTCTAATGCTTACATAGTTCACTCACTTAGCCACTCTGTGTCTGACAAAGCTATATTGACTGTGGCAACGCTTGAAAATTCCAGTTGGCTTATAGAAGGTTCACAGTAAGTAGAATTAGTACAAATAATAAGACTTATTTTTTATTATATTGATATTTTTACATCACTATAAATACCCAGACCCTAGGAATCTATAAACTACTATTTAAGAAATCTATTTATAACATATGATCAGTTTTAGTGCCTTTGTTTTATCTGTTTTAGAAGTTTAAACCAATTTTTCACTATAGGGCATAGGGTGACACATTAGTGTTGGTTTCATTGATCAATTTTATTTAAAGCCAATTATTGAAATAGACTTGTGCCCTATAAACAAATCATTGTTTTCCTGGGATTCAAACTCATGACCCTCCATGCTTAATATAAATCTACACAACATGTCAATCATTAAGCTATGGATATTACAGCTTTAAGGCTTTATTTATATTATTTCTATCAAGATGATTCATCTTCTTCATTTTAGATATATCAGCTTACTTCAGAAATAAATATGGTTAATTAATTAATGAGTTAAATTCAGTGCTTTTAATTGTTTTCACAGAGAAGAACGTTTGCTTTCATTCTGGGATATAACTGTCAAAGATGAAACATTACAAAACGGTGGTAGCCTAGCACCAACAAATAAGAAGCGTAAGGAAGATGTTATTCATACTGAAACACCCACATACAACTTTATCTTAGAAGATGCTCCTAAGTTTGTGGATGTTAATATAAAGTCAGACGCCAATGGAACAAAATTGTCACTTGCAGCTGCTACACGGAGTGGTGTTGTACACTATTATGGACATATGCTAAATGGGTAAGTTTAAAAAAGATGATTTTGAATTATATGCACATTTAACAGTTATGTTAGAGAAAAAATATAATATCTTATATATTATTACTGTAAATATTTGACTAAGATAACCAATTATCACTTGCTTTGTAATGTACAAAAATAATTGTATCTTAAATTTGATTATTCTAGCTCAACAACAAAGCCAATAAAACCATCAGTGACAATACAAGTAAGCACGGCAGATGCAAACCCACTACCATTAACCTGTTGTCAACTACCAAACAATGGAGAAATACTTTTGGGATATAGGAATGGACCAGTACTCACATTTGAAAAAGTTGTAAGTAATTGTTTTATAAAATTAGAAAATATATAGTGTACTACCACCCTATCATTTTTTTTAATATTGTGTATTTGGTCTGAGAAATTATATTTTGGTTGAAATTCTCACTAGCACAAAATGAAAATAGCATACGCGAGAAAAGTTTAAACTTTTTTACAAGAAATGGTATATATATACTTTATGGTCCAGTGTGTTTGCGTCTCACTTGTGTCATATTTTTCCATCTGAAATTTTCTTTTAACAGGCACCTGACTTAAGTACAAAGACACAAGTGTTAATACGTGGTGATGGAGATAAAAAACAAAAGCCTGCAAAATCCAACGATACAACAAAGGAGGTTTCAAATAGGAATACAGATGTTACTTATGTTGAACCTATGGGTGGTGTTAGTAGGAAGAGACCGACTGCAGGCAGTACAGTAAGTATAATATATAGGTACATAGTTTAAAAACATTTAAGCAAAGCTTATGATAGTTAAATGGAAATACTTAAAATTTAGTCTTTAATATAGGTCTTAAGAATTTTTTGATATAAATACATCTCTGTTAAGTTAAAACCAAAGTATAGAGATTTCGCAAGCAAACAAGAAGGTTTGTTGAAGACACAGTGAGAAGTGGATAAACTCAAAGTTCTCCACCTCCACAACTTTAGTGAAAGGATGAAATGGGCTATATAGTTAGCAGATTGTGTGGACTTATCACCTGGCCTTCTATCATTGTCCCAAATAGAAAATGATAATAATCTCTGTTCAGCTTCATCTGATGCTATCGGAAGTTTTGCCTTAAAGAGCATTCAAACATGGTCTTAAACATTAACAAAAATATTTTCTCCAGCCCACAGAAGTGACAATGGAAGCAAGATTAAAAAATCTAGAACTAGACCAGAACAGCAGAAGCAAAACACCTGTTAGTCAGAACCTTACTAAGCTGCTAATCCAGGGTCTACATTCAAATGATAAAGGGTAAGATCGTTGTACCATATACTCTATGTGGGCCACGAGTGAGACACCTTGTCACTTTAGTAAATAATTGAGGCTGCTAGAGCCAGAGTGGCCTAATAACAAAAAAACACAATTATTAATAATGAGGAAAATAAATTAGTACTATTTTTTGTGTAAAAATTAAGTAAAACATTTTCGATCACTGTGCTCTCGTAGATTAAGATTTTAGACTATGAAAATATAAATATCTGAAGTCATAAAAATTGCGTTAGCTACTCTGTCTTAGTGGCCTCAATTTATATTTTACTTGGGTGAAAAGAAAAAGTAAGTGTTTTATTTAAATGTGTACTACTCGCGTAAACTATAGACGTGAGAATCAAAGTCTTTTTATGAGTAAATAAATTGGCTTTGGTCAAGTTATCACTCACAAACTGACACACTCGAAATATGTGCAATAAATTGTGTAAGGCTTTCACAAGCATTCAGTGTGAAATATGTGCATTTAACACATTACGTATCTTTCATTACTATTGTTTGTGTAATAGAATTAAATAATGCTCTTTCAGAATAATACTAACAGTATTACAAAAGGACGATCCTGCTGTGGCTACAAAGACAGTGGCGACACTACCAGTAGACTATGTTCCTTTGCTATTAGACAGACTTGTAGATATGGCAACCAGAAAAACTAGTCAGTGAGTATCTATTTATTGTTTCAGGTCATATTTCTGTTAGACACATATATAAGTCACAAATATTATGGAATGTATTTTCCATTGCATAGAGTATTTCAACAACCCACATCTTGTTTAAACAGAGGGAGGGGAACTAAGACATTCCCCACATAATATAGGAAGCGGTGGTTAATGAACACTTAGTATTATTGCAATTGGTGTAAACTTTCTATCATTTTCAGATGTTCCGCGGCTTGCACTTGGCTAACGGCGTTGCTAAAATCACATGCTGCGTTGCTGTTAGCCTCTGTCACCTCCAGGACAGCAAACCAAGTCACACAGCTCCTGGCCATATTTACTCATAGGTTTGTTAAATTATAACAACAAAATTAATAATCTTAACTAAGGGAAGCTCTAATTCAGACACATACATTTTATTTATTTCTGTCCCATCATAGACGGTCTCACCTCTGTCAGCTACTAAATCTAAAAGGAAGAGTTGACCTTACAATCTCACAGCGAAGCAGAGCGGAGGATGAAACAAACCAGGAAGCGATATTAGATTATAATGGTGAATATATGGCTGGTCTTTCTACTCTATCTAAATTGTTTTTTCAATGTAGTTATAATTTGTCATATAAATATAAAATGTCTAGCTCGGAGAATTAAATACAAATATTAAATTTAGGGCAGAAGAGGGCTTTTGGGGTTCAAAGAGAGTTCTAATTATACATGTCTATAATACTGCTAATATAAGTGAGAGAGAATTGATATTTTAAGAAGAATGAATCCTTCTTTCTAGATTCCTCATCAGATGAAGCTATGGAAATTGAAAATGGTGACTCTAGCAATGAAGAACAGTGGGATGATGATGGTGAAGATGACGATGACAAAGAAGACAGTGATCAAAGTGATGATTGACAATAAAAACTATAGATATGTTGTGTTTTTCTGTTGTGCCATTTTTGGTTCTGATGTTATTTGGGGATGCCTCCTTGAATTGAGATGTTTTTTTACTATGAAGATATATTTTCTTTTTATATTATACCATCATGTGAAGAATATTCGTTTTCACACTTTCTTTTGTTTAATTACTATATTGACATTAGGTACAAACTGGCAGTAGGCAACTGCTTTAAAACTAAACTCTAAACTTAATTTTTAAATGTAGCATATTAGATGGACAAATACTCCCTGTAATTCTATTCGCCTGGTGCGTTGCACATTTCCGTGTCTAAGAGATCGATTATACGATGCATTGACTAATAATTATACAAACACGTTTACCTCAATTCAAATCTTACGCTAAGCAGAGCATTTGCAGCTGTGTAACAGTTACGGTCTATTTATTAGCTTAGAAATTATTTTTTATTCATCTAAACCGTATTGAGCTGCAGAATGCGCAAATAAACATTTATCTCACGTGGTCATTGCCACACTCCGTCTATTACGGGCGTGGTGTCTTATCAATATTGATAAAGCAACCAATATTTACACCATGGAGTCGACACAGTTCAGTTTGATAACTTTAAACGATTTTAAATGGCTGAACGAGCCAAGCAATTGGAATCTATGCGATAACGAGCTCAAAGTGTCGACGGACAACAAAACTGATTTTTGGCAAGAAACATGGTACAAGTTTCATTTCAACACGGGACATTTATTTGGAATCGATGTTAAGGATGATTTTTGTTTGGAGGTGAGCGTAAAATCCTTTTTTGTTTTGCACTGCGGCCATTTTTTCTTGATTATTTGCGTTTGCGTATGAAGTGTGAAGCAATTAGGGGCGTGCAAAATGGCGCGTTTTTTTAAATGAGTAGAGCTAAAAAGTCCATATCCTTTCGTACGACATTCTTTGGGTCGCCTTGACCTAGACTTAGAATTAAACAATTTTGACTACCAAGGAATCTTTTTAGGCGTGTATCGAAGCTGAATTTTCAAAACTATACGACCAAGCTGGTTTGATGATTTATTTAGATGAAAAACATTGGCTTAAATGTGGAATAGAATACAACGATGGACAACCGATGATCAGCAGTGTACTAACTAATGAAGTCTCAGATTGGGCAACCGGTAGATATTAATATTTTGAGGTTTTTTATTTTTATTTTATAAACACAGGATGTATGACAAATATGGTGTCCCTTGAGTGAAGGTTAAAATTTCCCGTTATATAACATCTATAAAAGCATGATGCGCTGTCGATCTATTTTAATTTTGGGTTTTCCAAAATCCACAGACTGAAACTGAAACGTAGATCTTCCATATACCACTTCGCGTCTTTTTCGTCTGTTTTCGGACCTGGGAAATTACAATCTTCCCTACTACCAGTAATCCTTTAGATTTCCTGAACTAATCAAGTTTCAGAAAAAATTTAAATGTATTTTAAGAAAGAGTAGAGTAGAGTGAATAGAAACGGACCAGCCACTTTTTTAATATTATAAGCCACACATAGCTACCATTCGACTAACAAGATGACGGTTGATGATCATTAATAAATAACATTTTCAGGTGTTTTCTCAGGAAATCCAAGGAAGTTCTGGCTTCGATTAATCAAGACTGATAATGTTGTTTGTGTTAAGTATTCGCACGATAAAGAGTCGTGGTCGCTTTTACGACTATGCCCGTTTCCAAGAAGCGATGCTTACTTTGTCGGGCTCATGTGTTGTACTCCGCAAAGAGATGGATTAAAAGTTAAGTTTAGTGACGTTTCTGTTCGCTTACCGTGCCAGGATATTCTACATGGCGTATAACTCTTATATATGGAAATTATCTTATTTAAACAATCGAAATAATATAACAACTATTAATTATATTGTTTTTTTATTTATCATGATACTCAAAAGTTTGTAAGTGTACATTTTTAAGTGCAAAAATCTATAACAAAATATGTCTTTTTACGATATCAGTTTATTTGAAAATGGTTTTTTTCATTCCCCCCCCCGCCTGGGCTTTTCTCCCCCCGCGGGGGCCGGGGGGGGGGGGGGGCCCGGGGGGCCCCCGAGCCCCCCAAAGGCCGGGGGGGGGGGAGGGATCATCTAGATAAAATACTAAACTTCAACCGTTAAAGTGTTTTATTTAAATTGTACTACTCGCGTAAACTATAGACAGTATTTAAAATATGTCTTTTTGCTATCAATTTATTTATAATCTAGATAAAATACTACTTCACTATATATTTATATATATATTGAAGTAATATTAACTTAATAATAAGCTCAGCGTCTTGCTTTGGGTAATGTACAGAATCAATACACAAGCCCAAAAAACATTATTGAATAGAAGGCTAAACTCCTCCCCTCCACACTTCTTTTATAAAAATAATATAATAAATATTTAAAATAAACACGAAAATTATATGTATTACTTATAATGTATAATATTTTATTATAATATAATTAGTATAGCTTATAGCTTTATTTTTTTTTTATTTTTTTTTTAGTTTTTTTTATATTATAAGCTATCAAAATATTATATTATTACAGGTTTGTAACTAATTTTATTTAACATTTCTCATAATGAAATTATAATATTTTAATATCATTGTTAAAATATTATTACTTAAAGTAATATTTTCGAAGTTTTTGGACGCACTTATAACATGGCATTTTAATTCAGCAACACTGGTCTGACATTCTGGCAACACTGCTCGGAGCTAACATCTTTAGATTAGAAAATGGCTTCATTTCCGGCGGCAGCAACACGGACGCACGAACGCGGCGCGGCGTGGGGCTGGAGCCAAAAATACTTTTATATTGTGATTATAGTGTTTAGATGAAATCTAAATAGGCATAAGTGGTTTTGACAAGAACTTTAAGAAGAATATACCTTTCCGATGGGTAAACCAGGTAAGAGCTATTTTTACTAGTTGCCGACTGTTGAACCGCGTGGTTATTTTTCAAATGTTGCACGTATCATTCGGATAATTACTATTTTAACTAGTTTAACGCCAAGAACTATTATTCTTATACTAAATAACCATGTGGCTTTTTACTATTTCGTTACAACATAATCTAAGAGGTTATAATTTGTATTGATAAAAAAACCGGGTAAAGCTTTATTTTTAAAGCATATTTAGTGAATTAGTTAATTCGAAGAACCAGTAAACAATTGATTATAACAGCATATGTAATCTATGGAATATAGAATTGGTTATCAACGACGCACATGGCATACATAACCTCTCTCGGTAGGTCTTAGACCCTATCAAAATAATCACATTATTTTCTAGACAAACTTGAACCCCCCAAATATTATGTATACTAAGAAATTCATGTACGTGTATTACTCTGTAGCTAGAAAATTAACACGTGCTAATTAGTAATTATCATTTTACTACGAATAGCTAATAGGGCATCAAATACAAATCGTGCCTTTTAATTTTTTAGAAAACTTACATTTTGACTACTATTGCCTGTTCAAAGCTATACCGACTGGCATTTTATTTAGTCATAATTCACGTGTATCAATTTAATGAACATAGACTTGTTACAGAGTTCAACAACTCGCGTGGAGGCGGCGGTGGAGGAGGAGGAGGCTTTAGAGGCCGTGGTGGTGGCGGCGGCGGTGGCCGTGGTGGCTTCGGTGGGCGTGGGGGTGGTCGCGGTGGCGGTGGCGGTAGAGGAGGATTTGGGGGCGGAGGAGGTGGCAAGTTTGAGAAGAGAGGAGGCGGCGGAGGCAGAGGGTTTGGTGGACGAGGGGGTGGAGGAGGTTTGTAACTATCTATTCTAACAAAACTTAAATTTGTATACTTAGACTGAACCAAATCTACCCATAATAATGCAATAATTTGATTTCAAATGATGACAAACTGGTCCCTCTAATCTTGACCTATTCATGAAGACTATGATACCACATACCCACTTCTGATAATTATTTACTTTGAATATATGTAACTGTCTGTATAAACATAATCTAAGCAAACATTTAATTTCAGGTAGAGGTCGTGGTGGTCCACCCAAGAGAGGCGGTTTCAAAGGAGGGAAACAAGTTTTCGTTGAACCCCATAGGTGAGATTTTTACATTTGGCTCATGTAATAAAATATTGGTGCAAATCAAGCTTAGTCAAAATGAGGCTGCCAGAGGCAGAGTAGCCTAACTGCAATTATATGACTTGAAGTTGTCAAATTTTCAGTCTTAAAAATGTTAATGTACAAGGGTATAGTGACAGATAATTGTAAACATAATTTTTACACAAACAATAGTATAAATTCATTTTTGCCTAAGTCAATTTCACATTTTTTATTTTACTTCCTTTTATTGAAAATCATGTTATTGTTATTAGGCCATTCTGCCTCTAGCAGTCTCACATAGTAGTTAGTAGTGTAAAATGAAATATTCTGATACCAGGTTTCCTTAAATGATGCAAAGTTTATTAACTTTCGTTCTTCTGAATGCTCATGCTTGAAGACAACATATCTAACTGATTGAATAACTTATGTTAGCAGAATAGATTTTAAAATTTCATTAACTAATGAAAAAATATGTTTCAGACATGCTGGTGTATTTGTAGCAAGGGGAAAAGAAGATGCTTTAGTTACAAAGAATTTAGTACCTGGATCGGAAGTATATGGGGAGAAAAGAATATCAGTTGAGGTTGGTACTTTTGAAAAATTATCGAGTTTTTGTATTTGTACATAAAAGCTAGTTGGAAAACTAAAAACAAAAGACAAAAAACTTTCTCAGATGTAGTAATAAAAAAAGGTTTTTTTATAATGATGATTGTGGTCCCTCTAACCCTCGACCTATTCATGAAGACTATGTCCACATACCCACTTCTGACAAATGAATAGGAAATGTCCTACATCTATGTCTCCGAAACGAAAATACTTAACTGCTGTTCTGTTCCAGGAAAACGGCGAAAAGATTGAATACAGAGTATGGAATCCGTTCAGGTCGAAATTAGCCGCGGCGATTATGGGCGGTGTGGATGGTATACACATTAGTCCCGGAAAGAGGGTTCTGTATTTAGGGGCAGCAAGTGGAACCACAGTTAGTCACGTATCAGATTTAGTTGGACCGGTAAATATATATTTTTTAGATTGTATTGTTAGTTATGTAGAAAAATTAGTTTGACCAAGTTTTGCAAAATCGTACAAGCAGGATTCGAACTTCGATTCAACCCCAAGCCACGTAATTTGACATAACTTACCATTGAATAAGCGCAAGTGTCACTATAGTAAAATTTTTCTGGCTTTAGAGTTCAGTAATAGAATCTAGCTCATTTTTTCAAACCTTTACTAAAGTTTAAACTTTTCTATGTTTTTAAATTAAAAGCTCCTCTTATATGCTTAACTTTAAATATTTCTTGCAGGAAGGTCTCGTATACGCTGTAGAATTTTCACATAGATCAGGAAGGGATCTCATTAATGTCGCTAAGAAGAGAACAAACATTATTCCCATTATAGAAGACGCAAGACATCCGCTTAAGTACAGGTAAAATTGACTGTATTTGATAGTACTATTTTAATTGAAAAACATGAAATGATGAATATCCTATGAACTAAATATGTTATGTTGATATACATTTTTGAACTCTCTCTCTGAAGCATTTGTGTGAAGGCTAACTTCAAAAATTCTTGAATGAGATTGATGCTCATTCCTATATATGTTTCAGAATGTTAGTCGGCATGGTGGACGTCATATTTGCGGATGTGGCGCAGCCCGACCAAGCTAGAATAGTTAGTCTTAATGCACAACATTTCTTGAAGAATGGTGGACATTTTGTTATTTCTATTAAGGTGAGTTCCATTTAAATTTATAGTTAAGCTGTTGTAAACTTAAAAATACATTCTGGATAATAAATGTATGCCAGATTTTATCGTTATGAACCACGCCAAAAGCATAGATTTGCGTATTGATTTACCAAGGACTTAAAACTATATGACTGGGAGTATTACAACTAGAAATATATATTTTTTTTATTATAGCATTTTAAAAATTTACTACAATAAATATTTCTTTTTCCAGGCTTCCTGTATAGACTCAACCGCACAACCAGAAGCAGTATTTGCAGCGGAAGTGAAACGGCTAACTGCTGAGAAGTTAAAACCCCAAGAACAAATTACACTGGAACCATATGAGAGGGATCACGCAGTGGTCACTGGAATTTTCAGACCTCCCCCAAAAGCATAAAATCAGTTGCTGACTACTTTGTAATATAATATAAAGCTACCCTGTGGGTCAGCGCTGAGAGACAGTTTTAATTGCATCTATCTATGAATGAATACAGATGCTAGTTATGACCAATATTATTGTTAAGTGCCTACTTTAAGTTAAGTGAAGTGAAAAGAGTAAATGGAGAGTAAATCTTATGTTTTATTTGTTTTTGTAGATAAAAAAACATAATCTAATCTAATTCTATTGTTACTTTGTCTACTTTGTTTCTGTTAAAGAAATCAAGAAAGAGGACTAATTCATTTTTTATTATTCCCGAAAGGGCGACTAAAACTGTCCCACATTGGACTTAATTTAGTAATATGCAAGAGGTGATAGACAAGCATGGGGCTCACTAAATAAAAGTTAAAATACCCCAGCCAATATGGCTTTGGATCGGTTATCCACCGAAACCGAAACATCTAAACCTGGACGAAATTTTCGTATCTACGTCCCTTTTTATTATCCCGACGAAGTCCCATGTTCTAAAGAAAAATTATTAATTGATAAGAAACAAAATTGAACCCATGTCCCGTTGCTAATTACAATTAGCCACACATTCGTCGCCGACCCTTTAGGGGTGCAGGCCTTTGCAACAAGATGAGAAAACAAAAAAAAACTTAGAAAAATCTTTATTTTACCTTTTTACATCATGTAAATCTTTCATTGTCTTACAATTCGGAATGTGTCGACTACAACATTGGTAGCATCTGGTACTATGCAGTAAATATGTACAAAATATGATTATCAATTATTGGTACTGTTATGGTCCAAATCTCTTAAAATAATTTCGATCCGAACGTTTTGCCATCACAATATTTTTTATTTCTATCTAGACTTACAACTAGAAAATGCTTTTAGTATTATATAACAACTATTAAATAAACGACTAAAAATCAGGCTCGGCACAAAACTTTTCCAAATATTCGCGTCATTTGATCTTAGATCTATGTACCTTTATTTTCGTCGCAAACGAAATTTGTAACTAGCTATTAGGCTTTTAAATTCCTCAAATATCCGTAATTTTAAGGTGTTTCCAAGTCTTGTTTAAAATTATAACTTAAAATTATTCTAAAACAATATAGTTTACTCTTGGCTGAAGCTCATATCACAAATTCAAGAAATAAACCCAAATACTTATATAAGTGATCGTACCCAAAAAGGGCCGTTAAGAATTTCGACTATGAAACACAAAAATGACTTCTGAAAGCGAAAAATATATATTTTTCATTGATATTAAAAAGTCTATTCCACAGCGTCGACAGGTTCTGTTTTGACTGAAACTTGCATATTATTTGTTGTGTCGGGTTTTGAACGCTCTAAGTTGTACATCTGCGGACAACGAAACGTTTAATTAAAGCATATGTATAAGAACGTAGTACAGAACCGGAGTGATAGTATGATATCCTATTGCGAATAGCTTTCCAAAAAAATGTTTTTTTTTCTATTATAACATTTTTGATAAAATTAAATTTTAGATCTATTAAGGAGTCGTAAAACCTGAATAAAACACTTACAACGGTTTAAAATGCGATATTTGGTATTTAAATTCGTATTTGGACGCCACTAGTTTCGCCAAATAGATGGCGCTAGCGTAGAAGTTTTTACTTTGACATCAGAGCCTTTTTACATTCCGTTTTTAGTCTCTCCGTGACTAGGACTGCTGCAAAGCACCCGAAACGTCGACCCGTAGTTGATATAATAGATTTTAAAACTGTTTCCTTGATATATATCGCGTTTTGAACCGTTGAAGTGTTTTATGTAAATGTGTACTCCTCGCGTAAACTACAGACAGTAAAGTCGTAAATCATTACCCATTTGTCTCAATATTTTAATTATAATCCCTTCAATATTGTTCGTTTGAAAAACATCCTATATTGTAAATAAAATGATGTGAAACGTGTAGAATTTAACCCACATCAATAATGATAATTCCAAAAATTTGGAAAAGCGATAATTGATTATACTTATTATCCTTGTTGAATCTTTTGGTATTATGCTACTTCTAAATGATTATGTTATTTAAAATCCTGTTACCTTCATAAATAAGGGTGTGGAAAGTTGTGCGACGCTGGTAGCTTTACTGAGCGAATCTTCGTCTGGAGGTAAATTGACTTCCACCGGAGACACCTTAAGTTTCGGGAATGATTTGAGCTTTTTGGGTCGTTCTTCATCTGAATCCGAGGGTGGAGGTCTGATCTGAGGGAGGTGTAGAGATTTTTATAACAATAGAAAAATATGTATGGTTTTATAAGTATTATGCGTAGAACGATATAAATAAGTATTGTCGTATTAGTTAATGGCAATTATTAAGGCAAAATATTTAAACCGTTCACGTGTGTATTGAAATAAAAATATGCAAGATGGCTCTAGTTAATTTGAACCAAATTAAATAGCATATATATTTTTAAGTGTTCTATGTAGAACCTACAGTATAATTAGATTAAAAAATTGTATCACAATTATATATATAATATTTAGGTTAAATTGATGGTAATTATTTTAATGTAACTAAGCATATACTACCTATTATGAAAATAATTAAATACCTTTCTGGGGCGACCTGGGCCTCTTCTCTTCGGAGGCGTGGGGAGTGGTGATGGTGAACGTAACTGGAACATAAATAGATTTCCGTTTAGACAAATAATAATATACATAGTAAGTATTAAAAATTTTAGTTCTTGTTAGTTTTTAGTTGTTAGTTGGTCAATTCTTTTAATTATTGTCTATGATGTTAGAAACATTTTTAATGAATTGATGAATGAAATACCCCAGCCTATAGCATTTAAATTTTGGCTTTGGTAATTCGGAAATCCATAGGTATCTTCACGGTTTTGTTATAGACGTCAGTTCGTGACCCGGTTGGACTTTCCATATTCCTATCACCCATTTAATATCCAGATTTCCAGACGAACTCCAACATGTTTCAGAAGAATTATAAATTGATTAGAAAAATGATAAATACCGTTATACCAACCAGCTCGTCAAAATGTTAGCTATTTCTTATAAGCAATTCGAATAATAGCATTCCCACGAAATAAATAAAAAAAGGTTTCCCGAGAAGAAGATAATAATAAAAACTCACCCTCCGTTTCCGTATAGGTCGGCTTCCGTCAGCTGACCGCGTGGTCATAGACAACTTGGAATCCGTCTTGCTGATTTCCTCCTTCGTCAAAATGGCACTTAATCTACTCTGCAGGAAGTTGTCATCTGCATTTTTCAAAGCATCTAAACCGTTGTTCCCTTGTAAAGCGTATCTTATAATTTTTAAAACCTCTATCCTACATAGCAGTCTCGTATCGTCATCCATTTTCTTAAAAAGCGGTAAGAGAGAGTTCATAAACATTTTGTCGTCGTTAAAATGGTCATCTGGTAGAATATTGTTTGCGTCGATTTTAAATTCTCTCTTCTCGCTGTCTATGGTCTGACTGCCCTTGTCGAATGTCTCTGGTATATCGGGTTTTGTTTTTAAGTCGAGCGGTTTGTCTATGAACTCGGATTTGATGCGAGGTATTTCGTCCGGCGGCGGATGTTGCGGTGAATTCGATATTTCTGAGAACGACTCATATTTGTCTTGTGAGTATCTTGGTTTTCTGAAAAAAAACAGCCCGATTTAGAGATAGTTATATACTAGAACAAATCAATGAAAAAAAAATTGTAAACATCAATACCTAAAAAAAAAAGATTATCAAAGTACAGTTTCTGTCAGTGCGCATACAATAATCCTACAAATAGTTACACACACCGCAATAAATACGTATGTAGTGGTCTTTTATTATTTACTAGCCGTGTCAGCGACTTCGTCCGCGTTGATTAGTTATTTTGGGCATCCAAATTTGTTTTTGCAAATCTCGTCTTCATCTTTATAAATTCAAATTCCTATCGACATCGAACACGTCCCGTTGCTCGCGACCCGTTGTTCGGGTCTCGTCGTTCTTGCACGTTAATCTTCAAATATAGACATACAGTGCGACAGGACATTCTTTTAGAACATTTAAAAACGTATCACTCTTTAATATATATTTTTTTGGTATCTTGAACCGTTATCTGCGTACGCATCTGAAACCCACAGAGATGAAAATATTTCCTTGTTTTTTAACATTTTCCGCTGCTTCGCTCCTATTTGTCACATCGCAATTTATAGCCGCCTCGATAAATGCTCTAACTAACATAAAAAGCCGACAGTGGTGGTATTTTTGTCATCTCTTTATGATGGAGGAAGACAGATGACCATGTGGTTTACTTGATGGTAGGTGAAACCCCAGGCAGTTAACATCCTAACGAGATGTTAGCTGCCTGTTGACCTATTTCGGCGTCAGATATTCGGAAATTTACAGACTGAAATCGAAACGCGATTCCCTGAACTGCAATTTGGACGGTGGTACGGGCGACCCGATTTCAAATTATAAATTAATTAGGAAAATGTTGCATCAAACCCACGACCCGTTGATTATTAGCTATACATTGTTACCATTAGACCGAGAGCCCGACAATCTTCTTTCATATATATATTAAGAAAATTTAATATTAAGTATCGCTTGATCTGCTACACTAAATTCTCATTAATTCGATTCTGACTAATAAGGGTATTCGGCGTGACTCATAACTTAAGGAAACATTTACTTATAAGGATGCGAGGTGTTAGGTCAATTTGGAGTCATAAATTAATTGTTAGACGAGAGCTTTCAACGCCTAAAACAGAAGACCAGATTGGTTTGAGTGCCATAGTCAAAAATATTTAAACGATTCCCTGAATTAAATCCGCGTTTGACCTAACGTCTGGAATATCTGGAAATTAAATAGGTAACTCGCGCTTCGGTTGAAGTTATTCCGAAGGCCTAAATCTAAGATAGGTCGACAGCGGAAACCCTAGTTTCCCGACCTGTTATAAACAGCTTGGAACTTTAGCTAATTAAATACTGTCTATAGTTTACGCGAGTAGTGCACATTTAAATAAAACACTTTAACGGTTTAAAACGCGATATATTAGTTAAACTTATTTGAAAATGATTTTTAACTTCGGTCTGACATTTCAGATGCTTTGCAGCAGCCGTGGTCACGGGGAGTTAAAAATCATTTTCAAATAAGTTTAACTAATATATCGCGTTTTAAACCGTTAAAGTTAAATTTAAACTTTAGCTAGTGTAAGAAAAACTGAGTGGTTAATCAACTATTTATTATCCTATTCACAATAATATATTGGTTTTATATCTAATTTGCATTTATATGTTCAAGGAAGGATAAACGACAACTTATCTTGATATTTTCTTATTGGTTTTTCTGTTTACTTGAATTTATTTCGAGAGAACAAAAAGTCTTTGCCTATTTTACATACATAAGTTCTTTTTTTTGTAAAGATAATCGATGTTTATTTGGGATTAGGTAGGTAGGTGTATACATATTTGCAAATACTATTCCTTATTGTGATTATTCAATTAAAACAATCTCTTTTTGACTTTTGGAAATACACAGGCACAATGCAAAATTACAGTGCACTCTTTAATTTTACCATCTGTGGACGGTAGTTGTTGATACTATTTTATATCGAGAATGTTTAGACGGGATCTAAGCTACGATTCGAAGAATTTAAGATATTGTAATATCAGTATTTGGCTGCACTTTACGCGAGTTTCAACAACAAAAAACTTTCAACGGTTAAAAACGCGAATAATATTACCTTTATTTTATGTATAAAATAACGGATTTCAAACACTTTCGACCTTTGGTACACTGCCTTCACTAGACGTCGTTACGTCAGTAATTACTGATGTAACGTGGTAAGCGATGTGAGAGTATAAGAAAAAATAAAAATCACTTGAACTTACTTATTTTGTAGAGCTTTGAGTAAGAAGGACATCTGCCGGTGATATTGGTATCGTCTGCTGCCGGGTGGACATTGTTCAGGGGGCGGACATTTCCCTTGTCGAAACGCTTTTGTATACGAATCGCGGATTGAGCGCCATCTTTTTTGCACTTCTTTACCTGTTAAAGAAGTGGCCTTTTAAAATTTGATGCATTTTTGACGTGTAAAAACTTAGATGTAAGATTTGAGTCTGAAGGCACAGCCATTTGTTCTCCTTAAAATCATCTTTAATCGTTATTTTAATTACTCATAACCGATATTGATATAAGTTACTTTGCTCTGGTTTGTTTGGTGTGACATTCAATACTGCCTTTGAGGGAAGGTTTAAAATTTGTTGATACAAAAGGTAACAAAAAAAAACATTCCTGTGAGTGACATTCAGTTTAGTCTATAGAGTTGTGAAAATATTAAAAAAGGTATGTACACAAAAACATAACAAACCGCCAGGTGAATACGACGGTAAACGGTAGATAAGTATGTACTATAATCAATTCAACACGATACTATAATCTATCCGGTCATTTTTATCAGTGTAAATATTAAATTCGTTATTATTTAATAATACAATTGTAGCAACGGTATTAATAGTAGTTTTGGCTGATAAAAAAATTCACATCAGTGTCGAGGTGAATATAGAGTTCTGGTAGAATAGAACGATTTAAATAAAACACTTAAAGGGTTTAAAACGCGAAATATATTAGTTTAACTTATTTGAAAATTATTTTAACTACGGCCCGACGTTTTAGATCATTTGCAGCAGCCGTGGTCACGGGGAGATAATGAGTATTTTTTAGTATTAGATTTTTAATATAAAATGTGTGGTAGGAGTAACGAAATTCTATTCACGACACGAACCACCGTCAAAAATGACAAAGCCATAAAGATAAATCGCATTTTGGTTGAAGTCTACGGATTTCCGAATGTCTAAAGCAAAAAGGTTAATGTTTAGATAATATGACTGGAGTATTTCAACTTCTATCAAGCATGCATAGAAATAAGAGAAAGCGAATATTTAAAAAATATTTCATTTAATAATAAAACCATTTAGTTTCGAAATGCAGTAACTTAAGGTGAAGTATTACGTGTTTATCGTCTGAAATTGAAACTGAAATAGGATTACACAACTCTATGCGCAACAATTCAGTCTATCGAAATATTGGGAACGAAGAATAATTTTTAGTGATAAGTTTTTATAGTAAATTGTAATAAGAATGCACATTTAACGAAAATAATCAGCAAGTAAACATATAAAAAACAATAAGGAAGTTCGATTATTCGATCTCCTTTTTTGGCCTTAACTTGGGAGAAGTAAATTATTCTTTAAAAAATATATATGCAACGATAAACATAGTTACACTGGTCTTGCGTAAGACGAATGTTGTAATAAACAACTGAAACTTTTTATAAACAGAAAATGGTTTGCTTTTAACAAAGACGTATTTAATACATTATAGGTCGCTATAATATGACATATAAATATTACACAAATGGCGTCACGTTTAAATTTCGTTTGAAAAGTAAATTTATTAAATATTTGCCCAATTAATCAGCAAGTTTGTTAATTAGCTTTGAAATTAACGCATCGTCTTATTTTACTAATTCTCGGTGTCTAATCGATAGGAATAATTCCTACATTTATATCTTTATTGTTTGAGGTCGTAGATTATTAATTATTTATAGAATAGCGAATAAAATTTTCTCAGAGTTTTTGTATATGTCATAACTAATATGAATATATTTGTCACTGTGGATATAAATACTTTATAATAATTTTAAGCATGTCTACGTATTTTTTTATAATTTCAATGCAGCTAAATTGATTTTCCTTAAAGTAAAAATGGAATCGGTAAATATTTAAGTGTTATAGTGGTGAGGTCATTCACCTCCCTTTAGGAAACATTTAAAATAAATTGTATTTTTAACAAAAACATTTTTGGCAGTATTTAGCAACGTATAATAAACATGCATGTAAAAGTTCGTTATAAAAAGAAACCGTTCTCGTCTGAACTAAGTTATTTACTGACATATTTTATTACAATTTACAATGGCTACAAGTTATTCGATAATTCATTGTGAACACTGTTATCCTTGAAGCAAGTACTGGTTGCCATGTTTCAAACAAACGGTATAAAAAATAAAGCACCTACCCATTTCTTGGCGGCTAAAAACCACGGCGTGAATTTTTATCCAATAATTTTACCCACTGGAATAAAAAAAAAGTTGTAAAAATAAGCTGACATTTAGAACTGAATAAAAAATATTAAACATGCGTTATATTTTTAAAATGTCTAAATTAATAAAAAAATTCTTCAATTGAGAAATAATACCTACTAGCCACAGATTATAATTATACCCATAAAAATGTCATAAGCACCACGAGTTTAAATATAATAGATAACAATTTATAATTAATAATAATTCAAGTGATTATGATAATGACCACAGATAATAAATTCAAGCAACTCGTTCGACTTACAAAGAACTAATTTCGAATTAAAAACATAACCCAACGCACGTAGAGTAAAGGAAAAAATTAAATAAGGTCAGACGAACGCATTAACGTAAATATGATAAAACTTTTGTAATTTCAAGTAACATTTGGGTGGGGGGAACACTCGTCACTGCTTGATAAGTATTATTCCTAAGGTAAACATTTAAAAAATTTAACACAGTTGATTCCACCTTTGTATTATATATTACTTGCGAAGCAAAATGAGCACTATAACTGATAAGGGCGAACGTCTTCGAGCGCGGCTGAGGCGCAAATGAAAGGCTTCACATCCAACTCCTCGCCAGAGCGCTATACGAGCTATAACATTATTTTAATACTTAGTTTATTAATAGACTTTGGCTTTGGAAGAAATGTTATTACTGCCACAATTATCTATACATTATCGTGTACTGGGCTACTCTCGTTAAATTGAAGGGTTTTGTTGTCATGAGCTAATGAGCTGATGATATTGATTTCTTTAAATTATATTAAAAACAAGGTACTTAAATTCCTTTAATCTGACATACAGAACAACTCATTTAATAATGACGTTGTTAAAATTGGACATACTCAATAAGATAGATTATTTAATGATATTAATAATATTATTGAGAATCGCTGCGTCGCCAATTACGATACGTTAATTGTTTCTACGAGCCCATTGCGTTATAATATTATTTTTAGCAATAGTAAAGGATGAGCTACATTTCTGTATTTGAAAGTCTTTTTAGAACAAAAAAATATATAAAATTGGCATAATATAACGAATTTGTATTGCAAGAGTTATTTTAAACGAGTAAATTAAAACGCTGCGTACGATAAGTAACACGAGCTGAAAAATGAGAGCTGCTTTGTCAGGTGAGTACAAAGAAATGCCCACTTTGTACCTGTGTGATTAGATAGAGATGCACTGAATCACATCCTGCCATCTCGTATTACTAAGGTACTATAAACTATTGTTTTATTTTTGTATAAGCTGAGGCGACTCGATAAAAGGTGACTTGCAATTATAGTTCGTACTTAACATAAGCCTAAACTCGATTGTTTTTTTGTCTATACAATTATTATTAGTTATATCGCGGTTGAAGCAATGCTCACGCTTCAACTAAATATTATTTTCAAGGACGTATCAAAAACGAATAAATAATTATACTATTAATGTAAAATGTAGAATTGAATTGGGACGCCATTTTGTTGTACACAGCGTTCACTAGTCTACACGCTATTCATTCACTTTTAATTTAATCGACACCGTCTAGAGACTATTTTTATATTTTCTATCTTTAGACAGACTGATAATTATTTAATAATTCATTTTTAAGTAATTATGCCGAATTTAAACTTAATAATAGTTTAATTTTAATTTTGTATATTGATTAAATTTTACTGTTTTTAACCAGTTACTTTTTTTGTATGATTGTAAATGTTGTGTTAAATAGGATAGATAAAATCTGTGGTAGCTAAGCGCTTTTGTTACTAGTTAATATAATATCAGAAAACCGCTTCGGGACGGTGCGGCCCCTTGCGTCGACTGAGTCACGAATACCGCATATACCTACCAGTGCATACGAAATACTATGTTATTACATTGTACGATATACATTGCTGCGCTAAAACATTGGCAACAAAATGATATAGTTTTAATCGGGCAATGAATGTTGTTGTGCTATATTACGTTATCGCTGAGGTAAAGTTGTCGAAGTTTTTTGTCAAGAACACATATTGATATGAAAATACACGACGCGTTACGTATGTTGTATTGTTTTGTCCATTGTCTAAAGATTTGTATGTTACATATTATAAGAGCGCTTAATATGTAGTTTCCTTGGCTAGCATATTATTAAATACAACACTTTTAACGGTTTAAAATGCGAGATATTATTTCGAATAAAAAACTAAATGGTTTTTTATTCGAAAATATGTTAAATAATGGTTTGGACTTCTTTTTTCACAAAACAGCCGGAAGAAAACTTAAAAAGTAAAAACAAGAAAATATTTATTACGCAATGATACTTTCACCAAAATAAATTGCGAATCATTTCAATTCTTATTTAAAATTATATTTCAGTGAATTAAATAATTTTATTTAATAACAGAGCAGCGAGACTAGAGTTTGACTTTCTGATCGAATTAAATAATTAATATTACATAAATGCATTCTTCTCCTAATGTAAGTAATTGAAACAACTCAGTACCTACTTTATTTTCACTTAGGGGTTTTCACAAAATTACGTCATGTTTTAATATATACAATTATTAATATATATACAATGTTCGTAATATAATATATTGTTTTTGTGACGATACATTTGACGATATTAAATAGTCGATAAGTTTAGAAGCAGACAAAGAAATTAAACTTCTTTGTTTGCCAAATTTAAAAAATTCAAAATGACCTTAAGGATATTGAAAAAAGTGTCTCATTGTACAATAATAACATATTGCAATGCAATAATAAACTATCGGAGCATTTGGGCAAGATATGTAAATATTGCGTAATTAATTTTCAGGTCGTAAATAAAAATCTGTTTTGTCCGATATTTTTAAATCGATTTTTTTTATTTAAATGATGATGATAATTCAAGAGGGGGGGGGGGGATTAATAAAAATAACTTAACTTATTTTTACGTTTAACTTAACTAACGAAATTTTAATTAAGCAGAAATTCTACTAACATTGATAAGTACATAGTTTTTTTTTTCTTTAAATATAATATAATTAAAATGGTAAGATTTATTTAAAAATTAACTGGACTTTACTATAAAACGTTCTTTAATTATGAACTAAATAATAAGTTTTAACAAACGCGCGATATAAAATTAAGTGAAGTAAAAACGCTATCGCGAAATTGCCTAGAATTTATTTTAATTTTAATATTTACGATTTCAATGACTTAAATCACGTTTAATAAGTAGCTTATTTATAATGTTCGTACGTGAGCCCACGCACACTCGCCCGTAGGTACCTACTCTATAAACTAACAGGTAATTCTTGAGAATTCTTTCGATTCATTTTATCTCCGCGCCGTTTCCTTTATAAGAATAACCGTATTTACTCAGAATATCCACGCTTTACAGTTACATAATACAAAAAATATATTGTATCATTTAGCTTCTGAAGTTCGTACTCGTAAAAATTATAATAATTTTCGTCCGTCCGTCTATACGATAATGAAAAGGCTAGTCAAATAGCTGCAGGATGACGCCCTATTATGCTGCAAAGATAACCGGCCCATATACTATACACGTTTTCTTATCGCCCGATAAACACACGCAAGAGCGCCTAAACAGAATCGTTGCAGCCCAAGTTGCGTAAGGACATCTATAATTTATATACCACAAAATGGCTGCCGTAAAATTTCATAAAGTGCAAAACGGCGCGTGTATATTTCGCTCGTTAATTCGAACTAGGTACGTTTTGAGAGCCGAAGTGCGAACAAAGAGCACGCAGCGAACGCGCAACTTGCAAACCGACCGGTTGCTGTTGACCGCTGCAGCCGCACGCGCCGCAGCCCGGCGGCTACGTCCGCAAATACGCTGCATAACACATACCGGCCGCTAGCTTCTCCGTCTCCGGCAGCGTACACCAGCTCGGCACTACGCTCTCGCAGACTTCCTCCCAGCACCTGAGTTTTTCAGCTCTATCCCCATAATTCGAGTGGTTACTGTCGAAGAGACACGGCCGCTTCTGCACTTCGGAGACGATGGAGCAACTCTTGATCCCGCCGTCCCCGTCCTTGGTGCGGACCATAATTAAAAAATATAGCAATTTTTAAATTGAATTTTGTACGCGATATAGTTGCGTTAGTCGGCGTATTCGTAACGTGATCGGCGATACGGCCGTGCGGTCGCCAGAGTGAAACTGGCGCTTTGAGAGTCGAGTTGGCGCAACGGGCAAAATGGCTGCTCCGTATACAAGTGTTACTATCTCGCCACAAAATTATAGCTCATAAACAAATTAACAATACATACATCGCAATTAGGACTGTACAAATGTAATCTAACATCAATAGTTTAGGAATTTGGTCATATAATACGTTAAACGTAAAAAAAAATTATCGTACCTAACTCTGATTTTGTACGAATATTTTTCTTTATTTGTAGATTAAGTTACATAATAGATAAGTAGAATCAGTTTGGGTGAACGTGAATACTTCTAAATTAAATAAAGTAATTTTCTTATATATTATCTAAATTTTTTGATTTGATTTATTTACATATTAACAAATTTACACGAATTATATTGATACCTGTTAAGTCGATTTATTTGCGTTTAAGACGGGCTAACTTGATATACCTACGTGAAGACAAAGACAGTTATTTTGCTTCTCTTCTTTAATTTCTTATTATTAGTAAAACGTGGTAAAATTAATATTAAAATACCAATATTTCAAATATTTTATGTTCTTAAATAACTTAAAATTAGGGACCCCCTTTCCTGTTGTGCCAACTGAACTTATAATAATAAAATAAGAAATATTTTTACTATTTATATAATTGCTTTATATTATTTAAACAAATAAATAAGTTACGAATAATATTTAATTCTTATAAAAAACGATCTATGCCTTTTCTTTCCTATTTGGGGTAAGGGGTAGCACAAGGAGGCGGATGTAATCGACGGACAAACTTTATCCGTTATTGAGAACGAAGTAACGTTGAAAGATATTTTAATTACTTAATAAAACTTATCTTTTATTTATGAATGCAAAGTTCTAATACAAAAATAAATAAAAATATGATAATGCATGAATAAATAAAAAAGTTGACAATGTTAGTGGTTTGAAAAGTTTAATACCTTTCATAAGACGGAATTACATAAACTGAAAATCTATATAGGCTGAAAAAATTTACGACACGGATGGGACTTCAACCAGCATCCACAACGTTCCCTGCTGCTGCTCTAAACAATTGAACTACCGTATCTTATGGCATCCATCCTTCCACCGGCTCAAATACACGGGAGGAATTCGTCGTAATTTTCACTACACTACTCATTAGATTTTTAATTAATGATAGTGGTGTAGTTTTTATGTTTTACTTTAAATAAAGGTAAACGTTGAAAATCATTTATTTCATTTGCAACACCTACTAACTAAAAAAAAAATAACTTTGTTATTTCCTGTACACTACTTAGGCTATATACTTTAAAAATGTAAATATACATTTAGTTTAATTTGATTTATAACACTGGAGGCCCGAGATTTCAATACTGTATTTTTTAAAATATAAATTTATACTGCGGATGTACAGTTGAATAATATTATGACGTCGGTAGAAATAGAGAATCACGCTTCAGTATGACGTCATCTCGACCACGTGAAGCGTTTATATAAACTTGAACTTGGTTACATGTTTCCAAGTAGCAACGGTTTGTATAAAAGTAGATTTTTTCAATACTTTGTTACTTATTAATGTTGCTGGTTAAATAAATATGTATTTTTTTTTAAAAGCTTTAATAATTTATAACTAAAATGAAATAATGAAAAAAACCCAAGGTCTTAGAATAGACGAAAGTCCGAAAGCTATAATATACACTATACAACACCTATATTACTCGTGTATATGGGCTATAAGATGTGTCAATGTCAAATTTGACATTATTTGTTATATAGTCTTCTTCTTCTGAATTTGATGGCTTACGTTATATAGTCTTTAACGTTTAAATCTCGTTGAGTTAAGTTGTCTAATTTGTCTGTGATTATTTGTAATTTCGTTTCAAGCGTAGATGCGTGTGAAAAACGTGTTTTTTTGCCGATTTAGTTTATTTTCTTTCAATTCTTGCTTTCTGTTCTAGCTATCAAGTAACATTAATTTTATTTTCCAATAAAATTACCTTCGAAAGCTTCCAATTTCCTCACCTTTAACACGTAGTCTTGATAAAGAAATATTTAAAAAATGGTTGTGGTGTCTCCTAATTTTACGGCGCCGGTTGAAGGCATTCTTTTACAATCACCAGCTACTAAACTCTTAATCAACGACTTTGAAGTGGGTACAGCTACATTATACATCACTGAAAAGTAAGGAAGTTAACTATAATCAGCAGCATATATCATAATATGATAAATGCTGCTCGTACTGATTGGCTTCGTTATTACAGCAATGTAGTTTGGGGCGGTGGGTCTGCAGCCACGGGCGGAGCGTCTCCGACTATATCTCTCCTTTACCCGGATATCTCACTTCATGCTATACAAAGAGAGCCCAGTCCTGCTTTGTATATGGTTGTCAATTATGAGTTAAGGTAACTTAAATGATTATCAAACACGACAGAAATACAATGAAAAATTTAAAAAGACCATTATTCATAAAATATATTATTTATTTGGATATATGTACATAACTTGTATTAGGATAATCCTATAAATGTGGATAGTTGTCTTAAATTTAATTAATATAAAACATTTCACCTTCTTAATGAGTATACAGAAAATTATAAAATAAATTTTAGGTTACCTAATCAGCCAGCTGGAGCGGGAGACACCAATGAGAATGAGGATGACGACTTTGATGTAGATGATCAGCCCATCACACAGTTACGGTATGGTGCTAAAAGATGTAATTGCTACTAGTGAGAAATAGATATTCTTTTGAGTTTTTAATTTTTTTTATAAAGTTCTAAACTACAATATTTCTATTGCAATGTTATACAAGTTGTCCTATAAACAAGTGAATATATATATTATGTTGTTATGGATTTACAGGTTTGTCCCGGAGAATGAAAATGACTTGCAAGGTTTGTTCTCAGCTATGAGTCAGGGGCAAGCGTTACATCCTGATCCTCAAGATGAAATTGAAGATGACCCCTATATGGATGGAGAAGACTTCGATGAAGGTATTATTTTGCTACAGAATTAAAAATCTATGACAATATAGCCTATGGTAGATATATAGCAGCATCTCCATGCCTGATGTCTTTAACTATTCCATAATTTCTACCACTGCTCCTATTATAATGTGTTCAGAGGGATCCCTTTTCTCAAAGTGGGGTATTAGTGCAGACATATTATTGTGCCTGTTTAATGTTTTTTTTGTTGTTTAAAGAAAGTTGTACAGATTTTTGTACCCGACCAAAACTATTGACTTATTGCACAAAAGTCTCTAAGATTATGTCAGATTTTTAACAGATTAAGTTGCAAATTTAAAATTGCAACAAAATTATTACATAAACTGTTTGACTAATATAATAACACTATTAACAATATTTTAGAAGAAGAGTTTGAAGATGCACAGGAGAGCAGCCACCCTGATGAAGCAGCAAGCAGACTACAGCAGCTGAGGATTGAGAATACAAATGGCAATGCACAATATCACGGTAAGTTTTTTTTTTACCATATTAACAAAGGTCGGACCATTTGAGTCAAATGGATTTTTTGGCCTATTCTCTCTATTTTAAATCTCTGTTTAAGTTTTTGTATATGGATATATAAATATTTCACAATAAACAAAACATTCTACTATTCTTTTACAGATTGTGAAGATGTGGAGAATGAACAGAATAATTAAATCAATTTCTGCTTAAATGTGATACAACTAAGACTACCATCATTTACCGAGAAAATTATAGACTGGACTTGAAGACAGTCATTAGTATGGACAGGAAAATAATTTTAATTTTCTCAAGAACTATTCTCGAATCAAAAATTGGCCACATCTGGCAAAATTTAAATTGGATTTCTTTGTGTTATACTGCCTAGGTGTGCGTGTTGTCTATTTACGCGATTAGTACATATTTAAATATAACACTTTTAAACAGTTTAAAATCACTCATACACAAGCCACGGATACGAGAGCGGCCGAAAACGTTCAGGCGATAGTAAAATTTGTTACTAGTTAACTTATATTTAACGTTTTAAACCGTTAAAAGTGTTTATTTGAATAAAAATCGTCTGGCTATGCAAAAGATACTTTACAGCTACGTTTTAAACGTAGTGATATTGAGTGATGTCTAAAATTATCTGCGTCTTAACAATTCTTGAATTCCTTCATTGTTATGGCCATATATTTGCTATGTAGGATATCTTTGGAAGCAGAAGTCAATTTTACGTCAATTTCGTTTATCTTTAAGTTACAAAGAGTACTTTCTTGATTTTTTCTTAAGTAAAAAGACATATTAACTTAATTTTGCTTTGTAAATTAACAAACAGGAATATTTGACTTACATTTTAAGTTTAAAATAATAAAAATTCTTAGTTCTAGTATTTTCAATAAATGCAACCAATAAGTGATACTATGATACTAAATTAAATATAAATATTTCTGTTTGGGAATGTGTTTGTCACACTATTTTGTAAGGTGTGAACAATTAGGATTTTGGAGGATACCAAAATACCTCTTTTGTTTCCCCACGGCCTTTATTACAAATTGTAATGTTTTTGTCAAGTGCTACGTGCGCTCAAATGTAGTATTTGTATTCCAAAAACTTAGATGTAATATTTCTTAATACATTGTATTATTATAATCAGTTTTTCTTTTGTCATTACGACGAATGTGAGTCGCACCTGAGGGTAGATTGGTATTTTAGGTACAGTTTCACCTTTTACCTTCGATTAAAGTTGACTAGCCGTTAACTATTAACAACTTATAACATTCAATTAACGTGTACTTCTCATTGTGAAAAAAACTATTGCGAAAAGCAAAAATCTTTTTCGATCTAATTTAAGGAAGTTAATTTTTCATATAAAGCAAATAGTGCAAAAGTCGTTTAAAAGAAAATGATTGACACGCAATTTGCAGTTATAGATTTCATTCAGCCGTTTTTGTCGACGAAAAATAATTCCTGCGCCTACACACACTACTTGGCAGATTTATGACATTTTGTAAAAATGCTCGAAACAAATCCAAAGCCAAAATAGGTAGACAGATCTTGTTTGTTATATGGCGGGGGTATATCACTTACAATCAAGTAAGCCCTATGCTTGTCTGTCCTCTATGATAAATAAAAAAAAAACATGTCAAGCCACATTCCAGTGATAAATCTCGCAACAACCTGTATAAGGTCATCACAAAGACTTGGTTTAAAACAAGTGTATATATTAGAAGGTAGTCGATGAAATAAAACATATTTACCTTTCTCTATTTATTTAACACAAATTAATCTAACAAGTACTTATGCTAAGTCTTAAACATAATATCTAACTCTTCAAGTTTAATGTACTGTGTAACCGAAAAAATAGTGGATTGTGAGTTACCATACAGGTATTTGTAGAGAGTAGTACGAATAGTACATCTAGCATCCATTTTATGTTTATTTCTCAACCGTTTAACCAAATTACCCGACGAGACGTTAACTCTATTGCTGTACGGCCACGCACAATAAAATTCAGCATTTACAAAGCGATACATAACCTAACTATTATATAACCCATGTGTGCGTGCTTAAAAAGACGAAGCCTAGTAGTAAACTGTCAATATAATATTGTCATTTCGCTCAGAACTAAGTCGGTATATAGACTCAATTCTGTACGCACTATAACTTTTTTTAAATAAAATATTAAATGTACTGCGGTTTAGTGAATTTGTACGTAGAAAATTAGGCTGAGGTCTCATATAAACGCTGTAACGCAGACGTAAAAAACACGTAGAGTTACGGTACTAATTTCTGACGATTACGAACGAAATTTGAACGAACAATGAATACTAGGTACCTTGACGCAACGTTACGCGTTACGCTATACGCGGGATACGGCGTTCAATGTCTGCTTATAATCACATTACCCTTAGGAAATCCTCCCACTAATATTTTAACTAAAATATAAAAATATATTATATGCGTGACCGCAATACAACTGTTTCAGGGCCCGTTTAAAAGAATACATAATTATAACAACCATTTTTACTATATTAAATTATTAACATACGAGCCCGGATTACTTGCTAAGTATTCAACATCTTTCCTCTCTTATCATAGCTACTGCCGTGAGAGAGACAAAAGATTACTTATCAAAATTGTAGTATATACGAAAATATTGGATAAACAGTATGTTGACATACTTTGTAACAAAAGTAATTCAAATATATGACGTATTTCTTTAGAACGAACTTTAAATTCAATAAGTTAGGCGAATGTGGTTTTTACATTTACATATTGAATGTTTCTCATATGTCACATTCTCTTAAGAAAAATATTAACATATATATATTTTTTGAATTATTCTGCACACCCAGAAGCCGGATGTCGGTTTTGAGCTACTCGCGTGACGTTTTCCAATACTATCGATCGATACAGTAATTTTTGTGAAAGATTAACAAACATACAATCGGAACAAACCTTCACATTTATAATATTAATAGGAATTTATTTGAAATCAATAGAAATGACAGTGTCGTCTATTGCTATCACTGTCTAATAATAAAAGATTTATCAATTTTAAATTAATATAATAACTTAATAAGTATTTTTAAACTATTATGCATATAGTGTTTATAGGCCTGGCAAAATAACCATAAAAAAACTAATCAATATATCCCTAATATAGCACTACGCCTTGTGTAACGTAGCGAGTTTACAAAAGTATTTTGGAGGGGAGTGGGGGGTGGTCAATCTTCAAAAAAACTGTTTACGTCGATTTTAATCATTATATCAGATTTGAGTGACGCTAGCGTATAGACAAAAGGCATAATTTTTGAGAATTGCTCTAAAACTAATTATACCAGTTATTGCACTTCAAAAATGCTTGTAGGCCAGATGAGTGTAACCAACAGATACATAGACGTTTAATAGACGAACAACAAGTCATCAAAATTTCGTCAAGAAGAGTACAGCCGTTTACAGTTTAAAGTTGTAAGAATACATACAAGTTGATTTTTTAAACAGCAATCCATAGCAAACGAAATTGTCAACCGGTTGTATTGCCAAAGGGCAAAGTGATTCCAAACGTTAATTTTGCTTCCGAAGAGGGTGGTCGTAAATTTTGTACTGCAGTCCAAACACTTATTAAGTTATGAAATTTACTCACAAAAACGATCACGCTACTTCCTCAGTGCCGTTAACTTCCGCGGTTTTCTCAACAGCCTCTACTTTCTCTACATCTGCGTTCTCTTTATCTACAACCGCTTTATCTGTGTCCACACTGTCCGTGTTCTTATCTGTGTCCATCTTGTCTGTCTGTTTGTCTGTTTCGCTGTCGAGCGTGTCTTGGCTGGATGTGTCCATGGTCTCCGGCTTGGAATCTTGCGATGTTTCGTCCGCACTTTGATCTGTTTCGGCTGTTAATTTCTCTTCTTGTGATTTGTCAGATTTGTCTGAAATATAAAGATTAAATAATTGATACAAGTCCTCTTAATTAAAGAAAAAAACTGTCAAGGACAATATTTATATTAAAAAAATAATAATAATAATGAAGATAAACCTGTTAATACAACATTCATAAGTTATAGAAGTGAAATCCCGTTTCCCCCTGTGGGGCATGGGGCGAACACATTTATGTGTCCGTTACACTGATCTACTTATTTTACAGGCAAGTAGATGAGACTTCTGTGCCCTACCCGACCGAAATAATATAGTTTCCTCCGCTTAACGCAATGCGAGACGTTTACTTATTTAGCTATAGAGATACAACTTGGCGTAAATTGGAAAATGGAGTCATAGTTTTTAATTTCTTTTATTCTCTTTAACATATTTACAATTATATTAAAAATGGCACTTTTTAGTATATTCAATATGTATCTATACTATAAAACTTTATTTAAAATGACTTTAAAAAATTACCAGTTTCATCTACTTCCATAGGCGTTTCTATCTTCTCGTCCCCGTTTACTTTCTGAAAAAGGAAACAAAATGATTAACAGACTGTTAAGTAAATGTGAAAGACTGCCATCTACCGTAAAACTCTAAAAACTTACTTAACCATACAATCTTGTTGTTTAAATCCATTTCCTAGACAATATTGTTAGCTGTGTTAGTTGATATCCTAAAGTACCCCAAAGGAACTTTTTAATTTTTTTATTATACCCAAACCTATTTGTGTATACCTATTTAGGTTTTCATAAAATATATAAAAATATATATATAACCAATCTAATGGTACATGCCAAATTTAAACTAATACTTCTTTTGACTTATGAGGACTCTTTTGTAGTAATTTGATTATCAACACTAATAAATGATGACGTTAAGTTAACGATTGTAGATGTCTTATTTTAAATTCAAATATAACGGTCACGATTAGGGTTTTAACGATTGTTAGTTTTAATCAATGTCACTATTTATCGGTGAAACTAAACGTTCCAAATTTTTCGATTTAATTTTCTCTCTCTCTATAAAATAACATAAATACATGTATAATAATTTTAATATAATAATAAAAAACTCATGCATTCAAATTCAACTACGAGACAAACATAAGTACTAACTAAAAACTTGATCGTTTCTTTCCCTCGAAAACTACAATAATCCGACAACAGTCAGACAGTCGACAGATAATTTTAATACTGTCACGTAGTTACGTACTTGTCAGAAACAGTATGGCTAAGTGAAACAATTTGAATAATACTTCTTAACGGTTTAAAACGCAATATATAATTTACCTTTTTTATTTATTTTGACTACGACTCAACGTCTCAGTCGCACCCTTTTATTAATATTCACAAAAATAAGTTACCAAATCGCGTTTTAAACGGTTAAATATGTATTATTTGCGTAAACTACTGACATTTATTCTTAATGTTGACATGGCAATGTGCATTTGTAAACTACTTTTGTACATTTAAAGAATCGACAAGAGTCGAACATCCAACAGCGAGTCTGAGTTAATCAAATTAAGCAAATGACGTCACAATATGTCAACCGAAGTTCTAGAGTACTCTAACCGTATCCAAGTGACAGTACGAAAATCATCTGTTTGTAAAATAAAAGAAAATAAAACCTAGTGCTTTTGCTGCTTCCGGGCGCTTTCCTTTTTTTCTTAACCTACAATGTATAAATAAACTTTACCACTCGTAACCAATATTAACTCAAAAGAAAATGTCCTAGTAGTGCCTAAATTAACATTATGACACTTGAAGCACACTATTTAAAACATGGTCCCTTATTGATGATGAAGTAAAAAAAGAGGGGCATCCATCTTCAGAGACCACTTATAAACATTCCTAGTGCCGAATTGTGGAGTAGCATGGCGAGGTAGAATTCTAAATCCCTCCCCAAAAGTGGGACATTAGGTGTAAGTGAATACATTTTAATTTAGTAAAAGGTAAAGCCCACCAACCAGCTCTGGAGCAGCATGGTGAGGTTCAGTTCTAAATCCCTCCCCAAAAGTGGGACTTTAGGTGTAAGTGAATAAATACATTTTAATTTAGTAACGGTCGTAAGAGCCCACAGACCAGCTCTGGAGTAGCATGGTCCAAGTTTGTACTCACTTCAGTTTTTTCACTGGTCTCCTTGCTAGGAGCCCGGTTCCGCGTACGGTTTTCAACCTTGGCTTCCGTCTCCTTGCTAGGAGCCCGGTTCCGCGTGCGGTTTCCAACCTTGGCTTCCGTCTTCTCGTTAACTTCACTTGAGCTCGTCGATGTTATGTGCTGGTCCTGCTCCTGTTTGGCTTTCTTCGGCTTCGGTTCTGCAGGTTCCACTTCCGCTTCTGGCTCTTCTTCTTCCGGTTGAGGCGTGGGCTCCTTTTGCGGAGAGGTGTCCTCCTGTAAGAAATTTCAGTCGTCTCAAGATAATACAAAGTTTCTATATATTTGAAGCTTGTTAAGATTTTAGTGATAAAGCAGTCTAGGCACAGCGGTTAGATCTTGGGTTCGAATTCTCGGACAACATTATCAATTCGATCGGAACGGACACTTAATTGCTGGCCAGTAAATAAGATCACTAGACTAGACTAATAGAGACACACAAATGCATCTGTCCCTATGTCAAACTTGGAGGAAATGGTTACTCCGTGTATAGTAAATAACTAACTAAAAATCTAATAAGAGAGTCAAAAATTTACGACACGGGTGGTACATGAACCAGCTTCCACAGCGTTGCTCTAACCACTTTAACGTGACACTAACCACGAACAGCACGGTATGCTGACCACCAGCTGATATCCTGGCGGGTTTGTGGCCACCCTCGGTGATATTGACGCCGACGCAGATCGATGGAGTAGGTTCATTCGCGTCGGAACTAGAACCTGTACCCAGTTGACCTTCGCTGCCCATTCCCCACGCCAGCACTTCACCTAGAAACAAAATATTATATGCAAGACTTTTAATTACTTCGAATCCGAATCGGTCGAATCCCGGGAAAATAATCGATTGTTTAGGTCAGGCAGAGCACAGAAGTCTGATCTGAGACTGAATCGGACACAGAAATGTGTTCGCCCCATGCCCCACGGGGTGAAAGAGTATTTCTGGTTTTGTGATTTAAAAACTGCCAAAACAGACGAGTTCCGAACCCGCAACGAGCTGTAATATTCATTCCTTTAATTCAAAACTGAAGAAATCACATACTGGGTATACTTGAATTGCAGATTTCATTTAAGCAAAAACTAGTTAATTAAATTAACAGTGTTTAATCTTTTGTGCCCTGCCTGACCGAAATTCTCGGTATTTGATACCAGGGTGCCATGTATGTTACTTAATTAATAAAACAATAGTACACAAATATATACCTGTATCGGTCACTGCAAATGAATTACTGGTCCCCGCTGCTATACTAATGCACTTTTTGTTCTGTAGTTTGGGGATGGCTTCTAGGCCTTCTGCATCTGTCGTCCTATCGCCTAAGCCTAGCCTGAAAAGATATTTTTATTTCCAGATGATAAATAAAACTATTTTATGCAGATGTTTACATACTAAAACCTTTTGTGGAAAACCACATAACATTTATTAAAAAAAAATCTTTACAACATAAACTATGATATATGTATTTACATTTATTTCACCGAAGAGTTGAAAGATCTTCCATAGGGAGGAAATGGGGATATGGGTGAAATAGTTAGACAATGTGGACCACCCAGGCTTCTATTAGTGTCCCCAATAGAAAAACAGCATTTAAATTGTAGCTTATTCTTAGTTGGTCAAAAAATATGAAAATAAACATTTAAATAAAACAATTTAACAGTTTAAAACGCGATACATATTAGTTACTTTTTTTGGAAATTATTTTTTTACGGCCCATTTCGGAAGCTTTGCAGCAGCCGCAGTCACGTAGAAAGTAAGTTCAACTAATATATATCGCGTTCTAAACCGTTATTGTTTAATTTAAATAAAGTTTTTTTTAAGTCTAAATGATTGATCAACGACCTTCCATATTCGCAGCGCCCCACAGCGTACGCCTGCCCGTTAGAGTCCAGAGCCAGCGAATGGTGTTGGCCCAAGGCCACTTCTTGCCAGCTGACGGTAGTAGAGAACGCATCGCATTCCATCGGCGTGTATAGTGCTGTTTTGCGTTTTTCTCCTGTTATACCTGGAAAATGATCAATATAATATTGAGATACTGTATAATCACAGATAAAATTGTGTACTACTCGCGTAAACTATAGACAGTATTTACTTACCAAGTTGTCCATAATTATTGAGACCCCACGCGAACATTTTGTCGGTGTTGGCGTCTAGCGCGAAGGTGGCGTGGTAGCCGGCCCAAATGCGGGACACGATAAACTTTAACGGGACTTTTGATGGTACCAACAACGCGCCTGAAAAAAGTGTTTCACTTGTTTAAAATGTATAAGAAAGATAAGAAGGCATAAATATTATTATTGTAATGTTCTGTTAATACTTACTGAATCCTTGTCGAGCCTCCCTAGAAGCTGACCGTTGAGACAATCTACCGAGCTGACCTTGTTCACCACAACCCATTGTGTAAACGGCACCACTTGACTACAAAAATAATTTATATGGTCAAAATGACAATACCCAAAAATATTTTAGTTGGAAAATATGAAGATATGAGAATATAAGAATTTATTTATACCTTTGGTCTATAATGCTGAGTGTCATGAGAATTAAATGTTTAGTTTACTTACTGTTAGAACAACCAGATGATCTCCACCCGAAGCAATAGCCACAGCTGTCTCCGGTATGTTCACTTTTAGAGGTTCCTTCGATGATTTTCCCTCTCGAGCACGTAAAACTAAACCCATGCTACCATGCGAGTCCTATAAACAGTTTAAAACAGGAAATATTATTTAACTTATGTTTTATTTATCTTGACTATGACCCGATGGTTTGGATGCTTTACAGCAGCTGTGGTCACGAAGCGATTATGGAGTATTTGTGATTTTAAATGTGTAGCACTGGCGTAAACTACAGGCAATACTTTCAATGTCTTAAGGACGTTTGAAATACTTTTTTTTATATTTCATTTTTCCATACTTTAAACATTAACAACATTATGAGTATGTATAGAGACTAACTATATTTTAAACTTACTCTAAAGGCACCCCAAGCGTAAACATCTCCGTTGCTTAGCAATGCCCCAGAATGGGAATCCCCTGCCGAGATAGCAACAGCAGGTGAAGGTAGAGAGACCATGCCTGCTGTACCTTCTTCTTGCTCATTTGTTGTTGGTCTGCCTAGGGCTCCTTCATCATTACATCCAAATGTCCACACCTAGTTATATGAAGACACACGATTTTATAAATTTTTTTTCAAATAAGAAACTGAAAAGATTACTATATAATAGTTATGCCGATACAAAAAAATGGTCACATGAGGTCTCATAGTAGTAAGATATTAACATATTTAATACACAATTATCTATTCAGACTCTTTTCTATACATACATAATTAGTATTATTCGACTAACATTTGAAAACAAACAAAATTTCCTGCTATTTCATGAAATTGTTACTTTTAAACTGGTAATATATATTATTTACCTTTCCATTAGCATCAAGTGCAATAGTATGCATACCACCAGCACAAGCATCAATGACTTTGCTACCCAAGGCTGTGACTTGCTTGAACCTAGAAAAAATGATAAAAAATTTTACTCAAAAGGAAAAATAATAAAAGCTCTCTTACATTATCATACTTCTGTTTATTAATAGTGTTATACTTGAATTGTATGACGAGATAACAGATCCATTTAAAATACATACTTGACACACTCCAGGACATCTTCGCCGAGTCCCAACTGTCCAACATCTCCCTGGCCACATGTTAGAACGCAGCCACGACCCTTAGGCGCACTTGGGATCTCTAACTGTACGGCTGAAATACATTTTTATAATTATAAATTTATTAAATTTTTATTATACACATGGGGAAAAAAATGGTCTGACTTAGACATGAAAAGATATACGAGGTTTAAGTTCAAAAGCTTAGGTGTTGAGGAAAAATGGCATCAGAGTTTAATAATAAATATATATGTATGTATGGTCCTTAATATGTTGATTTAAGTGTGTCATTCATCTGAAGGAACAAAAACTAAGCCAAAAATGGACGGCCAAAGCCTTACTCTAGTGTTTAGAGTAATTTGCTAATTTATTAAACTAAATGTCTGAAAATAAATACAGTCTCATGTATTATTATAATTAAAAAGTGAATGAGAAAAAAAGGCCGTACCACTGAAGTTTAAAAACTGAATGCCTTAACCTTCAACGATTCCATTATAATCTAACCTATCATCTAAATATTAAAATAATTATTTTGCGAAGGTCATTAATGCAAATATATTATTTAACTTTGTACATAAAACAGAATCAATATCATGTTTTAGCTTTAAGTAGGTACTTATAAAGATAACTGTGGCGGCCGCGAGTTCTCAAACTTCAACATAAAAAACGTTACCTACGTTTTGGTACATTAAATTGTCGCGATAATTCGTCTAACCTCAAAACTTTCCATTACAACTGACGCTTACGTAATTAACCATTCATTTTATCAATATTCAGAGTTAAATAGCATTAGCCAAGAAAGTACTAATTAGAATAATTATCACGAAAACCTAAATAGTAAACATTACGGAACAATGCGAAAAGGCGCCAATGGAAGAGAATGCATTTCCCGCCATTACAGTTTGACAGGTCATTGACGTCGTAGAAATGTAAAGAAAACAAGCGCTATACAAACTTACCTCCTCGTTTTTTCTTGCTTTTAGGTCCCGACGCAGCCGTTACTGCCGAAGACTTCGAAGCTGTTCTTTTAACACCTCGGGCCGCCGGCATATCTGTAATATTCAACAAAACGCGTCAGTAAACAAGCCTTGAAGCGCGGCAAATATCGTGCTTGGTACTTTGGCTTGATGACGTCTTTACGGCTTCTATGATACTGTTAGCTTGAAACTTCACGTCCGTATCTGAATATCTATTATAACACGACTAATATATCACTGATTTATTCAAAGCTATCATAGGTTATATTATGCGTTCGTATAGCACTACACTTGCACTGAAAAAACAAGCCAACATGAAAACGATATCATATTCGATTGTCGTAAGCTAATTGACTTACTGTAGAGTAAATAATTGATTTATAATTTGTTTCCCAACAATTTTATAAAATAATGTTATCACAAAAATACGAGATGACGTATTATTTCGGGAGAGTACAAATCCCGTAGTCGTACATTTCAATTTTGAACAATTTTGCTTTTTGTCACGTCAATTGTCATTGTCGGAACTTGACATTTTAAGTTTGTATATCATGGTTAACTGACAATTGGCACAGATAATAAATGTGTGGATAAGGTGCAGATAAATTCTATTTTTTCACTATCGATTCGTTATTAATATGTATGTACTTGAAATTAAAAAATGAGCCTTATTAATCAAACTTTCTGTTACAGGGAGATGGAGTTTACCTACTCAAAAATTTCTCGAGTTACATAATATTATACTGATACAGTCTGGTTAAAGTTTACTTTAATTTGTTTTGTAAATAAACAAAACTAAATAGTTTTGTTTATTTACAAAACAAATATTACAATAATTAATATAATTGTACATACAAAGTATAACATAAACAAAACTAAATAGTTTTGTTTATATTATACTTTGTATGTACAATTATTAGACATTAATTAATAACACATTACAAATTAATTAAATTAAATTATTATATTTTCCCCTTGATTCTAATTTTTGTTTTGTAAAAGCAGGTGGTACACGGTGGTACCAAAACAGCTACGAATAACATTAGCATATATATCGAATTGGGAAGGTATGAATTATGATTTATACTAAGTGTTCTGTCCTTGTAGATATTAGAATGCAATTTCAAAAATACAGTACCTAATACCTCTTTAGTATTCTATACTTAAGATATAGAGCAAAATAAATATTTCAACGATAAAACCCAAACTAATATTAGGTACGTTTAGGAGGATATTGCAAAGTTTTTTTTAACACTACTTAAAATAATGATATTATACCTTCTTACATATCCATTATAGGATTACACATTTTTCGTTTTGTTTTGTATTGCCTGGTTAAGACCGCTGATTAGTGAAGGCCGCTTTCTGCCCTCTATTACAATATTCCTATCGATCTTAAATATTTAAAACCACATATTTTAAATAGATTTATTCTTAAATGCTGTCTGTTTACGCGAGTAGTACACAATTAAGTAAAACACTTTAACAGCCATAACCGTGGTCTCCCCGTGACCAAGGCTGCTGCAAACATCCGAAACGAAGTTTTTTTAAAGAATATTTAAGGATTTTGTTTATTTTTAAATATTATTTGTATATAGGAGATTATCATTTTAAATTATTTAAAAAAAACGATTTCCTGTATTTTAAATTTATTTTGAGTACGAAGGGACTTTGCCTCTGGATCGTTCCCTTCATACACGTAAACCTCAAAATCCCAATAAACCAAAGACTTTGCTATCAACGAGGTGAGCCAAGATAAAACAGTGGGTGGTCTCCAACATAGCACCGCCCACCTTGAAAGCCTTTTATATCGTTTTCCCGCTCTTACGAAAATATAGATACAACCATTGGACACTACTCCATACTATTAATTAATATAAAATAAACTATCTTTATGTATTTTTAATCTGTATATGAAATCATTTTCTGTTTTAAAATATTAATTATAATTTTATACGTCAATTATTGAAATTATTTACGACAAACGGCTAATACTTTCAAACCTGCCTTTGCTTGTACTAAATATATAAATGATGTGGTTAATGGCTTCTAGCATTGATTTTTACTGAAATATTCAATAATTGTTGATGTGGAAATAGGAAAGCAGATTTAAAGAGTTGTTTTAAGTACAGCAGTATAAAGTTTTAGCTAACGAAAGAATATGTAGGTACTAAGTAATTTTTAAGGCAGCGTAGAACAGGAAAATATGGACTATCTATCTACAATTAAATTAAACTGTTCAAATATATTTTGGCTTTGGACAATCAGATATCCAGAGACTGTATTTGAAGTACTATTTTCTCTCCAATGAATATTTTGCTATCAGACAGAAGGTCGAAATTTCGATGTTCTTACAGAAAAAAAAGTCTCCTACTCGTTCGTTATAAGCCATAGGTAGGTACATTGATTTTTTCTTATAATTTATTTTACGCCGAAAAGTTCGCTTGTGAGAAATGGGCCCGCTGCGTTCAATTACATCATAGGTATAGATTTTATTTGTATTTGTTTTGTCCAATGAAAAATAAATAAATTTATATGTACATTGTTCGTACCTCTCAACCATCTAATAATATATACTAATATTTTAAAGCGGAAGGCTTTGTTTGTTAATCTCGGAAACTCCTGGTTCGAATTAAGCATTATATTTGTGTTGGTTGGATTACTTATCGCGGAAAGCAAAAGGCTATAAAAAGTCAGACTGCAAAGAATATGGGGAACAAACAGAAGGAAATGTGGAAAGAAACGGGGAAAATTATACATCTGTGAGGGTTTACTTTGCGTGAACCGTTTCCGAAGGTTCAAGGAACCAAAGAATATGTAGGTATTGTAAAATGATTCCTATTTTAGTAAACTGAAAAAATGTCCGCAACAGTAGGTAGGTATATGACGCGGACGCCGCCGTGGGCACAATTTATGAAGATGAGAAGGAGTTTTGCAAAAATAAATAATGTCATGCTTAAAATAAAAATTCCACGCGGACGGAGTGGTGGGCATAGCTAGTCTATATTTTTAATTTCATTTCAGCTATCCCAAAAACAACGGCATCAGACTTGTCAAATTTTAGTGTTCTCGCCACAATTCAACCAACTGTTATTGTGTCGCATAAATAAACATTTAATCTCTATCGACTAACTACATTACTGTCTCTCGGATCGGGCCCACCACGCTGTAACGTGACCCTGCCGTTTATAACCCGTGCCACCCGCTTCGAAAATGCCTGGTTCATATTTTTTGTCTTCATATTCCGTTTAACGCGTTGAGAAAGTTTTATGGAAACGACTTGGCCCGTCGTGCATTCAGCGTTAGGAGTCTTGAGTTCGAATCCCGGGGTTCGGTTCCCCCGAACAAATTTACTTTATTTCATATTTTATATCAGTGAAATAGATACAGAAGTGTAAAAGAAATATGTGTCAGTGGTAACCCTGGTTGCTTATTTTTAAATTGAATTTTGATGAGATTGTTGAGCTGATGTAAAAAATGTTTGCCTAATAATCAACGGGTCCTAGGTTCGACCCTAACGGTATCCAACATGTTTTTAATAGATTTTCAATTAAAACAAAACTATCTTCACCTAGAAGGCCTTCAGGATTAGTTTTTAGCATTTGCATGTGCAAAAAGCACTATAGTTTAAATCTAGATTTTTTTATACATATATATAGGTACTACCTTGCAGTAAATTTCCGATCTATGTAGGTACATAATCTTAGAGTTGAAAATACTTTCTAGAAGTTGTCCAGTTTAGTCCATTTTAAGAAATACGTATGTACTTTATGTCCCCAAAGAAATAGCCATTAAGGATTTTGAAATTAGTGTACCTAAAGATTTAATTAAATACTTTAAAAGGGGCCTAGCCCTTTTTTGAACTAAGTATTTCAAAAGTAACAAATATTTTTATTAAAATTAAAATGAATAAAATCCCTTAGCGCCGCTGTGATCTGTAGAACTCGATTGATATTGTAAACTAGTTGTCACCCACGACGGCGTCTGCGTCCTGTCGCAAAAGACATTTTTCCCCCCATGTTTATTTGCTTGATTGGTTGCAGCGTTATTTTATATACATAGTCTTCCTCGATAAATGGTACTACAAATAATATTTCAATTTGGATGAGTAGTTCTTGACAATAACGCGTTCAAACAAACAAACTCCTTCAGCGTTATAATATTAGTATAGATTGTCTCATGACTTTAGTTGCTTGTAGGTAAATGTGGCACCCCGCTGTGACGTTCTATAGCGATACGGAACCACAAGCAACAAATCAAATCAACTTAGATGATTACTCAGCTGTTTACTCCCCAATTTTAAATGTTTTTTACGTCAAAACTAGTACCCTTCCCCTTTGACCGCGGCTGCTGTAAAGCGTTAGAAATCTCGGGTTGTTAATTATCAATTAGATAACAGATTTGGTTCACGATTTAAACCGTTAGTATATATAAATTTAGTACCTACCTACCTACTTTAATAAATTATTTTTTGATTCTGATTTTGCTTATTGAAAAAACGGAAAATCGGGAAAATCATTAAAAGCTGAGAGTGTTATTTGCAGAAATAAATTTCAATGCTCAAAATAGCCACGCGAAAGAAGTCGCGGTCACAACTAGTTAAGTAGCGGTCACGGCTGGGTAACTATAGTGACTTCTTACTTTATGCAGGATGTCAATTTTATTCTGGTTAATTTGTTACCTTGTCTTGCCGTTGTGAAAAAACCTTTGTTGCCATTGTACAAAATCCATCCAAAGCAATCATTCACGCTACTTAGCTTGTTACTAAGCACATTGTCGGCGCCCTCGTTGAATAGCCCTTGTTAAATTAATGGCCACAAAAAATATATTGCTATCTATAAGAGGACGATAGTAGAAATTATTGGGGAAATACATTTGAATAGCAGAGCCCGCGACTTCGTCCTCGAAAAATACTTGTTTTGAGCATAATTTTTGCAAACCTCAGCCGTAAATATTGTAGCGTACGAATTAATCTTGAAAAATAGACATACACTGTCGCGGAGGTTTTTTTGGGCTATTTCATGAAGAATCATTCTTTCATACATATTTTTATGTCTCTCTAAGAAACAAATACTTTTATAATATTAGTATAATAATATAGATTTAAAATAGTGTTCACTCAATGTCTCTACATGTTTATTCGTTATTAAATTATTAAAAGACATTAATTCGTACCACGAAAAAATACGAAACCGATGAATTATTTATATAGAAGGTTTTTCAAATGTTTTATTAATCGTAAATATACATTTTTAATACATTTAATGACCTTTCATCTTAATGTGTGTAACGTATAAAAAAATAACATCCTTTATTTATAAGTAAATAGATTATTGTCTGTAGTTTACTCGAGTAGAACTCATTTAAGTAAAACACTTTTAACGTTTTAAAACGCGAATATTAGTTCAATCGTAGTAAAAAAATAAGTTCACTTCGCGTTTTAAACCGTGTAATATATTTGAATTGGCTGACTTAACAAGCACGTAATTTTAAATACTTACTTATTTTTAATATTACAATTTGTATTTACAAAATACCTACTTATACCTAATAATATTAAGTAATAATATAGGTACTTACCTACTGTATGTAAAACACTACCATTACAAAGAGATCAAAACCCCTCTAAGGTTTGTAAAATTTTTATCTTGTTAAAGATCGTTCTGATTGTGATTATATTGATACTCGACTGATGGTTAAGTCAGCATTATATATACACTTTTAAGGGTTCCGCATTCATAATTAAACATATTGGCCTATAGGCTATATTATTACTTGTACTAGTATTGTGTATTAAGAAAAATAATTATTTTATGTTGATTTCTCTACGGACTTAGTTACTGTGTTGTCTGCAAATATATTTAATAGAATTAATCTTATAAAGAAAGTTGAAACTTATTATTTATTTTAGACATTTGGAATATAGTAGGTAATGTCATTATGGTAATTACAATATTAAGTTAGCCTAACCTTAGAATTAACATTAAAGGAAACATAGAAATTGCACTAATAATAAATAATAAGACTTAACTTTGATAATAATTATTTGTTATATTTCTAGTGTTTACGATTATCTTTAAAAATAATAATCTGTGGATCCCTAAAACGACGCCGGTATTTTTGACAGTGAAAACAAGATGTCTACCGCTAAATGTCACCGAACAAAGAGCGCTAAGTACAAAAGCACTCAACAAAAGGCGCCAAATAAGCGTATAATAGCCATATTCAATGGATTAAGAACAAACTTTATGTAGAGCTTACAATCTCTTATTGCTGGGCGAAAAGGTCGAGTTTTATTCGTTTTCAAAAATACGCGGGACTGCCGTATTTCTTTTTAAATTTCGACATAGAGTATAGATTTGTCAGAGACGAAATGACCAAGGAGTTTGATTATAAATAGGTTACATTTAGGAAAATAAAAATATAAGAAATAAGTATCTATTGCTTTTTTTGTTAATTATATTACTCTCTCTGCTAAGTTAAATTCATTTTTTTTCTGTGACTTATTTATTTTGAAAATTGTATTATTTTTCACATGATGCACTTAAAAATCTGCAGTTGCTCTAACGATCTACCTCTCTCTTTGCTCTATCTACCAGGACTTTGTAGCTCAATTGGTTAGAGCAACAAAACGAAACGCTGAGGATGCTAGTTCAAGTGCTGCCCGAGTCGTAATTTTTTTAAATTTTTAATTCGAACAGAATTTGATTATTTTTATCCAACATAACTGCCATCAACATATCATACGATATGGTTTAACTGTTTAATTCCGTTTCAACGCTCTAACCAAATATTTCGTTACTACGATTCTATAAACTGTGGCTTTAGTGAAGAATGGAATAAAATGAGCAAACTATGGAGTCCCGCCTTTGATAATGGGACATGTTTTTGGTACGCTTTTAACTTTGTTTGAACATGTGGCGTTTAGGACCGGGACAAACGTCTTAATAAGGACGGGATATTTTATTTTCCATTACGCTGTCTTCTTCTTCTTCTTCCGGTGTCTCTCGATTATTGCAGGTCTTAGAATACTCTTATTTTAATATTTGCAAATGTTTCTTGTACCAAATAATAAATAAACTGATCAATATTTCGTTAAATGAAAAAAATTAAAACTTAAACATAGGTATACAAATTTCGATGTGCACTTCATATGAGCTAGGTTCGAATCGTGCACGTATTATCGATTTTTTGATTATGTTTTCAATTAATATCTTTTGTATAACTATTTTATTTATCTCCTATGTTTTTACAAAGAGTAGTAATACTGCCAGTAACATTTTTAAATGACGGTGAAACTATACGGTCAGTAAATAATTAAGGAAAATGTAGATTACACAATTTAAATTGATATTATAATGTAAATATATTTTTTTAAATCTATTTATTCGAGTAAAATTACAAAAGCTTAGTCGTGTTCATTTTGTGTATACCATAACGAGCTGGCTATTATTGACCTTTAAGTTTGTACAGCGTACTAGTAAGTAGGTAGGTACAAAAAAAACATTGCACGCGAAGAGGAACGATCGAGAATTTTCACTCGACAAAAATTACAAAACAGCTGACATAATTCCAACAGCCTAAACAAGACCAAAACATTTCTCCATGAGCAGTCAGACTGATTTAATAATATCAGCTGTGTGTTGAAAATATCTTTCCGAAATAATTAAAATACGCCTACTTTAACGAACCCAATTGTTTTACAAACGCTAAAATGGCGAACCCGTCAGGCAACCAATAGAAGGCGTGACTATCACCACAAAATACGCGCTACGATTGGTCATTAGAACCTGTTCATTACGATCGACCAATCAGGTTCGAGGAAAGAGGTTTACGTGAATCCAGTACCATTTTTGCGTTCGGTCCGTATAGACGGTTAACGTGCTTTTTGAACCGAAAAAATCGTCCAGTGATCGCTGATTATTTGCAAAACGTGTGCGCATTTGAACCGTATGTGCTGTATAGTGATAAGTCTATAATTGATGCGAAAGAGTCGAATTTGGATGTAAATAGGTTACATTTCGTCACGGGTAAGCAGTTATTTTTAGCATTTAGCTTGTTAAAGTTTGTTATGTGTGGCCGGTCTTAATTTAGAGTTGCATATTAGTGTGAGTACGCGACGGGCGTCCAGCTTCCTTATTACTTGCCGTCGGTAGAGTTAATCCTGACGAATTTAAAATGCCATTCGTGCTGGACACGAGAGCTTAAAATCATGACCAGCCAGAACTTCATCCTTGAGTTAAGATTGTTAAAAGTGGAGTAAATAGTATGCTTGGAACTGAAAAGGTTTTGGCTAATAATCTGCAGATTGCGGGTTCGATCCCCACCGAGTCCAATATGTTCCTTATCAATGGGGTGTTTCACCTTCTATCAAGTGAAGTCCATGCTGGTCTCTCCATCATCTGTCTATCTATCATATAAAGTGTAGATTCCCTAACTTCTAGGTGCACTAAGATGGAGTTGGTAGTTGGTTCATAAATTTGCAATTGGTTCGATTACTCACTTAACTCAACTCGACTCATTTTTCAAAAGGTTTTTAAATACGAAATTCCGTCAGTGTCCAATTACGGTAAAGCCGGGTTCTCGGTATATGCGCGTCTCAATCTGTGTCCTGGTTCAATCTGTGGATTTCCAAAGGTCCACAGAGAAATAAGTCAACACTAATTACCTAGGTGTTCCAGTCCTGGGATGTTTCACCTTCCATCAAGTGAAGTGAAGTGTCTCTAAAGAAATATACATTAATAGAGGCCTTTTGAATGATATTTGAGATAAATGATCATATATACTTAATGTAACATTAATTATTATTTTTCATTAGGTAAAATGTTGCAAAGCGCTACATTTTTCTCTACGAGTTACTATGTCCTAGGAGTATTAAGGTCATACTTACATACGTATAAACTTACATATCTATATTTATTTATATCATAAAATTATTTTATCATAAAGTAATACACTAGGTCTCTCATTAATAAAAAAAAAATCATTAAATATATAACATGGACTGGTTGCGAACCGCCCGCTGTGTTGCGTGCTCTACAAATTATTTTAAATTGTAACCGTTTTTCAACTTTAGATTTAAAATTTTCCCTGGAAAATTATTGACGTAGTATCCATAATTATAATCTCTAAGATATCCTGCATAAAGATCGCAGATGGGCAAATTTTTATTTAGAGTCAAAATGGCACGAATGTACTGAGCTGGTAATCTAGTTAAAATGTCGCGGTATAGTGGAATAATTAATAAACCCAATTGACCTGACGATACATCCTAATTTATATAAATACACTGATTAAATTAAATAATATAAAACATATAGAGTAAAAATAGAATTACGTTTTTTCAGAAACATCACCATATTTACATTTCTATTACTTAACAACGTACGTAATAACAAAAAAAAAACATGATTTTCAATAACATCTTAGGCGAAAATGAATTTGTACTAATATTTGTGTAAGACCTATGTTAGCACTAAACCACTGTCATAAAAATTAAGTAAGCTAAGTCATAAAATTGCATTTAGGCTACTCTGGCTTTAGCGGCCTCCTATATAATAAACAATAGCTAAACAGAATAGTGAAGTACTTTAAATACTTTTAATTACGTTTCTATAGTAGTTAAGATATTGAAAATAAGTTTTTACGACATTAAGTAAATACCTTAAAAACTTTATCGTCCTGGATAATCATAACTTAGCCGTGATATGACCTAACATGGTCATTAATTAACCCCCTACAGCTTTGCCCATAAAAACCGTTTTACGCTTTCCGATACGATCTGACACGAGCGTTAGGCCTATTCGATATTTGAATTTAATATTTTTTTATGGTTATTGTCTGTGGTCGCATCAACTGCTTGTTTACGTTCATGTAGATTAAAAATGTGGGGCCTACTTCGATTTATTGTCTACAGATAAAGCCTAGGTGCAATTCTAGGCACGTTGGTTGTTCTTGACTGCTTTCGTAACATACACAATAATAAAAAAAAACAGACAGACTATTCACCTGGTGGGGATCAAACCCACGACCCGTTGGTTATTGTTACAATTAGACCAACGAACCCATCAAAAACCTAACGGGCTTCTCTGTAGATAAAGCTTTGGAGGTTTAACTCTAGGCACGTTAATTGGACACAAACAAAAAATATATAAATCTTTTCTTTGCTTTATTAACGTAAATCTTAGTACAGAACAATCAGTAGGTAACACTATCTTATAGTTCACCGGAGGTCCGATATTATACGCTTATGTGTTCTAGTCCTTGTTTTATAAGCCCTTAAACCATGTTTTGAGGTATATACTTATAAGGCACTGATCAAACGAGTCTGTGCTTGTTTTTTTAAGTCTATGTATGTTACTTTAATGCTACTTTACGTATGATTTTTCACGTTTATTGTTTGAAATTAGATACTAAATGGGTGGTAGTAATATCGAAATTCCGTCAGATCACGAACCACTATCCACAGGTGAGAGATCCGTGAAGAAAGACCGCGTTACGGTTTCAATTTGTGGATCGGAATGAAAAACCTAAATAGATAGACTTCTTGATTAGATCTTGTCCCCTCTATCATAGAAAAAGGCTATTGATCTACAATGACAATATATTATATCTAGGGTGGCAAAAATCTGACCGTTTAAATATTTGTGACGCATATTCTCAGGACATAAGTGAAATAACTAAAATCACATCGCTAATAGCGAGGTGATTTGTTCCATTATCATGGTGCAGTAATCTGTCGATAAATCTTGTGTTTTACAGCTGGTGCCCGCGATAAGGATCGTACGCCACGTGGGGTACTAGTGTTGTACTCGACAACGATACGACATTTATTTTTGTTAGGTATACATATTTGGATTAAAAATCGGTTTTAATTGAAAAAAGTTGTGTGCGATAGCTCTCTTTGCCGGTTTTTCATTTATATAGTGCCATCATGTGCAATACCATGTAGAAAGTATCAAAGTTTTAAAAAAATAATTTGAAATATTATAATAATGGCGGTCTCATCTGCTCAAAGGTACTTAAGACGTCGTTTTCGTCACTTTTTTTATTATTGTTACCTCCTTTTTAAACGATTTGATTCCATGTTTCATAGAGTCAAAGTACCTTGTATATTGTATACTTGGTTTGTTGTATATTGTAGAATTTTTCTCTCTCTTTGTAAATATGTTTCTTTATGTTAGTGTTTATAGTTTTAAGGTAATATTTTAAGATAATATTTTTGTATAGAATACTCAATACAAACCTCGCTTTCAACAGTCTCTTGTATAATTCTTACTGTCGTTACGTAGGCGATGTACAGTCTAAGTTTATTATTGAAAATAGGTTGAATGGAATATTTTTATTACAAATATGAGCCAATTCTAAAACTAAAGACTTTGGATACGTGCCATCGTAATAAATTGGCTGAATTAAATTTTTGAGCACGAATTTTAACGAATGACAAATGCCTACAAAACACTAAATGGTACGAGACTAGTGTTTGAAATAAATACATTCGGAAACACCTGGGGCATCTGCATATCGAATTCAATAACCAGATAAAACTTTAGCCCACTTCAAAAAATCGTATATAACTGTCTATAGTTTCCTCGAGTAGTACACATTTAAACGAAACACTTAACGGTTTAAAACGCGATATATATTAGTTAAACTTATTTGATCATTTTCAAATAAGTTTAACTAATATATATCTTAACTTCGGCCCGACGTTTTGGATGCTTTACAGCAGCCGTGGTCACGGGGAGACTGTGTTTTATTTAAAAATCGTATAGGTATATATTTATTCTCAGAAACGTTTGTTAATTTCAACCTATTAACGAACCACTGCTAAGCACAGGCCGCTGACAGTCTAAGAATTGAAAGCGTAAGGACTATTTTTAATAACCGTGATCGACAGCTAACAGAGAAGCATGAAATTCACTTGATGGTGGTTAAAATACCCCAGCCATGTAACAAGATGCGCTGTCGACTTTCCTATGACTATTTTGCTTTTGGATATTCGGAAATCCACTAAACGCCATTACACTTGACGGCTTTTTCACCTGTGGACGGTGATTCGTGGCTAGGACGCAATTTCGACATAGCATCAATTTTTTTTTAATTTGAAAATTTCCCAAACGAAGTCCAGCGTGTTTAAAAAATATATAAATAGATAAGAAACACGTTGAACCCAGGGGCGATCGAAGCCACGACCCGTGGATTATTAGCCACATTACACCAATGAGCTCGTCAAAATATCGTATCATTCTAGCGTACTATCCAATATGACTGAACCATTGTTAACAGATACAAATTAAAATTAAATCTATTTGAATAGCGTGTGAGAGGCCGAATTGTTAATTTGACGTTTAGTAGTAGCTAGGTATATAAACTCAGAATACATCATGAACTAGCTGGTGTAGCGACTTCGTCCGCTAAGAATAGTTATTTTGGGCATCCTAATCCGTTTTTGCCAAAATATGTACGCGAGTAGTACACAAAAAAAATTTTTAAAATCACTCTCCCCCCCCCCACAGCAAACGAAAGGGGCAAGAAAAATCATTTTCAAATAGTTTAACTAAATATCTAACGTTAAAGTGTTTTATTTAAACCCCTTTATTTTTATAAACTTAGCTGTTACCCACGACGTCGGTCGCGTTCCGTCGTTCTTGCAAGTTAATCTTAAAAGATAGACGAATAGCGTCGCGTTTTTTTAGATCATTTTAAGGCATCATTTTTTCATACATATTTTTTGCGTATCTTGAACCGTTTTTGCAGCGTACGCCTCGGAAACCCATAATGATGAATAATTTTCCCAAAACTTTTCACATTTCCCGCTGTATCTTCACTTGTGTTAGACATGGGGCTCCCTCGACAAATGCTCTAACCAACTTTTTCTTTCTCCTTACTCTTTCGTCTCCTCTCTGTTTCAGACTTTCTTTAAAATTTTAATTTCATATCGTTCACGTTTTACTAAATATATACGAAACTATCGACAAATATGTCCATCACTAAGAAATCGTCAACTCAATATATCACAAGGGCCTCCCTAGCGATCGTGTCGATGATAAAAATTACTTAAAACACCAAACATTTAACATTATGCCCCTTTACCTCTTCCATCCTTTTCACACTTATGTCTCCGGTAACGCCCGAATGAAATAGACATATCAATGTGAGTTATTAATACGACAATTTTGGGTGCCTCTAAGAAAATCGTGGTGTAAGCATTTTTGTTTAGAGGTATGTAATATAAATCTCTGTTGTCTTCCTTAAGATCTCGGTTGTAAGTCATTTTGACTATTATTGTTTTCATCTTATTACACTCTCGCTGATCTTGCGACTATTCTTTACGTATAGTGTATTTTCTATAACTTGGCATTTTTGGTAAACCGAATCGGAATTTACATGAAATTTCATTTTATAATCGATGTGTCTATATCCCTGCGCCATCTGTGGCAACAAATTAATTCTATAAATGGTCATTACTAGACCTCTATAGTTTGACATCGGCCATATATGTTGTCTTTTCTTAAATCAGAAAAAATACAATATATGTACAAACTGCAACTTCAAAACCAGCCTTTTCTATGCCTTATAAGATTTAATAAGTATTAGTTAATTGACATATGATAAATATCGTTAAATCGTTGTTATCTTAAGGTTTTGTGCTATAATTTTATTGAAGCTATATTGTGTTGCTCGTAGAGTTAAATGCTTGTTTGTTTGCTTCCAGGTATTTGCGTGAAACCAAATCATCGACGATAAAAATGAAAAAGAAGAGGAAACTGAAGCGCATGTGCAAATAAATTAATTACAAAAGTGAAAAGGGCATTTACTCATCATCTCGTTATATTTATAAATAGCAACTTCAACCAGACAGAGACTGGGGTGTCCATTAAAACTATAAATATTTAAATAACAAGTTAAAAACGCAAATACGTAATCGTTTTGTAAACATTTCTGGGACTGCCGCCTTTTGTTTAATTTAATAAGTGGACTATAAAAAAACGGTGAAAGAACAAACTCGCCCGTACGAACTTTAACAACGATTACCACAGATTAAAAATGCTATTGACAATTTACATTGGCTGGTTAGAAAATAAAAGGTGTGTTTAAGACTTAGCATTCGAACTTATTCTTTGTGACAATTGACATTATCAGCTTATTGTAAAGAACTGCATAAAAAAAATCGTTAGAAAACAAAAAACCCGCGAAATGTCACAGTGAATCGCCCGTGCGATAAAGATTGCGCCGGCGCCGAATTGGCATTTCTTTGTGTGAAGTACAATATTGCGGTGTCAAAGTGGCCGGGGACGAGCATTTGGACATGTTGGGGGGCCCGGAGTGGGGCCAGCGGGAGGCCACCCCCCCTAGAGACGCTCCCCTGCCGAGTTTTGGTTTCACACAGGAGCAAGTGGCTTGCGTATGTGAGGTTGGTGATCCATTTTTTTATTCGTATAGTTATGAAAACATTTTCATTAAATTTCATTTAAACATCGTTAAGTTGAAATGTTTTTTCGTGGTCGCACCAATTTAACTAGGTTTTGAAGAAATGGCGTGTAAACAATACTCAATTAGTAGCAGTTTAATGATATAGACAAGTCAGTACCATTTAGCTACTAAGGAAAGAAAAATCCCGTGCCCTAAAGGGGGATCGGACGACCATATATCTTATTTATTTACAAACAAGAATTATCAGAATTCTGTGCCCTTCTTTATTCCCCGGGATTTGAACCTAGGACCGTGCTTAACACATTGCTAGGAAACGCATTGAACTATTAAGCTAAGGAAGATTCTGCCTAGATTAGAACTTAAGGCATTACATATAAATTAAGACTTTCCATTGTAAGTCAACTGCCTCGTTGGTCTAGTGATTAGAGCATTCTGCATATATATGTAGGTACCGGGTTGGAATTCAATATTAGACGAAATATTATTTAATTACTCCGTATTTTTGTAAGAAATTTTCTACAACGGGGTAGAAGGTGCCTTATAGAGGGACGTGAAGACATGGGTTCCGGCTATTACCATTAATGTCAGCTACATTCGTTAGATAAGTCGTTAAAGCCAACCAACCCATACTGGAACAGCGTAGTGGGCGTACGCTGGTTAGGTTGTTAGGAAGGTTAAGAAGCAACCTAAGATAGTTGTGTCCAGTTGTAAGATTAGTAGATTATAACGATGAATTTCGTTTTAAAATTCAACATAAACATTTTTAGTAAAACGCTTTTAAACTATACAATGGTATTATACCTAGATATTATACAAAGTGCACTACATACAGTGTTGTGGCTATTACTGGGTGTTCCATTCTTAGAAACGAGGAACTCACGTTTAGAAGTAAACATCATTCAGAATGCTTCATTTGCGAAATTTAACTACTCAATTACAATGTCTGATACGGGATGACTATTCAATGATTTATATAAGTATATAATCTATATACTGTTTGTAGTTTACGCGAGTACACTACAAACATTACATTTAAATAAAACACTATTTATTAGTTAAACTCATTTCGGATGCTCAGCAGCAGCCGTGACCACGGGGAGATTATTATCAAGCATCAAACGTCGGGCCGTAGTTTAAATAATATTCAAATAAGTTAAACTAATATATATCGCGATTTAAACCGTTAAAGTGTTTATTTAAATATAATCTATATTCAACCCCGATATTATAAATCTGACGAGCTTGAACGCGCTAATCTCTCGAACTTCTAGTTCGAATTGAAAACAATTTTAAAGGCCATTTTTGAACCTGGATGGATGCATTTATCGAGGAAGCTCATGAAACATCAGGCTGCAACTGGCTGGACGCAAACACACACAGGGAAATGTGGAAAAAAAAACTGGTAGAAATATTTATCAAAAACGGTACGCCGCCCACAAAAGAAGCACGAAAAAAACGATCTAAAACAATGTCCTCCAAAGTATATCTATACTTTTTAAGGTGAACTTGCAAGAACGCACGCAGACGAAGTCGTGGCTAACAGCTATAATTTGTAATGATGAGGAGATTCAAAAGCTCGTTGAATAAATGGCAGAAATATATGGCTAATAAATAACGAGCTGAAAGTTCGATCTCCGGTCAAAATTTTTTCTAATGGGGATTTCTGTATCAGCGCATCTTGCTTAGATATTATCTTTTGTCCCAGGTATTACACCTACCACCAAATACCCCGTGGTTGTCTGTTCTCATCTATCATAAGAATAAGTTAAAACCGCGTTTAGGTTACAGTCTGAATTTCCGACTGCCTAAACTAAAATTACTCAAATATAGTTAAAATACATTAAAAATCAATTATTATTTTGCGTTTTAAACTGTTTTATATTAAACTACTGTCTATAGTTTACTCAAGTAGTACACATTTAAACAAAACACTTTAACGGTTTAAAACCCGATATATTTGAAAATGATTTTTAACTTCGGCCCGACGTTTCGGATGCTTGGCAGCAGCCGTGGTCACGGGGAGACTGTTTTATATTAACTGTACATAAGTACTATATACACTTAGGTATATAATTAATCTAATAACTATCTGTCTCTACAGAAATTTCAATAGGGTTTGTCGCGTTTAGGCAATGCCCTATGGCACTAACGCATTACCAACTGCTTATATAACCTCAAGACCATCCCTCGAATAGAATGCACTAGCTTTTTGTTGTTTATTTCGTTCCAAGAAAAGTTGCGTTAGCGCAGATGGTTTATTTATCCTCGGTTGCGAAGCGACGCGGCTGCCAATGAAGACACGAACACTTAGAATATACAGGATGTTTATTTTTACTCTTCACAATGATAATGTTGTCTAATTTAATGAAACCCAAATTTTATAGTTACTTCTCACATTAGCTATATATTAATTTACTAGCTGTGTCAGCGACTTCGTCCGCGTAGAGTAGTTATTTTGGGCATCCAAAGTCGTTTTTGCAAACCCCTTCATCTTTATAAACTTGAGCTGTTATCACTACGTTGGTCGGCTCCCTTCCCGTCGTTCTTGCAAGTTTATCTTAAAAGATAGACATAAAGTTACGGAGTTTTTTTAGATGATTTAAAGAGAAATATTTCTTTCATACATACTTTTTTGGTTACCTTGAACAGTTTAACTCGAAAACCCATAATGATTTATAATTTTTCAAAAAAAACTCACGCTGCATCTTCGCTTATGTCAGTCACATAGCGATGTTTTACAGCCTTCCTCGATAAATGCACCAACCAACACGAAAAACAATTGAACCCATAGTTTCTGAGATTAACGAGTTCAAACATACAAACAAACTCTTCAGCTTTATATATGAGTATAGATTTATTCACAAAGATAACTTGCAATTAGTACAATATTAACAAATTAGATATCAGAAAAACATCTATGTATTTTGCTTTTAGATCCAGAAATATAAAAAAAAATACAAAAATACAAACTTAGATAAATAATTACACGTATAAGAAACATTTTTTTTATAAACATTACAAAAATGATACACTGTAGGGTGTTTTTATTGTCTATAGCATTCCTGAAATAATTAATGAATATTCGACTTGACTTATAGACACTGGTCAAACGTGTTGCCTAGCACTGCGTCACCAAAACGAAATATGTCGGACTTTGGCTACTCGGTTACATACACGATTGCCGGCTTTTTCATCTGTGGACGTCGGTTCGTTCCCCGCACGGAATTATACATTTTTTAGAAGCCCGGTGGGGATCGAATTTACGACACGTTGCTATTAGCATTGCTACCATTACACCATCGAGGCGCACAAAACATTTGATGATAATTACTTTAATACTTCACGTTATGGAGTGCAAATTTAGAATGTAAATAATTATTTCAACTCAGTCTAAAACAATTAGATCGAAATAATGGTACCGTCACAGCCCCGCCCTGTAACCGGATATCCGTCAAGCAACTGGTAGCCAAGGTTACAGCTGCGAATGGCGGTCTTCGCTCTTTACTTTCAATATTATTCGTGATGGAACAGATTAGGTTAATATTCAGGCCTGATTGAAGTGAAACAATAATGCGACAACACTAGTAAAGCTTTAGTTATTCGTAACGAGATGTGCCAGCGACACAAAGTAAGCCCTGTTATTTTCCACTGTTTCTTTGCTCCCATTGGATGCAGCGTGATGTTATGTAGTCGATATTGTTTTTTATTCAACCCAGTAGTACCCGAGATAAGCAATATGAACTCGCTAACAGAAAAGGAGTCTTCAGGTCTATCATGACAAGGGAATACAAAGGCCTTCCCCCCCCCCAAAAAAATCCTTCTCTATCTTGTTTGTTTGAAAAATCTTCCTATTAAAAGAATAAACTACAAAACTACAACGGGCTCCTTGATGTAATAGTAGCAACGGGTCGTGGATTCGATTGCCACTGGGTCCAAAAGTTACCAACCATAGTGGTAGGAATATCGAATTTCCGTCCGGATCACGAACCACCATCCACAGATCCGAAAATCCAAAGCTTAAATAATTCCACAGTCCACAATGCATCTTATTTAAATGTAATATGCCTGGAGTGTTCCACATACAATAAAGAGACACGCTTGTCTGTCAGTGTCTATTATATTAAAAAAAAAACACATCATCGTATTTTTTCCTCGTTTTAAAATGTAGAGCACCACTTGATCTGGCTTCTAGTACCCTTCAAATCCTGACATGACGCATTCACGCGTCAACCGCCTTATTGTACCTGTCGGTACTGCGAGCCCATTAATTTAACAGGAGCACAAGGGCGGTATAATTATTGTATCCTTAAAGACTACAATGATGGGATTATGGCAACGAGAGGGTAGGTGCGTTTAAGTGTATTAATGGTTTGAACGAGTGTATGCAAACTTGTGACAGTAACATCAATTATGGTTTTAAATCGATACTGATATTATAAAACTGAAGAGTTTGTTTGTTTGTTTAAGCTCGGTAATTTCAGGAACTACTTACTGGTGCAAATTAAAAAAAACTCTATTGCGTTGGTTTGAGCATTTATCGAGACAAGTCTTTAAACATCGCGATGTGACTAATGAGAGCGAAGAAAAATCGCGGAAAAGGTGGACAAAACGGGGAAAATTGTTCATCTTTGTGGGTTTCGATCGAAACGGTTCCATATACCCAAAAATATGTATGATAAAAGCATTTAAAATGATCTATAATTGTCTTTCGAGATTACCTTGCAAGAACGCCGAGGAGGAGGTTTGCAAAAACAAATTTTGGTGTGCAAAATAACTATTTTACGCGCAACTTTGTCTACAACTAAGGTTCAAATCTGCACTTAAAACGTATAATTTCCCGTAAATCATTAAATAAAGGCACGCAGCAGGTCCAATGTTACTAAAATGGTAGGTAAACAAGTGTTAGTTTGATAGCCACATGTACATCATCAAATTATTTTATAATATCTCTTACACAATATGACAAAATTTCTAGAAAATCTGGATATTAAATAGGTCGTAGAAATTTTAGAATTCACGGTCGACGGTTTGAAAATACCGTGCCTCTCAAGAAAAGCGAAAGCTCAAAGAAAGAACAAGTCAATCCAATGCTCGTCTGTTCTTCTCTGTCATAAAAAATATATTCCTTCTTGAGCCGGATTAATTTACCGGATATTCGATCGATTCAGCCGTTCGGTGTCCACTGCTGGACATAGGCCTCCCCCATAGAGTTCCAGTACGACCGGTCGTTCGCTAGTTGAATCCAGCGTTTCCCTGCTACCTTGACCAGGTCGTCGGTCCACCTGGTGGGAGGTCGTCCAGGTTTTCGACGTCGGGTACGTGGTCTCCACTCCAGAACCTTACCGGATACCGGATATTATTCGGGCTTTAAACCGTTACAAATTATTTTAAGTAAACAGCTCCATAAAACAATGTTTCAATTTATATCCTATGTCTAGATTTTATTTTCGCCGAATCAATATCGTAAGCGGTGCCTGTGGTAAATTTTATCCATTACCGGCGAAACGAATCTCATTAAATGGAAACACCCCACCAATTACATGAGTAACAGATACCCATCAGCGGGGTTGCCAGGTATTAGGGCAGACGTGCCCTAACGATGGGAAGTTTTGGCGAAATTGGTTAATTTTTATTTGAATAATGCATAAGCTATTTGTACATTAATTTTGTAGTTTTGTACCTTACGTTTGAAACAATATTGTTTTCACGTATTTTTAAAAATTAAACAAATGTCGGCAGTATTTTTTTCAAACTGAAATAGGTTTTTAATAAGTGGGTCAATATACGCTATTTGGATTTCAATGGTCCGTAGAAAAAACGCGTGTTAAATTTATTGTATTTATGTTTCTTTGTGTTTAAATTATAAATAATATTGCCTTTATTTGGAACACAAAATCTTGTGATGATAATTAGTCAATTTATGGAATTTTTGACAAATTAAGAGCATACATGATATTCCTGACAACAAAGGGCTATCAGAAAATAGAAAGAGAGTATTGAATCACATACCTTTAAGTCAGTCAAAAATGTAAAATTAAGCTACATGCTTTTTGTCGCCTACTACTATTTTGAATTGTAACGCAAAATTATAGAATTTTGGCTTCCCAAAAACTGATAAACATCAAGACTTTTTCAAGATATTAAGCTATGCTTAATTGTTGATTTTGCGACCAATACAATACAATTAAAACTATTTTATATGTGAATATCTTAACTGCAAAAGACACATATTATAATGACTTGGATAATTCTGTTTTCACCAAATATTTTTATAACAATGTATCGAAGGGAATATTTTCGATTCGAAAACTGAAAAATGCAGATTACTCCAAAACACAAAGTGATGAAACTTGAAGATTCATGGAGCAAATAAATAAACCTATTCCTTCATCCTTATACCGTCTAAAAGACAACTTAACTGAAAAAATGTTGTGATTTAATGGACTTTTAGGAAACTATAATAACGAACACAAAATAGTTTGCGTATTTTGGCTTCGATACAAGGAGAAACGAAATGGGTCACCCCCCAGGGCCCGGTTAGGGGGGCCCCCCCCCCCCCCCCCCCCCCCCCCCCCCCCCTTTTTTTTTTTTTTTACCTTTTTTTTTTTTTTTTTTTTTTTCCCCCCCCTGGGGGGGGTGTCTTTTCGGGGGGGTTTTTTTTTTTTGGGCGCTTTTAAATAAAAAAAAAAAGCCCCTTTTTTCCCCCCCCCCCCTTTTTTTTTTCCCCCCCCCCCCCCCCAAAAACATAAATTTTTTTTTAAACCCCCCCCCCCCCCCCCCCCCCCCCCCCACCCCCCCCGGGTTTTTTCCCCCCCTTTTTTTTTTTTTTTTTCCCCCCCCCCCCCCCCCCCCCTTTTTTTTTTTTTTTTTTTTTTTTTTTTTCCCCCCTCCCCCCCCCCCCCCCCCCCCCTCCTTTTCTTCTTTTTTCTATCATAAAATAAAAAAGCTTATGTTATAGCTAGATTACGCTCGTGACTTCGTGTGAGTGGAAAAGTAATTTAGGACAACAGTCGTTACGATATTTTTTTAAAGAAACATTTTTACTAATATACGCTGCACCAATCTCAGCTTAGTCTTTTTGTGAAATCCGCATATTTTAAGAGATTAACGCATGCGTTAAAACCCGGTCATGGCTTTAATCGTCACCGGGTTCCACATGTAAAGATTTTGTGTTAACTATTTAGACTTCGTTTGGAAGTATCTAAGTTCTGTCTGAGTTCACAGATGAAAAAGCCCTGAATTGTAAATCTGCGTTCAAGTTGCAATCTATGGAACTATTTCTATTATGAAACTGTCTGTAGTTCGCGAGTAGTACACATTGAAATACAACACTAACGGTTTAAAACGCGATATATATTAGGCGGCTGCTGCAAAGCATCCGGAACGTCGGGCTGTAGTTAAAATAATTTTCAAATAAGTTTAACTAATATCGCGTATAACCGTTAAAGTATTTTATTGAAATACTATGAATGTTTAAATAAAACACTTTAACGGTTTAAAACGCGACCACGTGACCACGGCTGCTGCAAAGCATCCGAAACGTTGGGCCGAAGTTAAAAATCATTTTCAAATAAGTTTAACTAATATATCGCGTTTTAAACCGTTAAAGTGTTTTATTTAAATGTGTACTACTCGCGTAAACTATAGACAGTATTTAATATTATGAATGCTCAACCAAACGCAGGAATCGCAACTATGAATCTTCGACGTCAACGTTTGCCAAAATGTGCACTATTTATTTAGGTCAGCGCAAAAAAGCGGACGTAGGACGCAGTCGCTATCAACATATGGACAAATACTGGAAACTAACGAGTGTTTGTGGCCACCCCGAATTGATCCAAACTTTAAAACGCATTGTACGAAGATTTTTTGGTAAAATCAATATGACTTGAATAAATTGCTGTCCATAGTTTACGCGAGTAGTACACATTTAAATAAAACACTTTAACGGTTTAAAACGCGATAAATGCGTTTTAGTTAAACTTGTTAAAGTGTTTTATTTAAATGACTTGAATAAATAAAAAAAATGGACAGACTGAAGTCGTAATACGGTTTAACGCCACGGCTTTTTTATCTGTGGACGGTGGTTGGTCTGGACGGAACTTTCTTCGGATTCTTAGCACCACTTTATATCCAGGTTGAACAAACCCGTCAAAGGTATTAAAATTTCGTGTCTATAGATTTTAAGATGTTATAAGATATATTGTATCAACTACTTGTCTACAAACAAGTTTAAAACTTAAAGAAAAGAAGAAAATTCTTTAAATAATTTTTCACTTATTCAATTACAAGTATACAATAGATATTTATTTTTTAACTTTAGTGAAATGACAATTCGTTTTGTATGATCTATATTTACTTAGGTTAGAAATACTGAGTAACGGGGCGAATTTAAATATAATAAAATTCATAAAAAAAGTAAAGGACACTAATTCAAGATTTGCACGCTTAGGTACCCGGGGTTCTAGTCGTGTCATATTTAAATACAGCCCGTAGCTTACGCGAATAGTTTAACCCATTCACATAAGTCACTTTAACGGTTTAAAACGTCTACCGTGACCACGGCTGCTGCAAAGCATCCGTAAATAAAATAATTTTCAAATAAGTTTAACAAATATATCGCGTTTTAAACCGTTAAAGTGTTTTATTTAAATGTGTCATATTTTTCACAACATAGAATTTATTAAAAGATTCACTATTTTTACATTGTTAGGTTTTACAACAAGCCGGCAACATCGAGCGCCTGGGTCGTTTCCTCTGGTCGCTGCCAGCGTGTGAACGCCTGCATGCGCACGAGTCGGTGCTGAAAGCGAAGGCCATGGTGGCCTTCCACAGGGGGAACTTCAAGGAACTGTACAGGTTGCTGGAGTCACACAATTTCAGCGCACACAACCACGCCAAGTTGCAAAGTTTATGGCTAAAAGGTAATGTTTGAAAACCAGTAGCGTAGCTAGGTGGGCAAGGGCCCCGGGCTACCTAATTCTAAGGCTCAAGAAAGAATCAGGTCCTCATCCCCTCTTTTAGCATAGCTTGAATTAAATGAACCTCCAAAATATAAATAGCAACAGGAACGTTGAGAAAACCCTATTCTTCTACGTTTATATCTTCTCAAAGATAAGCTTAGAGGCCCTAAGTTCCGGGGCCCTGGTGCACTGCGCCACCTGGCCCTACGATAGATTCTCTAGTGTAGAAATTTTTTCAATCTAAAATCTATTTTTATATAGGATTTTTGTGTTAAATCTTCGACCCGACTGATGTTTAGTCGGGAATGTTATTTCTGCTCTGCTCTGCTGTGTATCAAAATTATTATCTTTGTGTTTTAACTCACATGCTCGATCCAAGAAAACGTGGTTATCGGCATGTCCAGAGCAAAAATGTCGAAGTGTGTTATTTATGTGTGTTCAAGGTATTGTTAGAGTTTTAATAAATTAGATTTCGTGTCTAGGTATATATGTTATTATTTATTGATTATATTAAACAATCTCGTGCATGTCTCTTTGCAAAATCATATAGTAAAATAAATGGCCATTTTTCTAATCAGTCTATAATCTTTCTCAAGCACGGTGGACGTCGTCTGAATAATCTATAAATACCGTAATACCGTCATAACGGTATACATATGTTTCCCTCATCGTGAAAATACGCTTTCTATTCGTAGCGCACTACATGGAGGCGGAAAGGCTTCGCGGCCGGCCCCTCGGCGCCGTCGGCAAATACAGGGTGCGTCGCAAATTCCCTCTTCCGAGGACTATATGGGACGGGGAGGAAACGTCATACTGTTTTAAAGTAAGACAATATTTAACTGTTTTATTATATTTTCTTTTGGGCATCAGACTCAAATATTTCATCTTGAGGGATGTTTGGTTAGTTATGATTATATTTAACGACAAATCTACAAAAAAAATCTTAAGATTTATTGTTGGAACATGAATTTACTTCAAACCCCTACATTATTTTAATTCAAATACAAATTCAATACTTTTTATTGACCTTTTAAATACTAAATTATAAAACTTATAACTATTAGATTGAATAAATACTGTCTGTAGTTTACGCTAGTACACATTCAAATAAAACACTTTAACGGTTTAAAATGCGATAAATTTTAGTTACAATTTCCAATATATAAATTTTTCTACTAGGAAAAGTCAAGATCGGTGCTCCGCGATTGGTACCTCCACAACCCTTATCCATCACCTCGGGAGAAAAGGGAATTAGCGGAGAGCACTGGCCTCACCACTGTACAGGTATGAAGTCTTTGTTAAAAATACTCCTGTTTTATCTTTATGATTCTTTCAAGGCTCCTTTGGAAGGTACCTCTTGAACCATTTTATTGACGATGTAAATAATTAGTTCTTAACTGGCAACAGGCCTGTGTATTTTTATACTTTTATTAAAAACAAAACTTAAATACAATAATATGAAGTGGATCGAAGCGTAAAGTAATCCGTTGGGTTTTGAGGAAGCGGTAGACGGATATCAGGTTTCACCGCAAGATGAACAGCTGTGGAAAAATAAAAGGAAATTTTCATAGATACCTTTGTCTATTAGATTACTCTATTCTTTATGGGTTTCTTTATGCACATCTTTATATTATGTGGATTAAAACAAATAATAATAAATAAGGCATTCTGTATATTAATTATTTTTATTTTTTAAATCCCTACATAACTGAAGTATTCGGTATTCGGTAGAAATAGTATAAAAGATACTAAGTAGGCCGAACATCGAATATTCGTTGAAATCCTAATACTAATAGAAATTATAAGTCAAGTCACTTATGACTTTAATTATTTATGATTTTATGTTTAATTCGGTATGGTATAAAATACACATAAAGGTGTCCGTTAAAAGTGTTTTAATAAGTCGCGTTTTTGTCAAAATTTCAGGTTTCAAATTGGTTCAAAAATAGACGACAGCGAGACAGACAAGCAGAACATAAAGATAGGTAAGTTTTATAAGACATATTTTAAAAGCATACGAACAATAAATTTCAAGGGGTCATTGGTGAAATATTAATAACGTAATACATTTAAAATCGAAAATAAATTGAAAAAATTATTGACGCGGGCAGGATTTGAACCGGCATCAGCGCTCCCTGTTGTTGCTCTACCTAATTGAGCTACCGGGCCTCACTATTAGTATCGATAGTTTTTAAGTTTTCAAATGTAAAATTTGCTAAAAAAATTGGCTAATGAAACGGTTGGCAGGTTCGCTTCCCACAGGGCCCAACGTTTCTATAAATCAATGTAATTCTCCTAAAACCTAAAAACTCCACCGAAATTGTCTAAATTCTGTCCGGGTGACGAACCACCATCCATCGGTTTCAGCCTGTCGAGTTCCTGCCTCCTGAAGTTCAAGCCAAAATTAGACAGGATTTGCTTAGACCCTATATGGCTTGCGTATTTAACCTTCCATTATGTTACCCAGTGCTTGTCTGTTCTATCATATAACATTTTAGCTAAGTAACGTCTCAACAAGATCCGCTCTCAACCTATTTTGCCTTTGGCTATTAAATCCATAGACTGAAGTCCAAACGCGATTTATCATATAGAGTCCTTGATTCGTGCTCTGACGGAATTCTTATCGTTTAATATCCAGATTTCAGACGAAGTCCAACATGTTTCAGAATTATACATTGATCAGAAACATACTGTCTATAGTTCACGCGAGTAGTACACATCTAAATAAAACACTTTAACAGCTTAAAACGCGATAAGTTAAACTTATTGAAAACTAGCTGTTTCCGCGACTTCGTCCGCGTGGAATAGTGACTTGGGGTAGAATGTTTAATTATTTAGGCTGTTTATTCATTTATGTAAGGAGGCATTTAAGGCAGCCAATCTATGTTGTAAGTGCTACTTTGCATCACTCCTACTCTAACTCCCACTCCCACTCCCACTTCTATTACCAAAAAGCCAACGAAGAAAGTTTCATTGCTCTATCTTCAAAAACCACGAATATCCATACAAAACTTCACCATCCCTTTTTACCCCTTACAACCCTCTTTTCGCAATAAAAAGTAGCCTATGTCCTTTCTCAGTGTCTAGACCATCTGTGTACCAAATTCCATTCAAATCCGTTCAGTGGTTTTGGCGTAAAAGAGTAACAGACAGACAGACAGAGTTACTTTCGCATTTATAATATTAGTAAGGATGAGGGATGTCTACCCGTGAATTAGATTATAAGATATGTTGGATCCATTGTTGAACCCACGACCCGTTGGTTAGCCATACATAGATACCACGAGACTAACACGGGCGTCAAAAATTACCCGTTATATACCCGTTAACGTTTAATATAATTATTATTGACGTAAAAAAAGAAATACGTCTTGAATACCAAAGTCGTAGCGCAGAGCTAGTGAACGAATTTACTGAACCATTTCGCTGGTCGAGTAACCTGATACTCCGTACAAACAAACGAGAAACACGCGAAATTATACCCTTTGTACCAGACGATAAGGTCCAAAGTTCGAAAAGAATGGGTTCCGTACATACTCTGCTAGACGTATATATGTATACTGTGACTTCACTTGTTTATTTACGCAGTTCAGACTGGGTAGAATTATTTTCGATAATGAGACTAGGCGTTGCTGCGTCCTATCATATAATAGATAAGAACGTAGATCTATTTTATGATGTCTAGTATTTGCTTTGTCACAAACAGCATATTAACAAAAAACTCTTAACGATTTAAAACGCGAAAAATATTAGTTAAACTTATGTACAAACTACTGTGCCGTGGTAACGGGGTTGCAAAGCATCCGAAACGTCTGGCCCTAGTATTTTTTACATAAGTGTACCTAACTAATATATTTCGGGGTTTAAACCGTTGAAATGTTTTATTTAAATGTATACAAGCGGCAGAAACGTCGGGCCTTAATAAATTACAAATATCTGACTAATAAGTATATCAAGTTTAAACCCGTTAAAGTGTTTTATTTAAATGTGTAATACTGCGTTAACGGACAAACAGCAACTTTTTTCAAATTCCTTTTTTCCGTGTCTGGGGTAGGGGGCATTTTTCTGACCTTCACTGATTGATTTAATTGAAAAGATATTTCATAAGACTTCAATGCTCTATTCAACCTATTATGTGTCGCCGGGTTATGACTTCACGCACTTACTAAGCAACACGTTAAAATTTCGTTAACGCCTTCAATCAAATAATATTAAAAAATAAATATTTCATTATTTTTCAAAGTACAACCCTGTACGCTTTTAGACGCGCAGATGCGACGGTGTCCGATTACATAGTACTGTCTCGCTCGCGCGGAACCTCTCTTTTGCACAGGACGACTAGAAACTTTGTTACACGCAGTTTATAAATGAAACTTCTAGCCAGGACTATAAGTAGACGCCAAGACCTTTGTATTTTATTAAGTTTAAATCCGTTTTTGTTTGTCAAAAAAGATCTAGACTCAGATCAGTAGCATTTTAGACTTAGACGTTAAGTATTGTCTGTAGTTTACGAGAGCAGTACTCATTTAAATAACATACTTATAACGGTTTAAAAGGCGAAATATACTGTTTTAATCATTTCGATATATTTTGACTTTGGGCTGACGTTTCTGACTCCTGACTACACATTAAACGATTTAAAACAGGAAGTACATTAATTACCTACCTTTTTCTAAAATGTATATTCACTACGGCCCGACGTTTCAGACGCTTTAAGTATACCTTTTAATAACACTCTTTAACGGTTCAAAACGCGAAATATATTAGTCTACTTACTTTTTATTTATATTGATAACCTTTCGGACATTTGAAGTGCACATTTAGATAACACACTTTAACAGTGTAAAACGCGAAAAATATTGTCTACTCATTTTTTTAAACTACGTTTGCGTAGGCGTGGTCAATACCTACACTACGCGTTATAAACCGTTTAATGTGATTTCTTTAAACGTGTACCATTCTCAAACTTTCGACGATATATGAGGCTGCTAGAGGCTTAATAACAAAAACATGGTTTTCAGAAAGAAGAAAAATAAAAATGCGCAATTAACTTAGGCGAAAATGAATTTGTACTATCGTTTGTGTAAGAATTATGTAAACAAACTTCGGTCACTGTGCCCTTGTAGATTAAGAGTTTTAGACTATGAAAATATAGTTAACTCTAGTGAAAATTGCAGTTAGGCCACTTTGCCTCTAGCGGCTTCATATGTTTGTATGCTCTAATTTAATTCTATATTGTTGTAAAAGGTTATTTTTTTAAATCCTTTCGAGCCAACTGAGGTGGTCACGTCTAACAAAGTCGAGTAAAAAATTAATACGTTTGAAGCAGCCATCCGCACATTTTCACTTCATCGGGCACAAACAGGATTATCGGGATTAGGCCCTTTTACAAAAACTAACAAAAGAATAGTGCGCACTGTTGAAAACGTGGCGCTGTTGTATCTGCATTTGTTATCAAAATGTCTGATACAGCCTGCTGAAAAACACCTGTAAAGTTTTTTTCTTTTTTTTTTTCCCCCCCCTTTTTTCCCCCCCCCCAACTGGTGGTTTTTTTTAAAAATTTTTTTTTTTTTTTTTGGGCCCCCTTTTTTTAAAAAGAAGTCGCTGACACAGCTAGCGTTATATGAATTATATATAGATTAAAACACCATATATCGTGCTCCAACACTTACGTAGAAAGGGAAATGATTTAATGCAAGGTATATCTGTCTGTCAGATGAATTGTATTTATAACTAGGTCATCAGCCATCTATGCCCTAACTGACCAAAACATTAAATAGCAAAAGTTAACTAATACGTATTAGGAAAAAGTTAATATCTATATGGAAACATTTGCGGTATAAACTACTTTAATTACTTTTTAATATACTTCGCGTTTCAATGTATGTGTCTTTACATATACATATGTAAATGGTGGTAGGTACCACATGTGTGTGTGCAAATTATTTTATATTATTTTGAAATTTATTCCGTCCAGTTCCGTTGTTCGTTCTGGATTAAGGATCCTATGGGAATTATCGACCGCAAGGCGTTAGGAATATATATAAAACGATCAAGACCGTTCGTCTATTCGTCTATCACTATATCGCCCGCAGATATCGGATTACTGGGGGCGGTTGTCAGTACGTCAGTCTGTTTTACCTTCACTTCGTAACACGATACGGCAGGGTTTCTCACTTTGGGCATTTGCGTTCGATATTCGAATTTTATACGTACGAATTTCGAAATTTGAAATTATATCTGACTCACTGATCGTGGGTTCGATCCCCGATTGGGATAATATATATATAATTGTTTGATATTGCCAAGTTGAATTTATCCAGACAGGAGATCGATCTTCGACACAAGGATTTAAACAGTTTAAATTTAAGGGAAGGCTCTGGGGATGAGGAACTCAGAAATACTTACATCCTAATTAAAATATACTGTCCATTTTTATTATTATATAATACATTACATAGCTAATAATTGCTCTTCCTCAATCAATCATTCTGCTTCCAGAAGAGAAGGTATTCTCACCGTAAAACCTGATTATATTTCTAATTAAATACTGTCTATAGTTTACGCGAGTAGTACACATTTAAATAAAACACTAACGGTTTAAAACGCGATATCAGTCTCCCCGTGATCACGGCTGCTACAAAGCATCCGAAACGTGGGGCCGAGGTAAAAATCATTTTCAAATAAGTTTAACTAATATATCGCGTTTTAAACCGTTAAAGTGTTTTATTTAAATATATTTCTGATTCTAAAAACGAAAACTTTTAACTGGTTTTCTGATATCTAATTTGTCGAGTATTCCTATTGTACTAGCTATAAGTTTACCATTTGTGAATAAATAAATATTTGAAAAATTCCAACAGGCTTCCAACTCGGGACCTCGTCATCAAATGCATTACCTACTAATGAAACATCTATTAAATTTCTATTAATTTCGTTTCCAGTGGCGGTCCAGGCGATAAGCAACTCGATTCATCAACAGATGACGACAGCGACGCACCCCATGTGACTCCTGCGCATCTCGGCTCAGCACCCCCCATTTACCCCCACGCTTTGTACGAGCACCCCCTGGCTCATTTGCCGTACCATCATTCGTGACCGATTTGAAACTGGTAGTTAAGTGTAATCAATAAATAAGAAATACATATATACATTTTTCCTGTATTCTGATAATACATCGAAATTTATTTATACAAATACATTTTTTTTAACGATGACACGAGCGTCAAACCCACGACTACAGCATCTCTAACGCCCATGATGTAGATAGTCCCACAGATAACTATCAATTATTATAGTTATCAATATGTAAGATGTTACATGTTTAAAATTATACAAATACAATTTTTTAAACTGAAGTGTCATCCTAATTTAGTGAGTGTATAGACTCAAGAATGCACATATATATACATTCGACTCCGGCCGTGTTAAAGATTAATTATTTAAACATCTTGAAAACGTTACACGACGTTTTTTCTACTGTATACCAGTCTCACTACTGGTACATATGTAATATCGCCTGTAACCTTAAAAAATACTTGTACACTTCTTAAATCACAAAATAGAATTTGAAATAGCATATCAAATTTTAAAATAATTAAAATTTCACAAGTCTAATTTCTGGAATTAAACGATTTTATTCTTAAAGTGAATTAGTCTGAATATGTGATTATTGGCTTCCTATAGAAATATACGTAAGTTATTTTAATTATCAATTTTTATTAAGTACTACTACGTAGCTATTTGGATTTTTTAGCTTTTCGACCGACGTCATTGAGAATTGGTTTTTGACGATTTACTTATGTCCGAAGCTTCGGATCACGGGTGTAGGTAAAAAACCTATAAGTTATCAACCCGGAGTTCACCTCCTCTCACAAATTTAGTAACGGTAGTCGTTAAATCCCATCGTTAAACCCACATTGTGCGGTGGGTCTAATCCCACCATGCTGTTAATGAAACTATTCATCTGCTAGTTGCGAATAAATTATACCGTAATTGCTTTAAACTGTTATTTATCGATTTGTGCAAATTCATCATTAAGGGTCGTTCATCATTCTTCGACCAAATACGACGGCGTAACGTTGAGAATCATTTCTCAATTACGACGGCCGAACAGCTGGGAAGTCTAAATAGCTGGCTAATACCACACTACACACATGTATATACAAACATTTACAGCTTTTGTCATTACATAGAAAAATGTCTGTACGATCTTAACTGCATAGAATTTAATAGCACAATATCGTCATTGAAATTTCATTTTGAATTATTTTTAATAGCACAACGCATAGAATTTCGTTAAGGCTTCTACTTATTTTAATTATTTATTTATATATGGTTAGTTAACGTTAGGTTAGTTTGTACCACAATGTAACATAGGCATTAGATTTTTTTAATGAAAGTGTGTTGTTATTATAAATGCTGTTTTATTTTTTTTTTAAAGTTGTCCATTCAGTGAAGTAGATCTTATATTAATTTATTCTAATTACTGTCTGTAGTTTACGCCAGTAATACACATTTAAATGAAACACTTTAACCGTATAAAACGCGATATATATTTATTAAACTTATTTGATTTTTTTAAACTACGGCCCGACGTTTCGAATACTTTGCAGCAGCCGTGTTAGCGGGGAGATTAAAGATGGAGGAAGCCGTCAAAGTAAAAAACCTCGCGCCGTAGTTAAAAATAATGTTCAAACCAGTTTACCTAATATATATCGCGTTTTAAACCGTTAAAGTCTTTTAATTAATTTAACTGACCTGATAAATTACTTTATTTAGGTATATTTTTGACTTCCATCTTCAGTCCCCCCGTGGTTATTATTATTATTTTCTTTCGGGGACACCTGTGGTAGGACAAGTGATCAGTCCACGTTATCAGCTGACCATTTCACCCATTTCCCCATTCCCCCCGTGGTTAAGAAAATGTAAATAAGTTAGTAAATATATTTCGCGTTTTAAACCGTTAAAACTGTCTTATTTAAATGTGTACTACTCGCCTAAGGTACAGAAAATACTTAAACAGTTTGCATATTTTTCCTTATTGGCTATAGACTGTATTATATGTTAGTTACCGACTAAAAGGCTACGAAACAAAACTTTAAACGGGTTATAATGTTGTACTAAAACCTGTATTTCCTTATACATCTGTTTTTTATAACGATTCGATCATTAAATCTATGTGTTTTCGAATCTTCATCTAGACAGACGTGAGTAAATTTATTGTAACAAAACATTTTTATCAATCAATGTGTTTTGCGCGATTATATACCTACTCTTTGGGGAACCTGGGGTTGACTTAATGGTAGGTTGTGTGCTGTTGTCCTGGGTTTGGATATATGGAAATCCACAGCCGAAACGCGTTTAAACTAGACGTCTTTTTCATCTGTGGACGGTGGTTCGTGACCCGGAAGGAACTCCGACATTAAGTGGGTGGGGTGTGTTTTTGTGCATCTTTAATTAATTAGTAATAATACGAATCTTCTGAGCTATGACGAATCGAAACAGTTAAATTTAAATAAAGTGTTTTAAACTGTTAAAACTAAACGTATAATTCACGTTTTAACAGTGAAAGTTAACTACAAAAAACAGACAGAGCAGTTTTTCATGTTTTGCCAGGGAAACCCAGGAGATGCTGTGGGTTTTACAACAGACGATATAGTAATTTTAAATATCATTAATTGAACTATTTAATTTCAGAATAATCATGTTGCTGAATTTATTGTTGCTCGTTTGCCCCACCATAACAAGTGCCATCCACGTAACTGTACTCGCTATAGACGAAGAAAAGATCGACGTCTCCTTTCGTGGTACAAGTACTGATGTGATAAGCGATAAAGACCGCGAAATTTTTCAACTAACAGACACTAACTTAAAGAAAGGCGTGCACGTGTTATTCGACGAAACTCCGGACGATGTCTTCATAAAGAACCCGACGCCGTGGGGTGATTTGCACGATCAATACGGTTGGGACGAAGTAAAGACAGTTCTGAAACCGATCTTCGGCCGTCTGGTCTCAAAGAAATCTGAGAGGCAGACTGTTGCGAAGCAAACGTACGATAACAAGAGCGCTATACTGGCGAATTTTACTGCAAATTTTACAAGACCTCTGCAAGAAACCATCAATATAATTTGGGTAGATAGTGAGTTGTCTGTTCATGAAAATATAAGCCATGAGTTCGAATTATTTAAATTTGGTGGGAAACAACAGTTTTTGTCAGCACCTTGGGGAGTGGACACTACCAAAATGGAGACATTTAGGATGAGTTCTGAAAAAGTGGAAACGGTTGTAGAACCAGGACAGTCCGTTACGGTCGAAATCAAATTGACGAAAACAGTTTTGACGATAGAAGTAGTGTATGAAGCTACCCTGACTGGGAAAGTTGCTATAAACTACGAGAACAAATTCAGGGGTCACCATTTCTGGTCGGTAGGTGTGAACGAAGTCTTAAGTAGAATCGGTTTGAAGAACAGCATCAAGTCGAAGGAAGTGATAGATATAGTGTTTTACTCAAAGGAGGAACAAATCTTTAGTGATCCAGATTTCGAGAACGTAGCGAAAAATATGTGATGTAATGAAATATTTATATAAATGTTTACATACTTAGCGACCGTGTTTTAATTTTACCAGCTCGTTTTGTTTTAATTGTAAAACTCTCATCTTTTTTGCAAACTCAATACTCATAATAAAAACACGATTACATCTTTGATCTTACACGTCTATGTGAATGTAATGTATCGATTATTGATTTTAATAAAACTTTCGATATAAATCAATTACATTATACAACACTGTTCACAGATAATGTTGATTGAAGCATGACATTGACAGCTGTTTTTGTAACATTTCGTTTTGATGTTTAAAACCCTTGAAGGTAAAACTAAAATAACTGAAAAATTGTGAAATTATGTAAGAAATGTGTAGTAGCAGAATAGTAAGCAATTAAATAGTGTAAGTGGTGATTTAGTTGGAATAAAGATACTGTTAAACTTAGGTGAGTACAAAATTTAATTAAAACGCTAAATAAAATTATTTTCAAATAGGTTCGTTACAATTTTTTGGATATTTCAATGTACCTAGTATATATTGCATTTAAAACAATTAAAATTGTTTTATTTAAATGAGTCGTCTTCGTGTCAATTACTGATAAGTAATATCTACAAAAAATGCCACAGGATGTTCCACAGCGTGTAAAAAATCATTTTAATTTTTTCTTAAGAATGAAATTCTATAAAGTAATAATATAAAGTGTAATTCAAAGCTTGTATTATCTTTAAAAATTAAGTCTATTTATTCAATTTCAAAGAGCAACATCCATCAGCTTGTCAGAGGAATGTCTGTCGTAAACTACTATCTGACAGTTCGCGTAAAATCCGACCTCAACGATTTGCCTAGACCCCCTGTCGTATCAAACTTCCAGGAGGATATTACGAAACCACACCGATTCAACTATCTACCTACGACGAGTTTGTTAAGAATGTACAAAGAGACATCACTCAAATGACATCATAAACGAAAAGAACATAATCAAACAGTTTTTATACATCCCCGAGCTCAAAGATTGCTCTCACGTATTTGTGCGATGCGATACAATAAGAAAAAGTCTTACACCGCCCTACAAGGGACCATTCCCAGTAATTAAAAGAATGGATAAGGCATATGCCATTAAAATTACAGATAAGGAGACAATAATTCAAACCAGCATTCATCATTAATAACACAATAAATAATGATACTCGGAGTAACACGTACAGCACACGCCCAGGCCGCACGGTAAGACCCCCACTAAGGTTCTGTAATTCGCTGACGTCTATAAACTACTTATATAAATACGCACAAGCCTCAACCGATCATCACTAGTATCGCAAGAGAACAATGGGTTATCAAAGCTCGAAGGATCAAATCACGTACAACTCCGACAGTTGTCTAAATCAAAATGAAGCTGATCAACTCGGAAGCCTCATCCTGGAAGAGCTTCGGTGGACAAGAGACATCGCAATGGGACAAATGATTCTCATAATGGGTGTTAAGCTAATATACGGAATACTCGAGACATTAGACAGAAGAATGAGGGCACTCACGAGTAACACTAGGCACAATTGCAACGGATAGTATGGTATTTCACAACTACCCTCAGCAAATTCGCGCCAGTGACATTGACCTACACTCGGCGCCAAAACAACCGTCAGTATAATTAAATGATGATTTTTTTTATGGGGGTGTATTGTAGCCACTCCGTTTAGTACGCATATTCTTTTGTATTAATGCACGTAGTTGCAACTATTATATAACTATTTATACATTTACTCACGTATTCACCTTCACCATTTCTGTATATAAGCTTTACCTCTTATATTAATAATTAGACTAAATTTCATCCCGAGTCTCATTACACTACTTGCCCATACCATAGACAAAATCTTTATAAATTAAGCCCATTTATTCAATTTCACATTCACACGACAAATACAAATAAACTAAAGAGCAACATCCATCAGCTTGACAGAGGAATGTCTGTCGTAAACTACTATCTGAGAGTTCGCGTAAAATCCGACCTCAACGATTTGCCTGGACACCATGTCGTTCCCAAGACCAGCCCTGTTCATAACAGTATCCACACTGAGTGCCCAGAAATGATGACCCTTGTACGGAGTGTTGTAGTTCACAGCTACGTCTCCGGATAGACTGGCCTCGTATTCCATTTCAACCTTCAGCGTTCCTCGGGTAGCCCGTAACTCAGCCAAAACAGACTGACCAGGCTGCAGCATGATGTCCATGTGAGATGCAGTACCGACGGTAACCGTTTGCGACTTTTCACTGCTCTTTCCGTAGACGGACGAGAAAACCAACGACGTTTTACCGCCGATATCAATGAAGCCAAAGTCGAGTTCGTAATTGATCTCCTGGCCGATGGATAGCCCTTCAGATTTACTCCAAGACGACCTCATTGTGTTTTGCAGAGATTGAGAGATCCCTACGTTAAACGTAGCTGATTTTGTGCTGTTGTTCTCGAAGATTTGATGCATCACAATCTGTGGTTCCGAGGTCTTTGATAGAATGCGACCACGCTTTGGAGCGAGGGTTCTGGACACTTGCTTCCAGCCGAAAGTCTTGAATAAATCTCCCCATGGTGTCGGGCTCCTCACGAACGCATCATCAGGCCGTCTGCCAAAGTACGACTCGGAACCGCTCTTCAAGTTTCCGTCTGTTAAGTTGAAGGTGTGCATCTCTTGATCACTTATAACATCTGTTTCGTGTCCAGAGAAGGTGAGCTGTAAGTCTTTTTCGAATGTTCCAGATAGTTCCACGCCAATTTTGGCCAAGGCTAGCGCTGGGAGAAGTAAGAGGAGTTTGAAGAACATTGTGGATCTAGAAGATAAAAAGAAAAGTTTTGCTTTAGTGTGAGAATAGATCTATGTATTGTAATTTTGACAACTTATCGTCGACACTATCGTGTTTTGAGCTCTAAGAATAGCCTACATTGTACAAAACAAATTCTTAATTGAGAACATTATTTCAAATAAATAATAGTTACGATAAAAATAATAATCTAATTGTTAACATGATATACTTATGTATAAATATAAAAAATACGTATATAAATGATTAAAAACAAAATATTTTTGACACGGGCGCACACAAACCCACAACAAATAAAGACTTAGTACTAAGGTCTTTTGGTAGACCTGACGCACAGAAGTCTGTGGTTGGTTGTGGGTTTATTCTACAAATAAAAAATACTAATAATACAGAATGTACTTACATTATTATTATATGATTGGAAATCACGGCTGAACTACAATTTTTCAGCGCGAATGCTGCGTTATATACAAACAATTATGTGCGTGTTGTAGTAAATAAAAACATTTGGTCAATAGCAATAGTTGTCTTTAGCTTCTAGGATGTTAGTGGTCGCACCACCGTACGTTAAAATAGTCTCTAATTTGTGCATTAAAATATTTGAAACATCTTTAACGGTTTAAAACAGGAAATATAAAAATTAATTTATTTTAACTATGACCTGACATATGGTTCGGATGACGTTTACAGTCGCCGTAGTCTCATCATAGGTTCAAAGCATCCGAAACGTTGGCCGCAGTTAAAATGAATATTTCGCGTTTTAAGCCGTTGAGATTGCTTTATTTAAATGTGCGCTACTTGTGAAAACTATTGACACATGGCGACGTACATTCTGTTTAGCCGTAACACGGTAGGATATTGTGTTGATACACAATTTTATTCAGTTCGTAAGCACTTTTTCTAGGTCAGTTTAGCGTCAGTTAATTTCTTAGTGTTTAATCAAAATTAAAAAAAATCGACGGGTTGGTTGGCTTAAATAGCAGTGTATGGATAATGACCGACGTGTCGTGGGTAGGTACTATCCCCATCGGGCTTAAGATGTTTGTTATCAGTTTATGATTTTTTTTAAACACTTTGGACTTTTAAAAAACGAAGCCAAATTAGCCGCGTTTTGATTTCAGTCTGTGGATTTACGAATATCCCGACGTAACTACATATATTATTCGAAATATTTAAAAATATTATCGATTAATTTATGCCCCCGCTGTTGATCGATCTATCCATAATTATGTTCATATAGATGTTGGTGATGTTGGTTTGTTGACGTTTTTGCTTCTGTTAGGTTGATATTGAAGTGTCGTGCTTTCGTCGTGCGATTCATACATTATTCTTATTTATTTAGGAAAACAGGAAACAAACAGAAATATAACAGTAACGTATTATAAGGAATTGAAAACAAAAAAAAATGGAATTTAGATAATCCCTTACAAAGTTTCACAGATAAAATCGAGGTTTAAAATAACTTACTCAAACTGGACTAGTAAAAACAATGATAGGCGTCAAAATTACAGTATACACTTAACGTTAAATTTACATAAATTGACATAAAAAAAGGTAACATAAGTTTAAAACAAGGTAAGTGATTGCTTTAATTTATTTTTAAATGAGGCAGTGGAGGAGTGGAAATACAGGTCAATATCCTCAAAAGAGTCTATCGAAGAACACATTCTGTGATTCGGTGCACGGAATCCTATGTTGGTCCTTGGAACCTTGGAGTCGGTAGATTAAAAAATGTTCTGTGCGTGCGCAGAGACCTGGCTAGTATATTAAGTATCAAAAGTAAGTTGTCTTATTTCTTATCATGTGACCACGAATGTAGAAAAAATGAATTACCTTAAATATTACGCGTTTTAAGTAAACAAAAGTATTTTATTTAAATATGTAATACACGCGTAAAGTATGTCTGTACTTTACGTGTGTATTACATATTACACTATTGTACATATTATTACACTATACTAAATAACTTAAGTATATTTATAGCTTTACAATACAAACTCATAATGTATACGGTTTTAATCGATGAATAGGAATCGAACATAAATCGATCCTATCTTAAACTTGGTGGTTACAGTTAACCACACCTAGTTAATTAAAACAATAAAATCGATTAGTCACATTTATTGATTTCTTATTTCTAATTTGCGAAGTCAGTGATTTTTCGTTCGCACCTCGTTCACAAAATGTCAATTGTGGTGTTTTTTGTTTTCTTCATCGTGTCCTGTTCAAATGCGGTAAGGAAAACGTGATAAAGTGATGAATACGTATTTAGAGCAGCTGATGAAAAATGTTCCGTGCTGTTGCTCTAACCAATTTTATTGATATACCGAGTCCTATTCAGTCAATTGGTTAGACAACGACAGCGCGGAACGCTGACGATGCCGGTTCAAGTCCTGCCCGAGACATATTTTTTTTAATAATCGATTATTAATTTATATGTATAGTGCCACCATTTGTAAAAACAACACCACCACCATGTGTACCACATGAGAAAAATATTAAATTGAAAACTTTATTATTTTTACATGTTATTGCACATGAAGGGACTATATAATTTAATAATCGAAAAAATGTGTGCGTGTACTAGTGTACACACGTAAGAAGTAAAACTTCTTTAATGCAACTTTCCAGAAATTGGTTAAATAAAGTTAAATTAGATAAAGTTTAAACAAAAGGATTTTATTATTATAGACATGAATAGAAATAATACAATTATTTCACTTTAACTTTTTGCTACTAAGATTATTACAGCATTTCATTAATTGTAATAGAATTATTACTATCATTGTCATCGTTATTATATATTGACTAAATATGAAACTAATGAAGTGAAATTAACTGAAATATGAAATATATGGTTTACATTTCACGAAATTTAGTGACCGAGTAAAATTTCCATCAATTGTAGTGCCAGATCTAGTTGTTGACGTTTGAGGACTGTTTTTCATGGATAAATTCAATTTATCTTTCAGAAATTCAACTAGCTTCAAAGATTTTACGATGCAAAATTGACATTTAATGTAAACCCCCCGGCAACAACTAATGGTGAAGATAATTAATAATATCGTCCAACTTCTGATTAGGAGATATATACAGTGGAAAAATCAAAATTTTTATCCCATTTTCCATTTGGCATTGAGCCATACATAAATCACCAACTGCTGATGCTAGTGAACCATGAAAGTCAGGAGAAAAAACTGAAAAATCTATCGATGAAGTCACAACGTTAACAACATCATTAGAATTATGATATATTCCTACACCTCCTGCTCTCGTGCTCAGCCGGGCGCGTAACGGATAAATGTGACGCGTAACCGAAAAATGTGACGGTAATTTTTTTTCAACGCCGATAAAGAAGTTTCACTTCAAAAATATGTTAAAAAAAATTTCGACTCGGGTAGGACTTCAACCGGCATCGTCAGCGTTCCGTGCTGTTGCTCTACCAATTGAGCTACCGAGTACCTGACTCGAAAATATAAAAATTTTCAGCTTATAGTATTCACAAAGTTCTGAAATTAGAATTTTTCAGCTTTCAAATGGCTATGGTAACTTGTATTAAATTAATAATGTCTTGATTTTTTCAGGATTCATCCGATTTGTTAGAAAACATCCCTTTTGAAAATGCTAAGGTATTGTTTGTATGTTACACAATTACAGAAAAAGTTTAACGGTTAAAAACGCTATAAATATTAGTTAATTCATTTTTCAACTGTGGCCCGACGACCGTTATTTATATTATACAGTTTTATACAGTTTTTATTATTTTATGTATTAAATCAGATTTGTTAATTGGGGTCTTGTTTTTTAACTTGTTTAATTTGTTAACGGCCGTTTCTTAATGATGTTAGTGTCGAAAATAGTAACTTTTCAGGTAGTTTACCATAAACAAAGAATTTGTATATTTCGTCCCGGACAGCCAAGGTGTTACGGCAGTGAAAAGGTACGATACATCTTCCACAGATAATGTTTTTCACTTTTCTGTTAAACTATCCGATTTTGTGAATTACCCTTATAATAACTGTATGTTGTATTGAGTTATATAGTGCAAACTACAAACATTTATAGTCGAGACACGCTCACGATGCGTATGCGCATAGATATGTTATTTCTTGTGAATCATACGCAAGCAAAAACAATATAATTCTAATTATATCTTATTAAGCCCTAGAACATGTTCTTTAACGTTTTTCTTTAAATTTTTCATAGACGTCTTTTATGTGGCCTAGATAGTTCGTTACATAGGTAACTTTTAACCTGCGTTTAAATACACTTTTTTGAAACACATGTTGAAATAAATTATTTTGAATGTAGATGATGATTACTTCTGCAAGAATCCCTCTCTAGAATGACGCCAAACAAAAACAATTTTGGCGAATCTAAATAATTTTTAAAATTTTAAAAGAATAAAGTATACTTTATTTTTATTTATTTTTCAAAGTCATCAGTAGTATTATTTTTTTTATTTATTTATTATTGCTTATTAGTACTTTACTGATAAAAATTAATTTTTTTCAAAAATGAAAGTCAGTTTTTCTTATAAACAAGCTTATGATACGCTACATCTTTTTTATTATTTCTATAATATTTCAATAAATAACGGAGATGAAGATTTTGTTGCGAATATTCTATCATTAATACGTAAATTAAAACTTGTAGATCCCTGGAGACCCCGAAGAGGTGGCTCATTTGTATCAAGTGCAAAAGAAATTTCAGACGGATATTTCCAACATGGATCCGATCGACGACCCTGAAATGGTCGACGCAACGTACCATGGCGAGGGGAAACGTAAAATATTTTAATAGGTAAATAAAACGTTAGAGGCGTTTCGTTTTTTTTTTGTGAAATCATTAATTGGAATTATTATTACTGAAGATTTTATTTTTAATAATTAATCGCACACATTTTAATAATTATTTGCCACCACTAACGCCATCTAGCGTATGCAGTGGTTGTAGAAGGCAGAAGCCTTACTTGAGGATACCGCCAGCTGGAAAGCGTTGCGTTGTATGTGACAGAATTATTAATTCGATGAGCAGTGTTTCCACCTGTTGTTCTCTAAAACCCCTTTACTTAGTTTACTATGTGAATCTTAAAAATAGTGGATTTCATTCCCCCGCTAAATAGTGTATATGGATAATTTTCAATACAAACACAAGTGCAATTACATCGATTATTTATTCATTAAAAAACTCGCAATGCAAATTCCTTTAATCAGTACAAAATAAAGAATATAAAAAAACAGTAGAAATCATAAAATATTCAGTCTATATCACAAAAACTTAAAGATTACGTTTCGCTTAATTTTAATTTTAAAAAATCATAGGTCAGTCTAAAAGTCGTGTTGCAGGATCTCAACTGACCGCTTCTAACCACTGAACCATGGAGGTGGTAACAGTGAGTTCTCTATGCCAATTTCAATGCCCCACCTCAAAGTAACTCGAGCGAAAGCACGATAGCCAAATTTACATTTTATACAATTTAATCACTAGAATAAGACAATTAAGAGAAATCAAATAAGAATTGACTTGCATAACATCACTCGAATCCAATTTGGGGACACCAAGATGATTATATTGCAATAGTAAAGTTCCCTATAGGGCGATGGGGGGCGAAGGGAGAGGGGAGACTTCTGTATTTCACGTATCACTCTTTGTGCCTCACCAGACCGAAGCTATAGCCTAAAAAAGGCATTAAAGTTAAAAAAAATTGTAAATTTCGGAAGTGTACATTGGATTCGAGTGAAGTTAAAAGTATTTTACGAGTAATAATTATTACATCTAGCTTCTGGCACTAATATCTATATCTACTCAGTTCAAAACTGATCAACACGTTTTGATAAACCACCTCTAGACAATTTTAATTATATGTACTGAATTGAAAATTTACATTTAAAAGTTGATGACACGGGACTCGAACCGGCGATATACTTACAATGAGTGTTCGTAGAATTTCAGTGTTGCGGTGCATTTCGTTGTGGGTCGAGAGCGATCAAACTCAAGTACTCAATTTATAAGCTGGAATACGCACTTATATTAAAAAAATAATTGATACCCTCAAATTAAAATAATTACCTGCATTAAAACTGATAAATTTGTCTAGAGATGTGTTATTGAAACTTCTAAAAATTGTTAATAGAATACCTAAATGACTATATAAATCTAGGCTAATATTAACGCTAAATTACGTTTCACACTTCAAGATGTACGAGTCTGTGTTAAGTAAAATTACAAAGTCTCCTATTCTAAGTAAAAAAAGTAAACTACATAAAGAATGAGATACTAAAAATAATCGGACAAAATTCCTACATAAAGAGGGTAGTTTTACAATTTATTGGTTTTAATGCATATTTTGTCGTTAAAATATTGTTTTTGGGAATCAAAACTTTAATTTATACTATATAGCAACCAACATAAATTATAATGTATAAGGCGTTGGCCATTTTTCAAAACCACTTGGGTTTGAGATGGTCATCACCAGCCAAGAGTCATCAGTCTTCGCTTAGTGTAGGGTCTGAAGATTCCATCCACTCGTGATGGTGAAATGCAAAGAACATTTAAATAAAAAACTTAACGGTTTAAAACGCGATATATAGTAGTTGAACTTATTTGAAAATTATTTTAACGACCCGACGTTTCGGATGCTTTGCAGCTGCCGGAGAACGTAAGACAATATAATTTTCAAATAAGTTTAACTAATATATATCGCGTTTTAAACGGTTATAGTGTTTTATTTAATGTGTACTATTCGCATAAAGAGACAGTATTTAACGCAAAGAACATTTTTCAATTACGAATACCCAAGTAGCGAAGTTAAAATTGACTAGTTCATATAAACAGTCGCTGAATCAGTAAACATGAGATTCTCATCGCAGATCACCCTTGGCCATAAAGTGACAAGATCACAGTTATAAGCCATACCTATTACAGCTTATCTATTACCTATAAATGCATCACCTGGTATCATAGAATGTACACTTAACCTAATTATGTCCTCAAGACTTTAGAGCCGAACAAACCATTAGTACAGTTTGCGATCGAGTTGCAGCCCTGAGTACAACATCTCACCGGTAGATGGCGCTCTGCTGTTCTGCTAGGAGATTTTGTTAAAGATTACAGACAAGCATATAGTTTATTTGAAAGTGGAACAGCGCAGACGTATAGCATCTTCGTAGAGTGCGTGTCTCCGTTAAAAAAATTGTTTATATCGGTATAATCGCTTTTCGGCTTCAGCCAGTAAATTTCCGAATATCCGAAGCCAAATTAGGTCGACACCGACTCTCATGCTTGTCTGTCACAGATAAAAGTGTTCAAATAAAGTAGCTTAAGCTACTCCATCTTCTGACAAGAAAATGGCCGCATTTCAAACACATCGCTCCCTGTACGCTAAATACAATTTAATTTCGAAAAGGACGTCAATTTCACAATTTTGGACGACATAAATCGATCACCTAAAACTTTACACTACAACGCTTCAATGGCTTGTCAATTCGTAACGTGTCAATGTCCCAGTGGGGCATGGGGTAGACAGCTGTGCCGTTCATTCGATTGCATCAAGAGGCAACACGTTATTGTTTTCCCAGAACGCAACGTAACCCAGGTTACAATGAAGTTTGGGAGCCCACCACGCCAAATTTTAAATGTCGGTGGATAGTCCAACTTTCGATAGACTTATTGACGGTATGAACTGACCAGCCACCCAGTCCCTAAATGCAAACATTACTTAATCAGTCTTAACCGCTAATCTATGTACAAAATGGCAGTATTGTGTAGCTGACGGTTTTCGTCTTATTAATAGTCAATTATTAATAATTGATCTGGTTATTATTTAACAATGAATGTGACGTAATAATAATCATCGATTGTTAAATAAGAACCATATTAGCCTACGATAAATGCAAAAGAGTTAAACTAAGTTATTTAATACTCGTCGTATTTAAATTAATATTTAAGATATAAACCTTAAGTTAAACATAAATGCCTTAAACAGTCGACCTTGAGTAGAACCGCCTATTTCACGTCTATAGTTATAACGGTTTAAAACGCGATATATATTTAGTTAGATATTTATAACATAACCGACCGTTGTTCACGTCTTAATGAAAAAAATAATTAATATATTTCGCGTTTTAAACCGTTAAAAGTGTTTAGTTAAAATCGTTAATTAATTACAGATAATATATAAAATTGTAAATGCATCAAAACGACTACAACTAATATCTAAATTAAAACTGGGACTTCTTAATTCTATTATATTAATTATAATTTCGTTGATTTTCTAACTTAGACCATAACAACCTAAGGGTTCAGTCGATATTTCTATAATAATCGCTAAACAGCTGTAATTTTAAATATTGAGTTTAAAACGGTTTAAAAGTTAAAAATTATTCATTTAAATCGCTCTTATCCTTAGAATGTTGCGAGACAGTCTCCGCGCTGATTTCTTGAATGAGCGTGGATATTTCTTCGCAGACCGCGGTGAATTGTGGTCTGTCTGTTGGCGATTTCGTCCAGCATCGTTTCTAGAAAATAAAAAACAGTTTCAACCTAAAAAATATTTATATTATTGCTGCAATGAAGTAGAATAAATATCTTCCTTACTAGAAGAGTTTAGTCTAGTGTAGTTCTAGAAAATTGCCAAATGGCCTGGGATTCGAACTCACGACTACGTATTTAAGTTTTACAAGTATAAAAGTCAAATTCTGCTTCCCCCGTGGGGTATGTGCAACCATTTCTGTATCCGTTTCACGGATCAGGTATACAGGATACTTATAGGCAAGTAATTCATCCGATTTCTGTGCCCTGCCCGACCGAAACAATCAATTGTCTCTCCGGGATACAAACCCAGGGCCTCTCGCGCTTAGCGTAATGCAAGGCAACACGTTTTACTATTTAGCTACAGAGGGATTTATATCTTTACAATATGTAAAGTGTTATTTCACGAATTCGAATTTACCGCGCTTCTTGCGTTAATAAGTTGTCGCCAATAGTCGATAGAGGGCGTAATTGGTCGAGTCAGATATAAAATGGCGATGGTTTTGCGATATTTCATGCACTTGATCGTATTGTTAAAGGTTAGAAAGACAACCGTATATTGTGGAAAAAATTATATTAGTAAACTTTAAATGTTTATGAGTAACTTCAGACTATTAAGCTTCTATAATCAATATACCGAGTCTCAAGAAGGCTGTCTTCAAATTATAAACTGAGTATAAGGCCCAATTATAAATAATAATATTACTTACAAGGAGTGCAGCCAATTTGTCAGGCATCGAACCCGGAACGTTCCACTCGAGGGTGTCGTTCTTAAGTCTCTCCAGGACCGAGTTGTCGTTCAGCTTTGCGAAAGGTTGTTCGGCTTTTGTGTATATCTGTAAAGAGATATTTGTTAAAGTTCGAAGGGCGAGCAAATTCACAAGCAATCCATAAACTTGGGCATGTGGCAGACATATCAGTGTATCTGTTCACTCAATGTTGTTTAATGAAAAGCGGTACGGCCATCCAAGCTTTTTTTAAGGGGATCTGAACACACAGGGAACACTTTGTCATTCATTCAAAACACCTTTATCGGTTTAAAACGCGGAACGTATTAGAGCCCAGGCCGTGGTAAAATAAATTAAGTATAAATTGAAATAAGTATATTTCGCATTTTAAACCGTTAAAAGTGTTTTATGTGTGTGCATTTTTTTTAAATTTGTATGTGAAATAAATCTTTTCTTTTATTCTGGATACTGCTGAGGTAAATTGAATCAAATGCAACATACCTCCCATATGGCTGCGGCAAACATGTATACATCAGACTTAGTCGAGTAATCCCCTTCCAAGACAGACTCCTGGGGCAACCAGCGGAGAGGAATCACCTGGAATTGGGAAATTTCACAGATGCAAATCGTATAATTCTTACTTCGCTAAAAGTCAAATGTTTATGATAAAGTTTTAATTTTTTCATGATGGTTTCTCCCATTCAAAATAAAGTATCCGTGAATATCATGAAAGGTGACAAAACCCAGCTAAATCATGTTGAGGCATGAAGAGGCAGTCATTTACGACATTTAGAAATCACTATGCGGTAGTCCAAGATGATGCCCCCTCGGGGCATCCCTTGGTCTAGCCACAATCAGAGAAGCACCGGATGTTTAGGTTTCTCATCGCCCAAGCACCTGGGCTTTGAGCCTCGCAAACCGTAAAAAGAACGGAATAAAACATGGAATATCAAGAGCCAAAAATATATCGACGTCGTATCTTGTTAAGATTTTATATGACTAAACTGCTTGTCACCCACCACTTACCACCACAAATTATCCTGAAGTAGATATCACAAGTTCCATTCAAACACACATACAGCTAAAGTAAAATTATATTACCGAAATATAAACATGAAATTACCTGATCGTGTAGTTTGAAGTACTCATGCGAGTGTGGTCCTCGAGTTAACGCTGGGAAGGACAATTTCAATTGCAACTGAGACGTTATCAAGCAGTTACGAGCAGCTATGTCACTGAAATTGAAACATACATATAATTAACATTAAACATTTTGTATAAAAAGAGCTTTGTTAGACCAAGGTAAGCATAACCGGGGGGACTTTGGACCCTCGGCTTGGACCACCTCGGGCCACCAGTGTTGGTGGGTGCTTGAGGAACTACAGCTCACCTGAGCGAGGCTTTTTTTAAGTTTTTTAATTGGGGCGTTTGACTTACCATCAAATGAACTTCGTGCCTATCATTACATTATTGTTGCTAATAGTGGTAATAATTTTAGTAGTTTTTCCCCGTTATCCTTACTTGTGGCATGGCAGAACATTGCTGTATTCTCTGATCGATGTTTTCAACCCAATTAGATGATCAACCTAAGTCGACCTCGTGTTTAACAGCAACATGAACTCTCAGTGAAAAGTGCCAATTGCTAATCATTTGTTTAAATTAGTTCTGGATTCGGCTACGTGTTTTCTGACACTGAAGGTGAATACTCACCGATGTGTCATCCGCTTGCTAGCTATCTTGTTGGCGGCTGTGGCCAGCTGACCGGCCAGCACCACCTTGTGCAAGTGCTCCAACGGTGGGACCGAATGCTGGGGCTTGGGCAGAGCGTGGGACGAACCGACTCTAGCAATGTACTCCTCATTCTCTTCATCCGTACGAGTGGCGATCAGGAAGGTTTTCAAATCACCCTGGGTTAAAGAAGAGAATTTAATTTGTAGCCAAACTAACTTTAAATTTGCGAAATAAAACAAGTCATCTATTTTTTACTACGAATTGATGTTTTTCTGATGAAGATGATGTTGAGCTGATGAAGGATTTTCATTGCATTTTGTCTGTATCAATAAGGCTGATATCGTGGGTATACTTAACTAATAAGCCGATTTTATAGCCTGGAAAATTTGTAGGATTTTGTAAGTTAAAAGAGAATCAATGTTTCTGTCATAACCATCAATTAGTGGGTTCAATCCGCTCTTTGTCTTGTTTCTGACCATGTTGTAATTTTTCTGACTATGTCTGGAAATCTGGATATCAAATGGTGGGAATCTCGAAATTCCGTCTGAGCCACGGATAAAAAATCCGTGAAATTTAATTTCAGTCTGTGACTTTCCATAGCAAAAAAAATAGGCCGGTAATACATCTTATTGGGATGCTATATGGCTTATTTCCCCTTCCATCGAGCGAACCACATGTTTATATGTCCATCTCATTAAAAGACATACCCAGTCAGTATGCTCCAGCACCATGTAATGGGGATCGGACTCATTGCAAAGACCGAAGAGTCGCGAAATGTTCTCATGCCGGACCCGACTGAACAAATCCAGCTGACGTCGGAACTCGGCTAGTTGGTTCTGAAAATAAGTATTTTTAGGTTATTATTATTGTTTTAATTTTATTTAAATATTATTTTATTACAATGCATTAGTATAAGGTTAGATGATAAGATGGCGCGCTTTTATTTGCATCCATATTTAAATAAAACTTTACCATTAAAATGATCATTTATAACGGTTTCAAACGCGAAATATATAAGTTAACTTACCCTTCATATTTATTTCATTGCTAGAAAGCATGTGAAACGTCCAGTCATAAATAAACATAACTTAATATAAATCGCGTTTCAAACCGTTCAATGTCTTTTATTTAAATGCGTACTGTACGTAAACTACAGATGATACCGAAAATGAATTTAGAATTTTTAAAATAAAAAAAATAGCCAAGCGTGTGTCTGACTAGTAGTAGCTATAGGTGCATCCCTAATACTTATTGTGGGGGTTAAAGGAAGGTCAAAGGGACCCATACCTCATCCTTTGTAGTCAGAGCCTTCACCAGAACTGGTTTGACTTTAGCCTCTGTGTCGCTTTCGTCCTTGTTTCTTAATTTCTTCACTTGCAACAGATCCAACTTAGCTAGATACACGTCACCAAATTCTCCGCGACCTAATAAAACATCAATTTTAATTTAGTTGTCTGTGAATTTAATTAAGGTATTTTTTTATGATAGAGGAGGACAGACATGGCTTGAGGTTCATTTGATGGTAGGTGATATAACCCAGCCTATAACATCTAAACAAGATGCGCTGTCGGCCTATTTTGGCTTTGAATTTTGGATATTCTCCACTATTACTTTTGTTATAAGATTTTTATCTATTTACTAATATGAATTCGTATGTCTCACCTAAGGTAATTTGTTCAGTGAGCAACGACTTAGGTATAGATAACTGTTCGTATTGGCCGGACTTCTTAGACGCGCGAGACATAACGGACACCTCAGAATTGTCTGCACCTGTAACATAAAAAAAAATATATGCTTAGTACCCACTAACTATCTAATATCCCACAGCTGGGCTGAAGGCTCCCCTTTTAATAGGAGAGGTGTTTTTATGATAGATGAGGACAGGCGAGCATAGGGGTTCTCTTGATATTATGTAGGTGAAAGACCCCATCCATAACAACTAAACAAGATGTGCTGTCGTCCTATTTAGTTCTTTTTTTATATTCAGAATCCACAGATTGAATCTGAAACGCGATTAAACTTCACAGCTTCACGGCACGTGACCTGGCCGGCATTTCCATATTCCTACCAACGATGTCCAGCATTTTTCAAAATGTATTAGAAAAATGTTAGACCCGGTGGTGATCGAAGCCACGTCCCGTTATTAGCCATACTTCTATAATTACCACGAGCCCGACAACGACATAGCACCAGCTCTAAGGCTTTAACAACTAGTACCAACAGATAATCTAGACCGAAAACCACATACCACTATCTCTCTCATGTAAAAGTCGTCCGTTGTGCAACGGAGCACCATTCTGTACTTTCTTCTCCTCTCCCTCTTCTACCAATTTCTCGCGACCTTCAGCCATTTCCAACTCTTCTTTCTCACCTGCTGAGAGATACAATTCAATATATAGGTCACGATTAAAAATTTGTGACAACGTTGTTAAATAATTATATATAGCAACACAGCGTTAAATAATAATTACAATACCTGCAGTTATAAATGTGGTGCTGAGTTCTAAGTCATATTTACTGCAACGGCTACATAAGAAATGTCCGTTACTCTTAAGTGAGTATTGGGTCTTTTCAGTCAGTTTGTTTAATATGTACCAGTTCAAAAATCACATAGTAAACTGAAATATATATTATTTTATTCGACTAAACAACTGGTCCGTGAAGAAAACGCCATAATGAGATCAGTGAAATGAAAGTAGGGCTTTTATGAAAATGCACCACAATTAATTTTGTCAATACATAAAGGAAATACATGGAGGACCACGATGTCGTATGTCAAGCAACTATTTTGGATTTGGATATATTATTAAAGTTCCAAGCAGTTACTTAATAGGGATTTCGATAATTCCTACTACCCGTTTTAATATCAAGATTTTCATAAGAAGTCCATATGTACTGTTTAAAATTATAAATTAATTACGTAAAAACGGTTGGAACCGGCGGTGATACAAGTCACGGCTCCGTATATAAATGTGGTACTCAAGATACCTCGTTGCCTACGCTTTAAGCGGCGTCGTCTGCAGTAGACCATGAGCGCCAGAACCAAGAGCATGTACGCGCCCGCAACTGAGATGGACACGAGCACCGCCTTGCCCGCCACTCCACTCGACTCTGAAGGTAGCAGGTCACTCTCTGGAACAATATATTTTACGTATAGTTCATATGTTTGAGAAAGTTATTATTCGCGCAATACTGTCTGTAGTTTAACCAGTAGTAACACATTATAAATTTAAAAAAAACTAAGTTTGAAATTCATCATGCCAATTTTCGCCTGTTGCCAAAGCATTAATTACGACAGACTTATTATTGTTACAGTTGTTTACGACATAAAATACAACATCTATCTTAGTCTCCCTGTGACCAAAACTGCTCGAAAGCTTCCGAAACTCGCCGTAGTTAAACTCAATTGGTAGATAGCAGTTTAACAAATTATATCCCGTTTTAAACCGTTGAAGTGTCATAATTTAAACTTAGTAATTTAATTTCGAATGGTATTTTAAGCTTAATAGCATAAAATACACAAACTATTGATGTATGACGTTATAGTGTAACATACTTATGTTGTTTATCTTAATGTACTTATTCTAACGGAGGTAAAAAAATTTTTCATTTAGGCCTTAGCGGATACATATTGACACTACAATTGTGTCAACTAAAAATTCTGTGCTTATTTTTATCACCTAATGGTGAGGCCAACCAAATATTTAGTCTTTAAATAAAAAAACAGCAATTTCGGCAAACAGTGTTTTGTTGTTTGTAAAATTTATAATATTATGTTGATACAAGACTTATTAATATATATAATATAAATACTTAGTATTTTAGATGGCAATTTATTCTTGATAAAGTTGACAGTACTCCTAAAGAATCTAGATAACGATCTTACCAGGATGAACGATAAGTTCCAGTTCAGCCCTGGAAAGCCCCGCGGCACTGCCCGCTGTGCAGCCGTATCTATAGGAGTCTTGTTCAGACACATTCCGTATTTGTAGACTGCCATTGTTCAACAAAAGTATTCTGGAAGGAAAACGAATGGTTAATCACATTTAGTAAATATACACCAGGCTTTTTTATATTCGGTTTAAATCAAAAAAAAAATTGTTTTCCGAGAAAAGCTATATTCATTCATTTCATCTGTATTTTATGAGCAGCTGAAAATTTTAAACTGTGCATTTTTGTATTTACCTTGCAGATGACGCATTTGTTCCGTCTTCCGTGTCCACCTCATCACCTGGAAATTACGAAAAAATATTAATAAGACCAAATTTGATGTCTGATAAAAACACTAAAAAAAATCGTTTGTAAATGTTTTTAAAATTGTTACCAATTTGATTCTTTGTAATTATATTTAGAAAATAACCTATGTACTACCATATAATGAACTGGTTAGAGCAGCAGCACGGTTTGTGTCTTTTTAGTGCTAATGTCAGTCTTTTAAAAATGTATCTACAAGAGCAGAGTGCCTACGTTTTAGATATGACTTAATTTATTTTTTATAGTCAAATAATAGTACAAATTCATTTTCGCCTAAGACAATTGCGCGTTTTTAATTTCCTCCTTATTGAAAAATCCATGTTTTTCGTTGTTAGGCCGCTCCGCCTCTAGCAGCCTCATATATGCATAGTAACATTTAAAAAAAAGAGTTTTCTCAGAGTAATCATATCTACTCACTCTGCGAAGTCAGAATAGTTCTATTCCTGTCCCAATGTATAGTGGGGGGAGGGTCTCCGATCGCCTTGCAGTTGAGGAACACGTCGTCTCCTATTCTCACGTGGACCTGCTGTCCTGCCGTGGGCTCAAGAACTCGGGGGGGCAACTGAACAAACAGAAACCATTCTTTTTGGGATAATATACCATATAATTATCTCCTATTTAACAAAATTGTATGGCTTTTTTTTTAATGAGAGAAGACAGAGAAGCATATTACATCTTGACGATGCGTTGTCGACCTATTTTGGCTCTAAATTGTCTGCCCATCAAATAAGATATTAACTACAGACAGCCTAAATTCGGATTGAGAATTAATCAAAAATATTAAGCATAAAATAACAACGCCATTTTTTTTGTTAATTTTTACTAGACATCAATGAATGCTAGTCCAGCACCTAAATAAAACATTTCAAACGGTTTAAAAAAAGAAGTATTAACTTTGTATTTGTTTATTCTACGACTCGATGTTTCGGTTTACTGACAGGGCACTTAATGCAAAAACTCGTTAATAGTATATTTAAAGTAAAAATAAATAATAAAATTAAAATAAAAATACACTAAAAATCTCTGACTAGTACTTGACCAATTTTTAAAGTCTATTGGAAGTTAGTTCCTGCCTTAAACACCCTTATTGTGGTCTTTGTGGCTATCTGCTACTTACCAACAATATCCAGGGTGATCTTAGCAGTAATCGATTTGTCTCCGTCCGTCGCTTTGCACGTGTACAGACCAGCATGTTCACGCTTAGCTTCGGCAATGAGCAGAGTTCCATTAGCTGAAGACACACCTTCAGGGAGAGGCTCTTCATCATTCTGAAATGTGGCGTTTGAAAATTTCATATTCCTATATATGTTGATAAAATGAAGAAACAGCATTTCTGTGTCCGTTTCACTGATGAGTTTTGTTGTGTATTCACAAGTAGTTGATCACACTTCTGTACGCTACCCCAGCACCTTTTGTAATTATTATAGAATGAAATTATTTAAAAATAGAACACACACCATAAACCACTGTACGGTTGGTGCTACACCTCCTGCCACTTTACAATGGATCTTGCCGACTCCGTTCAACTCCAACTTCTTGTTGTAGGGCGCTGGCTCGAAGCGAAGGTCGCCATCTGCTGAAGAAATAGGAATATACTAGCTGTGCCAGCGAATTCGTCCGCGTATAATAGTTATTTTGGCCTTCAAATGTTGTTTATTTTTTCCTCATCTTTATAAATTACAGCTGTTACCCACGCAATCGATTTTGCAAGTTAATCTTAAAAGATAGAGAAAGATATAATGTCGAGAAATTTTTGTAGATAATTTAAAGAGAAATCATACTTTCATACACATTTTTTTTTTTCGTTTTCCCAGGGCACGCAACGGAAACCCTCAAAGCTGAATATATTTCCCCATTTTTCCACATTTCCCACTGTGTCTTCTCTTATTTGGTCACAGCGATATTTATAGAATAAACCCTTCCTTGATAAATGCTCTAACCAACACAAATATTTTTTCTATTCAAACCAGTAATTTCCCGACATAAGCGCGTTCAAACAAACTTCAAACAACTCTTCAGCGTTATACATTAGTATAAATAAGAGTATATCCTATAAGCATACATGTGCAAGTTCGAGACTGTCTAATCTAGACACTTACTGGAGCCAGCAGCTCGATGTTTTCTAGGTCTGTGGATGTGCATTTTAAGTCCAGACTGATGGATGGCATCTGAAAAAAAAAGAAACAATTTGAGTATGATCATTAAAAACCAAATAAACAGTAGCACATGTGAGATTTACAAAAACATACGGTACTTAATAGTGATTCTGTTTGACCTAAAATACCGTGGTCTAGGTGGGGACCCTTAAAGCCCCTACTGAAACTGAAAGCATCCGCACATAGCCGTCGGGTCGTAGTTACAATCCATTAACAATTTTATTCAAGTTTTAAAGTTTTAAAGCCGATGACTTTTATCTAAACATTTGGTTTTAAAAATGGACGACACCAATTGTGAATTGAATTTCCAACCAAATGTGAAGTGAAATTTTCACTCTTTCTATTTAAATAAAGGACTGCTACCTAATGATAAATCAATATACAAAACACTTTGAACGGTTTAAAACGCAAAATCTATTAGTTCCCATATTCTTTTTAATACGCGGCCGGGCAAAGTTAAATGAAATTTTAAATAAGTTAACTAATACATGTCGCGTTTCAAACCGTTAAAAGCGTTCATCGTCAATTTTCACGTGTACTGCTCGCGTAAACTACACACAATACTTGACATGCAACTTCACTAGATAATCTGAAACGGAAGCTGAAATTGGGTGAGGTTTGATGAAAAATGTTCCGAGCTAAGAATACGCCTTTGAAGTGTCGCTACATCTGTCCGTGTTTACAATAAGTACACGTACAACAGTTAACACTTAGCGGTCTGCGGAGCCCTATTTTTGGATCGCAGATAACTAAACAAAGATCAGATCAATGGATCTTTTGAGAGCATTATTGACGAGGGACGAAAGCGTGCATAACAAGTTGCCGAGGATACTTCTGGTCTGTGAGTGAATTTTATTAGGTTTTATAAATGTATAGACAATGACACTCGTTGACCGAGCAAACAAAAAGTCAATTTTTTACCTTTCTTAATTGAAACCCTTTGTTCGTCTTCTCTTATCATTAAAAAAAGCGAAGATGGTAGTGATAGAATCGTAAAACGTTAATAGCTAATAAATAGATAATAGCTAATTCTTAGACCAAATTGAATAAACAAATAATTAACAATAAATGATATGCATATAAATTTCTTAAAAATAAGTTTATAATTATGTCAAGAAAATTTGGTATATTGGTAATGGGAAAATTCTTAATTTTACCTAAAATATTAATTAAATTTAAATTATTTTTAAAAGTTTACAATATCTGTACAGATGTCCATCGTTCACGCCTTTGAAGGCAGTCAAAAACCACAGACCATGAAGAAAAAACCTTCGGAGTGTGGTGTGGAAAGAAGCTAATATAAACGCGGTAAGCCAAGCTGTGCAAGTTATTGTAAACAAACAGATTCGTTCGAGTCGGCAACATCAAAGGGACCGGAATATATTCCTACACCTTGTGCGTAGGGGAAACATCCTTTATTGGGTATTGAAATAACTATAATAATTACTGGAACGTTTCCTCGAAGGAAATGTCTTCATTGGTTTTATAGACAACGTGCTAGACATACCTATAGCTTACTATATAAAACAATTTTACTGGTATGGAAATAATTTTACAAATAAATCTTTATTTTTTTACAGCGACCTGACGCTTAGGGTGCTCTTCAAGAGATATATGATGTTGCGGACTTTTGAAAATCATTTGATGTAGAATAATTCATTCATATATTTTTTTTTGTTATCTTGAACCAATTTTGTAGCGAGCGTAACTTTTCTGTGGACGTCCACAAAGATTATTTTACCCCGTTTTTTCGAAATTTTTTTACTTTTCTTCTATTGTTTGCAGCATGTTTTAGGCCTTCCTCGATAAATGGTCCATCTAGCACAAAATGATAATTTCATTTATTATCCCGAGGAAAGCGCATACACACAAATAAACTCTTCAGTTTTGTAAAATTAATATAGATTACTTTTATCCGATGCAATTGCTATTAAGGAGAGTATGTGAAACTCTTTCGCGATTCTCTTATTTTGTTTTACATTAGTTTTTATAGGTATGGTGAGTTTCATCTTATATTTATTTGAGTTTTTTAAGATTATTTACTCTTACCGACGGCAAACACAACTATATATAACGTAAAATAGTTCGCAAACCGTAAATACCCATACAAGAAATAAGCGAGCTTCCCGCAAAGAAAAATATTTTCATTATAAACAACTAACGGTTAGGTTTATGTGGGACACTATTGTGCAAGCCCCACAATGGCTAGCCGGAGCTAATTGAGCCCCTCTTCTGCTGTATGTGGGATCTTGAGCTAGTTATTATTTATATTACCTCCTCGAGTCTCAGTAGGTAACAATTGAATAAAATGCCCGCTGAGTTGATCAAGAACCGATGAAAACTACACTCGCGAGCAAAAAAACATATAGACTCACTTTTTTTAATTTTCGAATTTGGGAGTTGTTGATCGAGACTTTAAAGGATTTAAATATGTTGGACCCGGTAGGAAACAGACCCAATCAAATGTAAAAAATAAAAGTACAACTTTTAACGGTTCAAAACAATTCAGGACACCCTCTCTTTAGTCTTCTCGTGTCTGCTGCAAAGCATCCGAAACATCGGGCCTTAGTTAAAATCTATACTAATATATAAAGCTGACGAGTTTGTTTGTTTGAAAAGCGCGTTCAAATAAAAACATCTCAAAAAGTACTGCTTTGAATTGAATAATTATTTTGTGTTGGTTAGAGCTAATAGGGACGAAAAAACAGCGGAAAATGTAAAAAATAGGATAAAATCATTAACATCTCTGGGTTTCCGATGTCTGCGCTGCGAAAATGGTATGAATGAATTATTCCACTTTAAATGATGCTGTTGTACTCCAGAAATTCCAAACCTAACATTAAATTAAACAACATTTTAGTGCTAGAGCTATTTTGTAGAAAAGAATACGGTGAGTCGATTTTGCTCGTTAGTGTAGATGATGCCCTAGTTTAGAGTATTTTGTGTCCATGCAAAACTGCTATATCTACAAAAAACATTGAAAAGCCTTTTTTTCTCTAACTTTAAACAAATAAGTTTCATGTATATTTGAATAAATAGAAACTGATATATATATCAGCTTTCAAAGAGTAAGTGAATTTGGCATAATATTATAAGCTATATTTTTTTTGTATTTCATTATTGTTTTTTGTGTCACCAAACACATGCAATCGGACTTAAGCGAGTAGTACATAGTTGTAAATAGGTTAACTAAAATTTCACATTTTAAACCGTTAAAAATGTTTTGTTTGTATAATAATTAAATATAGTACAATTTGTAATTGTATAAGTCTTTCACAAATTATTTTTTTTAAGAAGGAGTATACCAGTAAACACAAGGTCAGTGCCAGTTAATTCTGCAAGGAACTGGCCGGGCCAGTTTCGTTAAATACTAGCTACGACGGAACAGATGGCGCTAGCGTAGCAGTTTTTAAATTGACATTAGAGACTCCCTCCATTTTTAATCTCCCCGAGACCACGACTGCATCCGAAGCGTCCGGTCGTAGTTAAAATATTTTTTATACACATACGTATATGTATGTTTTTTATTAATATCCCAGTCCTCAAATCATGGCCACCCTATCTCCGTAAACAGCCCAACCGCTGGCAAACATCAGTCGGAGTCAGCCGCGACCGTCAATTATCGCCCGATCACCGAACGATCTTTGCCTCAAATCTATAGTCTATGCCGACGATAGACGGGTAAACATTTGTTTAGTCAAAGCTTATTCTCATTCAATATCACTCGGTGCAACACCAGGCGATCTCGTTGTTTCGACACTTCATCATTCGTTCTTGGCTGTGTCCAGATTGAATTTGACATCAGTGATTCAATGGTACGCATGGCTTAACATTGTTAAGGGTTCGAATCACGGTAATAAATAAATTCGTCCAGGGAAAAAGAAGTATAAGAGCGCATGTCCCTTTCTTATGAGGGTAATTTAGTTTCACCGGTCTTGATGGATCAACTGCTACGTATCTATGATCTTTCTTTTATATGGTAAACGAGGAGAGACAATCATGGCGCTTCACTTGATGGGAAGTGAGATATAACATCTAAATATTATGCGCTATCGACCTATTTTTACTTTGGCTTTTTGCTTATTATTTCACGGCTTTTATTCTGAAAACAGTGGTTTAATAACCATTTAATATCCACGTTTCCAGAAAGTCCGACGTGTTTCAGGAAAAATATTAATTGATTAAAAGCCCGACGGGGATCAAAGGGCTCACTAGGCTGTGAAAACAATTGTCCTCGCAGAATACAATAAGGAGATATATTTTAAGATTAATATTCGAAAAAATATTCGCTGTTTTAAGGTGTTAACTTATATGTACACCACATTACTTATGCGAGCACCACAAAATGGCCCCTACCTTTATATAAGGATTTGAAAAATATCACATCTATTTTGTGGTCATCATAAATCCATAAATTTTTCGATAAGGTCCTATACAAATATGAGTGTAATATAACTGAATGATAAGTGACTTAGCTAAGGATTACTTGTGAATCTTTTCTATCAAATCTATCATGTCTACTAAATATAATATTACCTTCGCCTTTATAGGTGTTAAAATAAATGATCTTTGAGCGAAATGTCTAATGGTATGGAATGTTCACAAAAATATTTTATTTAAAATAATAAATCTATATTTGTATTGCATAATCCACTTTGTACGGTTTAATACGCTGAATACATGATTGATTTTAACCCCTTGGAAGGCGTGATCATGAAAGCAAGTCAGGTCGTTACAAATAAATTTTACTTGTGTTAGCCACGTGATTTTTTCTGAGGGTATGTGACTAAATTAATTAGCAAATAGTTTTAAATTATTTTGCGTTACAAAAGCCATATTTTGAATCGTAAATTTATATCGTAAACATAACAAAAACTCACAATATCCAATTTTCAAGGAAGACAGCGCCACGCGTTTAACACAGGTACTAAAAGTAATGGCGGCGTTGCCATGACAACGCGGTCATAAAATTTTATGGCGCGCAACCCCCAGTGAAAATCGCGTCGGACTGT